AGAAGGTGAGAAGGTGAGAAGGTGGGCCGCAACAGGAAGAAGCCGGCGACAGAAGAGAACGATGCTTCTGCCTTCCTCACAGGACTCCTCCTAGGACCTTCGGTTCCTTCGTCTTTGATCCAACTTCAACGCACTTGGAGTTCCTCGGTTTCTCCTTCAATTCTCGATTCCCCTGCTAAATCCTTTTATGGGTGAGCACCTCAACCACCACCAGTCCATCACCCATCGTCAACTCCATAGTGCGTCCCCCCTTCCTCCAAGACACATCATGTTGATCGTTCGATGTAGGCCATATTCCCAGCACTAACCTCGAAATTTGCCCAATCGCATTGATTCCAACTTCCCCGGAATCCAGCGTATAGATTGCTCCGAGACAAGCCTCCCTCTCAGGACTGAGCGCGCCAATTGTCAAGGATTAAAAGGAGGCCGCCGGGAGTGGCTTGAAGCCCAATGCAAGCAATCAATGGCCATCCCGAGTCCATGGTGACAGGACATCGGGAAACACAAGGTCCGCCAAAGCAGGTGAGATCTGACATGCCTCCGTTTGTGTTTAAGGGACGCTGCATCACGCAGAGAAAGGTACGTACCTCTACGGCAGTGAAAGTGGACAGCTGGCAAAGACAAACTGACAGCTGATTCATGGCAGCGTGACGGCCCGCTGCGGATGATCTAACGGTTAATAAGCGGGTCACCAACCCACTGCCGGCCACTGGGAGATAACCGCAGCAAGGGCCACCAGCCACTCGGCCAACACCGGCGATATGGGGCGCTGTGCCTCTCGTCTTTCCCACTGGAATTGGAACTTAGAGATTCTTCACAATGCAACGACACGACACGACCCGGAGACAAAGATATAACCAGAGGGACCACAGTCCCGGTGCCGCGCTGACGGGAATTCTAATATTACGACCTCCCTTCCTTATACATTTCATCACATGTAAAAAGCGGTTGCCTATCATTTTGTAAACCATGGCCATTGACGATCCGTGAAACATTTCCATTTCTCCTCATCATTTTCTCTTTCTTTTTCTGAACTTCCAAGGGACTGTTCGCGCCGGGAGATCACAACTTCCATTTGCTGAAAAAGCTCACACTGTAATGTTTCCAACCCGCCAACAATCAACGGACAATGAGCTTATTCAAGCCATAGCCAAATACTCTGTGTCCTCATCACAATCGTCTACGAGTTTGCGAGCAAGTTGAAACTGAAAGCAACCAGCAATGGCCAGCTCAGGGGGTGAGGTTCACTCCAGAAATGGTGAACATGGCGTATCCTCCTTCTCAGCTTCTTCACACCAACGGATAGTTCACATCCCGAATATCCTGCCCCATGAGCGAGTGTTTCCCATACAGATTGGCTCCGAGCTGTTTAAACTATCTGGAGCATCGATATCCTCCGATGGTGTGTCACCTCACCCCCTTCCTGACACCTCACTCACAACTAACACATCCCACAGCCCCCTCCTACTTTTCCCAGTACTTCCTCTGCCAACTCAAACAAGCCTCCGACGCCGGCCAAGACCCCTCCACCGCCATCCGCACCCTCTACATCGACCGCGACCCCGTCACCTTCAAAGACATCTCCCTGCACCTCCAGGGCTATCATGTCCGGCCTCGAGACGCCACTCATCTTGTCCGCCTCTTTGCCGACGCCCAGTTTTACTCCTTACCCAAGCTCATATCCCAACTCTACGAGGAACCCATCCACATAACCATCGGCTCCACCCCCTTCCAGATCCCGCGAGATATCTTCTCCCTTTCCGGACCCGGGAACACGCCAAACTTCTTCACGCTCGGGTTCGCCATCTTTTTCAGTAATCCCGAGGATTTGTTCCCGGGTTTGGATAGGGAGGGACTCATTCGCCCGCCGTCGATAGTACCGCCCAGCGTCCCGAACCGCAGCGCAGAAGTCTTTGAGGAACTAATGCAAATGCTGAGGGGTTACCCGGTGAAGATAAGGGACGAGACACATCGCCAGGAGTTGTTGCGGGATTGTCGGTATTTCAATTTTAAGGGTTTGGAGCAGAAGTTGATTCCGCATGAGAGGGGGTTCAACCAAGCGCGGGGACGGGAAGAGATTGTGCTGAGGTTGAGAGACATCCTGAAGAGCGGGATATCAGTTGTGAACGAGCCGGTTGTTGGGGATCCGTTAGCGGGTTGGGTGAACTACGCCAGGCCGTATGTGGATGATAAGCCGATGGAACTCGTTCTCGAAATCGGCGAAGAAGACACGCGGTTACACTTTGGACCTGGCGGGAAGGAAGTCCGAGCGGAATTCTTCAAGGATATCAAGGCGAGAGTTGCCAAACTGTTCGAGGTCGTCGCTACCAAGCTCAACTTACCTTCTTCTACGCAACCGCTGGGACTACTAATGGCCAAAGGGGGGAGGAGCAGCGAACCGCCCACGCCGGGAAATACTCCCCTAAGCGAAGACCTCGTCCGAGTCATCCTCGACCCTGAGGCAAGCATAACGTTGGACGGCCAGCCGTGGACGCCAGAAGACTCTATCTATCCGCTACCCGCAACGAAACCACAATCAACACCCCCGGCACTACCATCCTATCCGCCCCATCCGCCCCCTCATCAGCAGGCGGTCCGCTAACAACCGAATCCCCCAATTCCACTTCCAACTTCGGTACTTACCCCTTCACCCCTCAACAACATCAACAACAATCACCAGTGGTTGAAAACCCCCGCAAACGACGACGCCTCGATTCAAATCCCCCCTACGGGATAGCTGCCATCCCAACCTCGCCCTTGGGAGGCGACGAATGGATCATCAAAATCGGCCAGTGGCGACTGCGGATACAATCTGTCAAAAACCAAAACCAAAACCAAAACCCGAACCCGGCTAAAGCTAGTGTGGAATGTTGTCTTGTGGCGGTGAAGATTGATGCGTTGAGTAGTGAGAAGAGGAGGAATGAGAGGAGGGGGTTTTTGGGTGGTGGTGGTGGTGGTGGTGGTTAGGTCCTACCTACCTCTAATGTGAAGGTGATAGTTGAGAGTGGTGTTGTTTGTGTGAATGGGGATTGGGAATAGGGATAGGGATAGGGATTGTGAGAGGGATGCAGAAGACGGGACGGGAGGGAAAAGAAGGTGGTGGTTATGGGATGAGAAATGTGAATTGGGGTATGTTGGACGAATTGAAGCGAAAGGAGCGCGAATGAGCGGAACGGAACGGAACGGGTGAGGAGAGTACGGATGAAGAGGGAAGCGATGGCAAAGCTTATAGGGGAGTGGATATCAGTGGGGAAGTCAATGAGGGAGAAATCAACGGGAAACTTCAATGGAGAAGCCAACGGGGGCAAAGTCAACCGAGAATCGATGGAGGAGCAACCATGTGGGGAATCCAACCATGGAGAACCCAATGGAGAAATCAATGGAAAAGATAACGGAATGGATTATGTCGACGAGATTGAACGCTGGGTGGATTCATACGATCCGTTGTAGGAAGTATGAATGGACCTTATTCTACATTAACACTAGGTAGATACAGTACATGGAAAGGGGTCCACAAACTACGAAAAGAAGACACAATGGCTATAGTCAATGCAGGGTTCTTGTAGTAGGTGGTTGAAGAGGCTCATTATTCGTTTTTAATATTGTAGTTTCCTACTCTTCTGGAGAGGTTCAGGCAACAAACCTGCCAGATGTAGTAGTTGGTAGCCAGGCACTTCAGGACCAACCGTTCTATACGACCATACCAAATGTACGGGAAACACCAACGCCTGTATAATATACCTAGGAAAGGTGTCAAAGCGTTGATCAAGCCCAGCAGCTACTTCCTTCACACGGCGTCAGCCGGATACTAGAGACAGATCCATCCAGCGCGCCGAATGAAGCCACCCCGAGCACCCTTCCTAATCCAGCTCCTTTTCGCTCCGCTTTGCTCCAGTCTGGCGTTCTTCCAATGCCTTTTGATGTCCTGTCCCATGCCAAGCCAAAGCGCCCCGTCCCAATATTTGTTTTGAAACCCACCAGATATCAAACGCCAAAAGCACATGACCGCAGTCAACTCAAGGGCTGCGGAGCCAAGGTGTCGATAAATCACCTCCTCAGAATTAGATTCTTCCCTCCGTTCGCAGTCCCGACCGACTTGTTTTTCGGCACAGTGTATGTAGAGAGCGTCATCACACCATTCTTGTCTCGTCATCAACAGCGGGCGTTCGTTGTTCGGGGATTGGTTCGAACAACTCCGTAACACGAACTGCTCGGTCGATATACTTGAAACTGGAGGCTGGGCGGCGCTGCGTTTTCTGATGATGTCTAGTTGTCTCGGATCGAGTCGATTTCGGTTGGTTGTCACGGGACCGAGTGAGGACTGTTCGCATGGGCGAGGAGTGGCGATGGTCGGTCGACTGATGCTGGCTTCGTCAGCGTGAAGTAAACCGTCTGGGCTCGAGAAAGCAATCGGCTTGTTGTAACATTGTGATTATGGTTGTGGTCGGGAGTTGGTATCGAGACGGCCAGTGTTTTGCCAACCCTTGGCCTCGATGTTGGATTCATGGCGTCGAGTGAACCGTCGCGAACAATTCCTAGCATTGCGCGCCATTTGTATTTCTCCTTTCGACTTCTTTCATCCACCGTTTAAGCAGAAACAGCGATAGGCGCAGCAGCATCCGGTGCCTTGGGGAGGTTATCCTATTTTGTTCCCTTAAAGTTAGCCACTACCCTCTTACTCACACATTCCCCCATTTCCTTTTCCACGCCATCCCCCTCCCATCCCCCTCCCATCCCTCTCCCCTCCAGAAACGAAAAAAGAAAAAAAGAGGACAATACTCACAACCTCAAAAATAACCCTAACCATCAAACTACAGCTCGGACAAACCGCAATGTCCTGGCCGTCCTGGAGGTCCACCAGCGCAATCTCGAACTTATCGCCGCATGGGCACGGGTACGAATACGTCTGCAGGGCCGCGTCGTACGTCATGTCTTCGATTTCGACTTCGTCGTAGATGGAGTATTCTTCGGTGTCGGACATTTTGGGTAGCGATACTTCGATTGGGGATCGGGTTTGGTATTGGTATTGGTTTTGGTGGGGGGTTCGCGGGGAGGATTTCGCGAGGTGGGAGTGATCGGTCGGTTAAATGGCAATGTTGCGATGGAGACGTTTTGGATGTTTGAAGTTGAAAGTCGAGAACAAAAAAGAGTCAGCGCAGTGAGCGGGACAGCCTGGGCAGTGGAGGGGCAAAATGTCAGATGTGAACTTTTGGCGCGTGCGGCCTGGCCGCGAACCAAAGTGTGTGGGTGGGCCCGTGTATCTTACCTCATAATACGCGGAAACTCACAGACGTGTAAGTCGTAGGTGCGTAACTTTCACCTTTTTCGTATTTCTTCGTTATTTTGTATCTTTCAAAGTTCCCTCAACAGCAGAGGCCAAACAGTGACCTACGCAAAAGTCAAGCCGTCAACCCGGATGGCAAAACTTTCGTATATGAGATAGAAAGATTTTCAATGGCTTTCCGATTCTCTAAGTCCCTTTCGTCGCCCATGATGAAAGAAATCAAAAAGAAGTTGTCCTGGTTGCAAATACTTCGATGTTCAAACATAATCCTTTGCAACAGCCTCTATTTTCAACAAGGCCTCATGGGCGCAACGGTAGCGCGTTCGACTCCAGATCGAAAGGTTATCCGTTCAAATCGGGTTGGGGTCATCAAACAATATCTTTTTGACTTTTTGCTGTTCTTACATCTGTCAACAGCCATTTTTCTTCTTGTTTCCTTTTTGTAGTTTGCAAGTAGATCTCCTGGCCTCACCTACCTTATTTTTTTAAGGCAACAATGTCAAAGATCTCCGAACGACTTCTGACGTCTTAGGAAGACCGAGCGAAAAACAACATCAAAGAAAGAAACTCATCATTAACCCTTTCGTATATTACAATGCTCCTTATTACACCTCCTCATGCTTCTCTTCCTCATCTTGTCCTCATCATCGCACAACCTCCACTCCAGAACGTCATCTTCACGAAGTTCCCAACCCGTCGGCTACTCCCACCACTGCTCACGCTGCCTCCGTGACCATGGTTGCCGAAACCATCATCACCACCCAACTTAACTCCACTCCCTAATGCCGTCCATGATTTTATGTGCCCCCATATTCCTCCTATGCTTCCACCACCCTCTCAGTCTCCAGGAACTTAATCCCAGACCCCTATCTTCGAACGTCTCTCAACCACCATTACCATCCTTCCCTGGTGCTTATATGGCCAGTTCCAACCTCCTCGCCAACAACTGCCACTCCTCAAATGACTTAAATCCTCCCTTCAACCTTGACAGGATGCCTCACTCTCCATCTAATTCTTCAACCCAGTCATCTTGAAAAAAAGACATAAGAAACCAGCATTGCTGCTCCTTCTCCGTTTGTGCTCTGTGCTCGACTGACAAACAATGGACAGACAAGACAGTAACTCGACGAGGCAACAGGCAACGAGTCAACAGGCAACATCATGATTTGTATAACCACTACCATCCACCATCCTCTTATGCTCTATTCCACTTCTTGTCCAAACATTACCCATCCCAATCCCTCAACGCTATCTTCCACACTCAACTGACACGACCTTCTCACTCACAATCACAAAATCCAACCACCCCCCATAACAACCACCCTATACAAAGCCCCAACCACCCACCTCGCACGAGCAACACATAACCCGTCATTACCCAAGATTATCAGAAACAAGACAAAGGAAATCATAAGACCTGATAAGAAAAAGAGGAGGGCGACGAGGAGGAGAAAAATCTCAGAGCAAAGCCATTCCCACAGCCGCAAAAACGCCCAATCCCACCGCGGGGCCCTGCAGCGGAACCTTGCCGGCCGCGGCGCTAGGCACCGAAGACACGGTGTGGGTGGAGGTGGAGGTGGAGGTGGCCGAAGTGGTGCTGCTGGAGGGAGAGGAGAAGACGGTGGTGGTTGTGCCGGTGGTGGTGGTGGAAGAGGGGGTGACTGTCACGACGGCTTTTGCGGGGGTAAAGGTTGTTAGTATGGTTGAGATTGAAGGTGGGGGGGATTGGGTATGAAGTGAAGAGTGTGTGAGGGAAGCAGTGAACAGTCGAAAGAGGGAGGTGGAAAAGGTGATTAAAATCCCCAAGGAGCAAGTGAGTGACCAGCAGGAGGCGGGGGCTCATGAGGAAGTTCCTCGTGATTCCTCTTACGCTCATTCCGCTTCCCCCTCATGCACAACCAACTCCTCGGGAAAAAAAGGAGGAGGAGGAGGAGGAGGAGGAGGAGGAGGAGGCGCAAACGAATGAACAGGAACATGAGGTGAGCGTTCCTCCATGTTCCGCTTGTGCTCATTCCGCCTCTCCTTATGATGCTCATGCACAAACTCCTCAGGAGAACGAGGAGGAAGCAATGAATGAACAGGACGAGGAGGCTGAATAGGAATAGGCGCTCTCGGGGGAGGAAACGGAGGGAAGGTAACCACAGGAGGAGGTTGATGCGGATGACGAGGTATCATGTTTGCAGCATCCCGTTCCCGATTCACCAGCCGTCCGGGTCCCCTGTGGCCTCCCCCATGGCCTCCCCCCCCTCTGGCAGGCGGAGGCACAGACGAAGGCACAGGAGGAGGAATGCTTGTGGTAACGCGAGGCGGTGACGGGAATTGGAGCATGCAAAAGGCTAGACAAGACTGGAGAGGCTCGTTGGGAGGAGGAGAAGGAGGAAGTGCTATGACAAAAACAAAGAAACAGTTGGGATATGTCTGCTGCGATAATAAATGAGAAGATACCGGTGCAGTGATGATTGGGAACGTGGGTAAGGGGACGAAGAAAGGCTGCGTGAAGGATGACGGACAAATGGAAGAAAACTTACTCGAAGCAACTGAGGACGGCGAGCTCACAACAATGGTGCTCACTGGCACCAAAGAGTCACTGGTACTAGTGGTTTGGGCGGCGGCGAGGCCGGCAGCGCCGAGAGCAGCGAGGATGGTTGAGGAACGCATTTTGCTTGCTTGACTTGAAGATCGGTCGGTGTTGTTTTGGCTTTGTGGTGTTTTTGTTTGGTTTGGTAGCGAGTGATGTGATCCTCTTGCTTGGGTTGTCTTTCGTGGAAAGCGAGAGCAGGAGTAAAGAGGACAGAGGATGACTTTGAGGGAAAGCTAAGGTGATGGAGATACGAAGGGAGGAGACGGCTAATAAAGGTTTAGTGAAGGAGGCTGGGGAGGAGGGATCGGATAGGAACAACGTGGAATATGTCTAGATGATGAAAGAGGAGCTGCGTATGCCTATGTGTTTTGAGTGTCCAAATCCCGGATGAACACTCTGAGCTGAGGTCATTTTGGACGGCATTGGGGCAGTGAAGGAGCTTCAGGGAGACAAGTACAACATGATGCTGACAATAAGACGTCAGTGACTAGGATGAGCTCTTCGGGCAGGTGAGGAGTTCCTAGAGTACAATCTCTCACCGCGAAAAAAGGGAGGCAGCCTCCGAGGTCAATGAGCTCCTCGTTACCGATAACGAGTCCGCTTCGTCTCTCCATCTTCACGTGCTCTTCCGGCTGGGAAGGTTTAAATGCTGGAGTTGGAGAAGAGAGGCCGAAGCGGAGAAGATCCCTTGATGTGGGCTGTGACGTCTGACCGCGAGTGCTCGAGCCTCCGGGATGACACTCCGGAGAAAAGGAGAGTGAGAGAAGAATGGCTGAAGGAACGAGGTGCCAATGATATTCGTTGTTGAAACGTCTCGCTCCAGATGTGATGTCGAGTGAAGAATACGGTGCTCGAATGGGAAACGAAAGAATTTTTACTTTGTGCCCCTCTTCGCGGAGTTGTTCCTTCCCTCCACATTGTCGTCGCCCACCCGCGTGATGTCTGAAATACCGCTCGGGTTCTGAGAAGATGGCCCATTAGCAATGATGACTCCGAACCTGCATCGACAATGTTAGCACAACAACGCCGAGACAGAAAGTCTGGTCTCTCATCACCCGGTCGTTTACCAAATCCTTGAACACCTCGAACCGTTCATCCCTCATCTCCGCTGATATAGCTGATCAAGGCCTATGAACTCCTTCAGCTTTCCAACGTTTGCAAGGTCCAAGACTCTCGGCCGCATGTTTCAGTCAAGGTTAGCATCGAAGATGCTCCGGCCTCAACAAGAAGCAGACACGCCGATACCACCACAAAGATCCGAGTGACGGCCAATCCCTCCGTCCCTCCGTCCCTCCGCTTCTGAATAACTATGCCCTGCAGATTGTGACTGTCCGCAATGGCCAGCAGGATAGACATCCCGAACACACACGACACTCATCGGTAGGCAATGATAAACCCAGCTAACCAGACAGACCATGCAAAACACAACAAGCAACGCCAACAGAACATCCGTGACCTAGATGAACACAAATCTATTCATCGCTAAACTTTTACCATCCTTGATATCATACCCATCCATACACATAACACGAAAAATCGTAACCAACCACATTCCCATCCTACATCACACATTTCCTTTAAACATTGGTAAAGAAAAAGCTAGGCTGACCAGGCAACGCCGCCTCAGCCATAGGCGCAGTAACCTCAATCTCCTCACCACCATTCGTCAGATCCTTGCCGGTCTTGCTGCCCTCCTCAACCAGAACAACCTGCACACTTTCGAGGCCAGCAGTCCTCTTCAGACCGGGGATCATAGCCAACAGGGTAGCCTTCTCATCGAAGGACAGCTTACGGCTAAGAATCTGCTCAGCAGGCTCACCGGACTTCAACCTCTTCTTGAGCTCCTGAACGAAGGGCATGGCCTTTTTCATCTCGCCCATTTTGGCGATGCGGCCGTTCAGCTCCTTATCGTCAATCTTCTGAGCGCCGGTGGCGGCGTCCCAGACCTCGGAGAGAAGGTCGATGTACTTGGCCTGCCAGGTAGGGAAGTTCTCAGTGGCGAAGATGGTGAGCTTCTTGGGCTTCTTGGGGTCGAAGTCGGACTGGCGGCCCTTGGCCATCTTCTTGAGCTGGGCGGCCTCGGCCGAGTTGATAGCCGACGAAGTGGTGCGGACGTAGTCGCGGGCGGCGGTGAGGGCGGGGTTGGCGGCGGGGACCTCGGGCCAGAGGGCGAACTGGATGGACTTGGGCTCGCCGAGGCATTCTTGCCAGATGTAGTCGGCCCAGTGAGGGGCGATGGGGGTGATGACGAGGGCCTGCGTAAGTCGGTAAGTATATGGAATTTGCTAGCAAGATAAGGGTAAGATAGGGGGTTACAAACCTGGAGACGGATGTACTTGTTGACCAAGTCCTTGTGGAGAGGAATGCCAGCAGCAGCGCAAGCCTCACGGTACATATCACGAGCGTTCAAGAAATCGTAGTGAGCAGCCTTGAGAGCAAGCTTGTACGAGGTCTCCTCGTAGTACTTGCGGGCCTCGTTGACAAGGGCGTTCATCTCATTGTCGAACAGGGCATCCTGGAAGCTGTTGAGCTCGCCAGTGCGGAGAGACTCGTCCTTGAGGGTCTCCTCGATCCACTCCTTGTTGGTGTAGAACCTGAGAATGGTGTTATCGGCGACATCCTCGACAAAGTTGGAGTCGGAGATACCATCACCGGCATCGGCAAGAGCGACACGGGCGGCGTCGGCACCGTACTTCTTGACGACGTCGTCGAGGGTCATGAAGTTACCGGTAGACTTGGACATCTTCTCGCCGTTGAGCTGCAAGTGGCCGTTGGCACGGACGGACTTGGGCCAGTACTCGCGGGGGAAGAGGGCGATGTGGTTGTACAGCCAGAAGGTCAAGTGGTTGGGGATGAGATCCTTGCCGGAGACACGGATGTCGAGGGGGTAGAAGTACTGGAACTCGCGGCGCATGGAGTCGAGAGTCTCCTTGGGGATGCCGGACTTGGTGACCAAGTCGTCGGACAGCTCGGTGCGGCAGAAGACGTAATCCCAGACCTCGTCGATCATCTGCTCAGCGCCAATGTTGCCCTTGCCCTTCTCGCGGCCGAAGAGATCCTTGTGCAGCCAGTGAGCGATGGTGTAGTAGGCCATGTAGACTGTAGAGTCGGAAAGAGACTCGACAAGGAAGTTGTGGTCCCAAGGAAGCTTGGAGCCGAGACCGTAGGTACGGGCGCAAGCCCACTGCTTGAGCCAGCCGATGACGCCCTTGAAGGCGTGCTGGGTATCGGCGTAGTAGGTGTTGATGCCCTTGCCGTCCTTGTTCTCGACGTAGTCGTAGAGAACGGTGCGCCACGAGTCCTCACCGTAGTCGATGTACCACTGGTCCATGAGGGCGACGGAGCACTCATCACCGGAACGGGAGACGACCTTGTTCTCGGGCTCAGAGTAGGCGAAAGCGTCACCGGCGTCGATGAGCTGCTGGCGGACCTTGGGCTTGGCGGTCTCGACCTTCTCGCCCTTGAAGTCACCGTAGTTCATGATACCCTGGTAGAAGCCCTCCTTGTAGGCAAGCTCCTTGGCCTCAAGGAGCTGCTTGGCATCCTTGGGGGAGTTGATCTTGAGCTTCTTGACGAGGTAAGGGGCGAGAAGGTCGGAGGTAGGGGTCTTGATGACCGAGATGATCTCCTTGTCAACCCACTCCTTTTGGATGCCGTAGAACTCGGTCTTCTTGGCGAGCTCGGTCATCATGGCGCAATCGTCGGGGGAATCGGAGGGAACGGAGGTGACGACACCGGTACCCTTGGTGGCGAGGACAGTGTCCATGGGGAGGACGTAAACCTCCTTGTGGACGGAGAGAGGAGCGTTGACGAGGGTACCGACGAGATCGGAACCGACGACATCAGCAGCCTTCTCAATGACGCCCTCCTTCTCGAAGATGCCCTGGTAGGCCATGTTCTTGGCGGCGCGCTCGGTGATGACAAAGTACTCGTTCTCGGAGGCCTTGTAGACGCCGTACTTGAGGGTAGGGCCGACGAAGCAGCAGACCTGGCCGTACATGGTCTCGGGACGAAGGGTGGCGGGGCAGAGGTAGACGTTGGCGCCCTCGGGGAGCTTGCCCTTGAGAGCCTCGGCAGCCTTGGGAGCCCACTCCTTGACCTTGAGCTTGAGAGCAGTGTACTCCTGGGGAAGGACACCCTCACCCTCGCTACGGTCGTGGTCCATGCAGGGCTGGCCATCCTTGATGGAGTAGATGGTGTAGCGCTTGCCGAACTTGATCTTGTTGAGCTCCTTGAGACGGTTCATCTGCCAGCGAACGAAAGCATCGTAGTAGGGGTTGGCGTCGGTGGTGACAAACTGACGGCGCCAGTCGATACGGGCACCGAAGTTGGTGAGATCCTTCTTGCACTCGGGAGGGAAGAACTGGAGCCAGTACTGGGGATCGGCGAACTTGTGAATCTCCTGGACGGGAATGCCGAGAGACTTGAGGATCTGGAACTGGTACTTGGCGCCACCGGTCTTTGCGACAGTCTTGCCCTTCTTGGCGTTGAACTTGGAGACGTCCTCCTTGGACTTGGGAGCAGCGGCAGGGGCAGCGGGGGCAGCAGCACCCTCAACGACCTCCTCCTCCTTGTAGCGCTCAAACTCCTGGCCAAACATCTCAATCTCCTTGACCAGCTTGTCGGCCGAGGCCTTGATGGGCAGACCGGTGCAGTGGTAGCCCTGGGGAAGAGGGCGCGCTTGCCCTGCATGCGGGCGAAGCCGGTGTGGTACTCGATCTTGGAGAAGCTGAAGGCGTGGCCGGCGTGGAGGCGGCCGTTCATGTAGGGGTAGGCGATGGTGCCGAAGAACTTGGGGTGCTTTTCGCGCAGCTCATCGGGGGTGATGGCGTCGAGAGGGTACTCGGCAGTTGAGGGAGCATCGATCTCGAAGACGCCGTCCTGCTCCCATTTTTGCTGGTACTTCTTCTCGATCTCGACGAGGGTGTCTCTCTTTTCGGTGCCCTTGAGCTCCTTGGTCTTGGAGGCGGAGACGGAGAGGTTGGCGACACCCTTGGCGACGGCTGATGTGTCGGCCATTTTGGGTTTGTTTGTTTATGTGGTGATGATCTGGTCTTGGTGGTGGATTCGGGAAAAGAAGAAAAAAAAGACCGAAATCGGCAACCCGGACTGCGAATTCTCTGTTTCTCAAGGTGTTAGAAACTCGAATATTGACTCGTAACAACCACACGCGACAACGGAAGCCAGAGGTAGAGTATGGGAGAGTGCTGCTTGGACGGGATGACTGACCTGGGGAATTGAGTCAGATTCCGAAATTTTGGGACGACAACGGCAACTTCTCTCTCAGCAGAAGATCGCCTCTTACAATATTCTTTGGAGGGGCACTGCAACCACTGTAACATTCAGCTTCTGCACACAATTCGCGGGGTCAGCGCAGGCTGCAGTCAGGCACCGCGGATTGGCACGGCAGACGGCGGCAGGCCTAGACAGCTGGCTCCACTCCCTTGCCGCGACATCGCTTGGCTCCGGGTCGTCTAGTGTTTTAAGAGGACCTTCTAGTATGTGGCTTAGTCACACTTGTATCGTCCGGTCAACTGACACCAGCCACAAACAGTCCAAACCTCTTATCTTATCGGACCACCTCGAAATGGCCTCGGATCCATCCGCCTTCAGGAACTCCATCATGAGCTCCATCAATCTCACTTGTCAATGACCAGTCTCCCCTGTCCTTGAACTCCCCTCTCAACTCCATTATTACGACTCGCGTATACCTTCCGTATCCGAGGTATCGTCATCATCGTCACTTACAAGTTACAACAACAACTCAACTTATCTATCCAAGTATACAACAACGACGACAATATGTTCCGAACAGCAATCCGCCAAACCGCCCAAAAGGCATCCTCATCAACAGCAGCAGCCTCGAAGTCCAGCGAGCTCCCCCAAGCCTTTGTCAAACTCCCCCACATCAGCCCGGCCCTCCTCACACAGTACCCAGCCAAGAAAACATGGCCTCCGGATTTCAAGACCATGAGCCCGCAGGAACAGCTCAAGTACGAGAAGCGGTATAAGAGGAAGATTCACCACATTGCGCAGAGGCCCAAGTGGAATAAGATGGTGCAGTTGGCGCAGTTGGGGACTATCAGTTGTATGTGTTTCCTTTCCTTAAATGTGAAAGTTTGAAGTGGTATGATGCTCATTATTGGTCTAGTTGTCCTCATTTACTGCCTCCTGTTTGCGGATTGGAAGGATGAGAGACAGCCTTTTTACGAAGTATGTTTGCCCAACCCACTTTGCACGACCCATATGTCTAACTTTCAAACTCAGTTCCGAGAATGGTTCTGGAACTCACTCGGCTTCAAATATGAAGCTCCTAGGCCCGTTCCGAAAGTTCAGTCTCAGGAATCACAGACTAGTGTCCAAGCCGGGTCCCGTACTCGGCAGATGTAGTGTTGGACTTGGATAAGAAGTCTGAAGCTTGGGATTGACTGGACCAAGCGGTTGTATCATGCTTTGTATAATATCTTTCTGTGTGTGGGTGTTTTGGCGTCGAAATACCTTGGGGAAATGTGGGTATATATGGTTTCTCCCTCTTTGCTAGTATCATGCTCATGTGGCATCGTATCTTTCTTCCTTAACGACGGTTGCCCAAGAGCTGTATGAGCTCCGATCCTGTGTACGAGCTTTCCGCCTCCTAAAAACCTCGCAACGCATCAATGTAAACACAACTGTGCTTTCCACGACCTCATCGTCCACTCCATACAAAATTCCCTCCCATCCCCAGCCCAGCCCCTAATCCACTTCCCAACCCCATTCCCCCTCCCCTACTCTCATTAACCGGCCTCTTGGCCACCGTCCCCTGCGCCCTCACCCCTTGCACAATCTTTTCCATATTCGTCTCAATCACCACTCCTCCCACAATCATCTCGCCTAATGTGGCATGCAGCGTCTCAAAGTTGAAGATCAGATCCAGCTCGCACACATTCTCGAATAATCTGTCTAGCGATTCGACATATACTTGGATCAGATCGATAAGGGCGAGCGGTGACTCGGTGGATGTCGAGATGATGATGAAGTAGAGGGTCGCGTAGTTGCGGTAGGTTACGAGGGAGGGCACGTCGTTGTGTGGTTCGGACGAGGAGGTGGAGGTGCTGGAGGCGGCGAGGAGGGGCGGGAGGGGGAGGAAGTTGCAGGATCCTTTGGGGCGGTTGGCTACGAGGGTGAAGATTTCGGAGATGAGGCGTTGTTGGATTGATGTGTCCTGTTGACAAAAGGGTGTGTTAGTGGTTGCGATTGGGAAGGGTAGCTAGCTAATGGGAAGATAGGGAGGAGAAGGGAAAGAAGGGAACGTACAAGTTGGGTGTAGAACTTGGTTAGGCGTGGTTGGCCTTGGCCGTTGAAGACGAGGAATGCGTTGATCATGGTGTGCGCGGTGCGGTGACAGTTTGCGACTGCGATGGTGTTGGAGCTGTTGGAGGACGACGACGCGCTTGGATACAAAACAGACCGCGACTTCAAGGAGGAAGTGTTGAGAATGAGAACCTCGTTGGACACTTGCACTTGGCGGCAGTCAGCAGGGCAGTGAGTGGCTCTTTGGCTGCAGGGCAGTGCGGGAGGGAAAGTGGATGTCAATCTGGAACTCGGCCGATCAAAGTGTGGTGGGGTGCGATGACGTGCGGCTGTACCCGCCCAATCCGCAGAGGCACGCGCCTAGCAGACGGCAGCAAACAATAGGGAGCAACTGTTTAGAGGGTACCTGCATCTGTGCGTGATTTTGCTACAGCTCACATGTGCCTCTGCATCAACGCACTAACTAATGTCGGCTAGAGCTTCCTGCTACTGCTAAGGCGTGACTGCGTGCCTGCCGGTGTTTCCTTCCAAAAGCTGGGGAAGCTCTGGGAGTGGGGCATCAATGGCACGATAGCGTCGAGCTCGAGACGATAAGGGAGTTTAATGGTTCGATTAGACGGGAACATATCGTTGTATTCATTCATTCAGAGGAAGTTGCAACTGAAGGTGAAACTCCATCTTTCCGTCCTTCAAGGTTCTCGTCTGGTCATTTGATCTTCATTCATCTTGTGTTCAATCTGTCCCGTGACCTGATTCACTCGTTCATCTCAAATACCACGGGAAACACTGTTGAGCTCTTTTTCAGCTTCAACTTTCTGTCTCTCTCAACACTAAACTGTTCCAGTCACAACTGTGCGATTTGAACTTTCGAAAATCACCAACACCACAGACAATCATCATGCCGCGCACAATCGTCACCAAGGTTGCGCGCGCAACTTCGCGCTCTCTCCAAATCTCCCGCGCCACCCGCATCACTTCCACCCCCTTCGCCGCGGCTTCATTACTCCCCAGAGCCACTGTCCCCCGTTTCTTCTCAACCGCCGGCCCCAATGGCAACATGATCACTCCCGACAATCAGCCCGTCCAGCCCAAGAAAGATGCCAGTCCTAGTGTTGTCCGCGCCGCCACCGAGTTGACGGATGACCAGTACCACAAGCTCGCCGATGAGTACATGGACAGACTGGTCACCCACCTCGAAGAGCTTCAGGACGAGCGGGAAGACATTGACGTTGAGTACTCGGTATGTCATGCTCTCATTCGTATAAATGTCAGAAGAGAGTCTGACGCAGGACAACAGGCCGGCGTGCTCACCGTCTCGTTCGACGACGGCATCGGCACCTACGTCATCAACAAGCAACCGCCCAACAAGCAGATCTGGCTGTCTTCGCCCAAATCCGGTCCCAAGCGCTACGACTATGTGACGTTAGGCGACAGCCAGAACGACAAGGAGGGTACCGCCAAGGGCGAGTGGGTGTATCTGCGAGACAACTCGACCATCAACCAACTCTTCCGTGATGAGCTACAGATCGATCTTAGCATGCCGGTCGGCCATTACGGTGAAGAGGAGGCTTAGGAAGGCCACGGTGGGGTTGTGATGTTGTCTCTGCGGAACACGGGTACATGTGAGGAAATGAGATTGATATGAAAGCGACAGCGAGCGCGTTAAACGAACCTAGGCCTTTGGAAGAGGAGTCATGGAGGATCGATGGGTTGCGATGCATTATCGTTTGGCGGTATCGGGGTGGTAATGCCTTGCAAGGGGATGGTGTGTGTACGATTTGGGTTTGTACAGTATTATTATTACCTGCATTGTGTTCATGGTAAGGAGCTGAAGGATTGCATTTTCTAGGCGGACAAAACCTCGATGATTAGCGCGTTGAGTTCGCAACCATCAAAGACACATCGGTCAAGTCAGATTATCAGTTTTTTTTCCTGACAAGTCAATCGTTGATCTTCTTCCAGATTTCTGCACGTTTGTTCATTGGCATCAAGTAAACGCCAGTGAGGGGTCGATGTAGGCCTCGTGCATGCCCGCCTGCGATAGGCCGCGCGCCAGACGTCACACAATTGGACGCACTTGTACATATAAAGCAGCGCGTTGGGCCGTGCTCGTCAACACCACTTTGCATCTGTCACTCTCTTCTTTCAACTTCACCTCATCCATCAAGCCATTTCAAACGTATCCTTTCTATTGCTTCAACATCAACTGATTCCAAAAACAGCTGTGCCTTGGGCACATAACCGCCACAATGATTACCCTAGGCTTGATCTATACTTTGGTATGTCCCCATAACCCGATCTCCCGTCATTGACATTGTCGCTGACCACTACAGATAATCCTCATCCTCCTCGCCTTCGCCATATACGAACACATCCACGCTCAATCCCTCTCCCTCCCCATTTCCCCCGGTCTCACCCTCCTAACCATTCTCCTCCCTCTCCTCTCGGCATTCAACACCGTCTACCTTTACCGCATCTCAACCACCAACACCAACCAAAACATTCGACCAAAGCTTTTGATGTCCCACTCCTCCTCAACCATAACCCCCAACCCTTCAAACCCAAATCAACAACTTCAAATCCGCCCGTCTCGCGCCCGTCGCCCTCATCCTGGTGTTGGCGGTGGTCCAAAACCAAGCCTTCGCTCCCTATTACCCAGTCTAAGCAGCGCACTACAAACGACCCAACTCATCTTCTCCGTCATCCTGGTCACCCTTGCCACTTCTTCACTTACCAGCTCCCCCTTTTCCATCCCCTCTGTCCCCGGCTCCGGATCAGGATCAGGTGGGCAAGGAAGCATCGAACTCTGCGCCCTCGAACAAACCTGGTCTCACTTTTTCAGGACGCACGACGCAGATTCTATTCGAAAAATCCAGGATGCGCTGCAATGCTGCGGGTTTAGAAATCCGAAGCATATGAGTTGGCCTTTTCCGAGTGGACGGAATGGGCAGCCGGGGGGGCCGGGACAGCCTGGGAAAGGAACGGAGCAGTGCATGAATATGTGGCCTGATCGTAAAGAAGGATGTGCAAATAAATGGGAGGGGGGGTTTAGAAGTGTGATGGGCGGGGAGGTTGCGGTTGTGGTGGGGGTTTTGGCGGTGCAAGTCTTTGGATGGGGGTTGGGGAGGTATTTCCAGGCTCGTCAGACCAAGGGGGCGGCGAGGAGAGGTGGGAGTGGAAGAAACGAAAATGTGGTTGTTAATGGTGATGGTGAGGGCAGCAGCAATGGAGGCAACGGAGGGAATGCAAACAATGGCAGCTGGTGGAATAAACTGCTACAAAGCTTTGGGGTGCCACATGGGGATGAAAACGACACTCAAGCTCAAGCTTATCGAGGATTGGAAGATGGAGAACTTGGAGCTCAACGGAGGCCGTTGCTTGGTGAAGGTCATTTTGGTATTGAGGAGGTTGATGATGAGAGTCAAGACGGAGATGGAGGAGAGGAAAGAGATGTGGAGAGGGGAGGAAGTGCACATGGATATGGAAGTGCTACGAATTCGAGGGTGCAGCCTAGTGGGATTCATCAAGATGTTGCTGATCCTTGGGCTGATGGGAATTGAGAAGAACAGAAAATGGTGCCGGCTGTGGAAGCTCTAGTGGATAGAGGAGTGTTAGTTGGGACACGGGTTAAAACTGAAGAGGACGGTAGGTTTGTAAGTGCTGGGTACCGGATACCTTTATGTGTTAATAGATTGGCACAAGGCGTTCAAACAGCATCTGGCTTCTTCTCTGTTACTTATTCTCTCATATAAGCAGGGCAGATAATCGGACATTACGGCTACCATAGCAACTGGCTTGAATCTCTGGACGTGCATTCTCTATTTTGGATGACGAACATTTATTTTAGTGTATGGTACAAAAGCCATACCTACTACGCTGGAAGTTCCCTGAACGCCGTACCTATGTTTATTCCGATATCATGGGCTATTTATTATCTGGCATGACCAACGAAATGAAACAACAGGGATATGTCAGACGCCTACTCCGTACTCGACGCCTCCTTACCAATTACCAATTACCAATTACCACCTGCCCCAGCCCTCCCATGTGCCGCCCCAAAACAACAGCCTCAACCATCCCCCACCATATCCCTTAATTTTTTTTTTCCTTGACTCTTCTAGTGCCTATCAAGTCCGGATCCTCTTACCTTCTTCTATTACTCTCTTTCCCCTCCTTCCTCTCCTCTCCCTTCATATCATCCTCCTTCCTCTCCTCAATCTCCTCAATCTCCTCAATCTCCTCAATCTCCTCAATCTCCTCAATCTCCTCAATTTCCTCCTTCCCCTCCTTCTCCTCCTTCCTCTCCTCCCCCTCCTCAATCTCCTCCGTCCCAGTCCCAGTCCCACTCCCACTCCCACTCCCAGTTCCAGTCCCACCCCCACTCCCAGTTCCAGTCCCACCCCCACTCCCAGTTCCAATCCCATTCCCTCTCCCAGTTCCAATCCCATTCCCTCTCCCAGTCCCAGGTACCAACCCCCTCTGCTCCTCCAAATCCTCTTCAGTCCAGTGACTCGCTCGACTCTTATGTCTGTCCGGATCTTGTTTACTGTCAAAGTAGAAACCAAACGCCAAGTCTTCTTCTTCTTCGGCCCGGCGGATTATGTGGTTCATGCGGTGGCCAGCGAGGTAGACTGTGCAGTCGGGATGTGAGCAGATATATTTCTTCTTCTTTAAGGTAGAGGTAGAGGTAGAGGCAGAGGTAGGAGTATTCTGGGCCTGGCACTGGGCTTGGACATGGGTCTTCTTATCCGTGTTGTCTGGTCCGTTACTGCCAGCTTAGTTGTCGCCATTGTTTCGGGTTGGAGACTCTGAGGGGGACTTGGCGGGTGATGCCCATGGTTTTTTTTAGTAGGATATGATACCTATGATATGATGTTTTGGGACGGGACGGGAATTTGCTGTTGTTGTTGCTGATGAGGTATGTAGAAGGTAGGGTAGAGTAGGTACATAGACGTACAACCTAGAGGTAATGGAATGTGGATGGGTACTGGATAGTACAACGACTGCCTATGCAGTGGAGGTTGCATGGAGATCGTTGGCTCCCTGCCGCGCTTGTAGAAGGGTAAGAAAGGCGGCAGATTGTTTGTGTGCCCTGGATATGGATGACTGGACCTAGCTGGACCAAGGTAGTTAAAAGAGGGTTTTGTGATAGTATAAAAAAAATCAAAATGACGGAAGCACAGCTTTATGTTGAGCTTTCGTCGAGATTATATACCTCTACCTTGGGGGGAGAGGAAGACATTGGGTCTGGATTGCAGTAACGTCTGGTGGACTGGTTGCCATGTGCATATCATCTGAACCTGCCTGCAGCGGATGGATATCATCTGAACCTGCCTTGGTTCAAAACAGTGAATAGGCACGAGAATACCTAGCGTCTGAATAGGATTCAAGGTTCAACCGCGACCCCACAGAGAACCAGTGCGTCTCAACTATTGAGTGACTACCTTACCTACGTAGTAATTCATAACCCGCGGCCGAGTCAAATAGGATGAATCAATACTATCCAAAGCTTATCATCTTTGTTCCGACTGGAAGAAGAAGAAGAATTCTTGCCTCTCTACGCCGCAAAAACCGGTTGGATCTTGGACTCGACATTTCCTACGATGTTGGCGCTTTGAGTTAATCATGAGATGAGAAGGAGAGGAGAACGAGTTACGAAGAGACTATCGTTGGTAGCTGGCATACTAGGTAGGAATCCACCTCTGCCTAGTTCAAGCTGTACTTAAGGCCCCTTTGTTTACGGTCAGGTACCATTGTCTTTTACCTCTACGAATTATCTGGAGGTAGAGAGAAACAACACCAGCGTTGAACACGAAGCAAACGGAGCATGTAATACAGATATAGGTAGTGTACCGAGCGAGTGTGTATAGAATGTGTGCTTCAGTGACCGTTGTTATATGAGGGCTATAAAAGAACAGAGAAGGTGAAAAAGGCGCAGAAGCGCCCAAGGTAGGTAGGTAAATACAAAGTCCATTCGTTAGGAGGACAAGCGAAGAAGGATAAGTGCATAAGTAACTGCCGTTGCCGTCCAAGCCAAGCCAACCGAGGTAATCCGTATCCAGCCTCATGGTATCCAGGTAGTCCCAGCCCATCCATCCATCCAGTTTTGATGCAGCTTGATAGTTAATTCCATGTACAATAATCATCGACATTATCCAACACTGCTAGCTTTTGTGCCAAGTGTTGTGGGTATACAAACCTTCTCTTCCCTTTTCTTCCCAACAACCTCCACCCTCCCTCCTAGGTAAGGTATACAACCTCGTTCTCTATAGAGGTGGGTGCTCACTCCCCATCCTCAATCCTCAACCTTGACTGACACTCAACACAACACAAATCACCACCCGCTCCCCCTCCTCTTTCTTCCCGGAGTCAGCTTCGCGAATCCGTCCCACTAAGACTTCAAATGCCCTCTCTGATTCTCCTTCCCCGCCGCCCTCGCCTCCGTAGCCGCCGTAGGCGCACTAAAGCTCCTAGTCCCTTCGCCAGGCGTCATCGGGTTCATGTCCGTGCTCTTCTTAAGCGCACTGGCGTAGCTCAAGTCATTGCTGACGACCCCCGCGGGCTTGCTGGGCGACTGGGTGCGCTTGCTAGGCGATAGTGGCCGTCGGGTGGGTGAAGCGTTCCTTTGACTGTTCTTGCTCGGTGAGGCGTTCCGCTTGTTCGGGGAGGGAGCACGCTGTTTGTTGGGAGATTCAGGCCTCTTGTGTGGCGATGGCGCTGGGTCTCGGCCACGCTGCTTATTCGGTGACGCATCCCTCTTGTTCTTATCCGGGGACTCTGGCCGCTTAACGGGGGACAGGGGTCGCTTCTCGGGGGATTGAGGACGGGATTTGATTTCGCGACTTCGGCCACGTTCGCGGCGCTCGCGGATCATTGCGAGGGCTTCTTCCCTGGATACAGGGAGTTCACCTCGCGATTCCGAGCGTGGCTTGGGGACGTTGATGTCGCCGTCGATGTCCATGGCATTTTCGCTGGTGGCGGCGCTAGCGACGCTACCCTTGGAAGGGGTTCTGAACATCCGACCTAGATCCGCGTTGGTGGACGATTCCTTGAGGGGAACCTTGGTTGTGATGGTGCTCGAGTTCGTGGTAGATCCAAACATCGATGCGTGGGCTAGGCTGGAGGGTGAGTAGCCTAGCTTGGACTCGGAGAAACGATCGATACGTCGTGAGGCAGGCGCTGGAGTGTGAGTGGGCGGTTGTGGCGAGGCGGGCACTTGCCGGATTGACTGTTGTGACTTTTGGCTATCGTGGCTGGCGCGGGAGTTAGTCCTATCCCCTTCTACTCCCTCGTTCTCCTTCAGTTGAGGGGGTGGTACGTTTTCTTTTTGTTGTTGACTGGGGTGATAAAGCTTGGGTTCCTCCCAGTTGAGATGGTCTTGATACACGCTGGTGGTTGCGGTATTGGTCGAGGCAGTGACAGTTTGTACCGATCCAGACATGGCCGAGCTGATGACCGAAGAGGCTGGTATCGTAGGAATGTTTCCCATGACATCGCTACCGATCGACTCCGCATACCGCTTGTGCGGCGCCGTCAACAAACTCTGCAACGACGCCCGCTCCGAGTCCAGCACATAGTCCGGTACACCCTCACTATCTGGCGTCCTTCGATGTCTCGACATGATACTGTCCTGCATTTCCGACCACGCTTGCGACTCGCCCATTCGTGAGTCTGCCATGCGTGAGGACTGATCGCTTGTGCGCTGGTATCGTTGTCGCTTGTAGAGGTTTTCCCGCTCTTTCGCGCCGTTGACAGGGACGGAGGGTGCTTGTAGTTTATCCAACTCCTCCTGCGACAATGTCCTGAAGATGCCCTGCTCCGGTAGAAAGACCTTGGTTTTCTGCCCCGACTTCTTCGCACTCTCGCTCCTAAGCTGCTCGGTCTTCGTCCTCTTAGCCGACGGAGGCGAGATCCTGTCCACGCAAGGCGATGGTGAAGCATCCCTAAGAATCACCAAGTCACCTGCGTCTGTGACTTTTGATGGGCTTATTTCCGCCCGCTTCCTTTTTGCGCCTTCCATGCCTCCAATGCTTGGCCTCTTGGTAGCCGCCCGGGCGCCGGCGCACATTTTGAGATTGCATTCGACTTCCATGAAGGCGATTAGCTCCAAGGCACGATCAGCTCGTTGCTTCTCCCACTGCCAGAGTTCTTTCAGTTCTTCGATTTCGGATTCGCTGGTCGTGGAATGTTCGAGGTCGGCGGTGTGGTGGATATAGGACTTGAGAGCGGCGAAGTCGTCTTCTGGTTCTAGTGGTTCCATGCCGCCCATCTCGACATCTTTCGTCTCCGGTAGTGGGATCTTTCCCTCGGCCGCAATCCTTGCCAGCTCCTCGCTCTTAGCTAGCGCCTTGAACGCGTCCCTTTCCATCTCCAGAGTGTTGATATGTTCCATCGCTTTGTTGAGTTGTTCTTGGAGTCCGGCCGTGACATTTCTCGCTTCGATGGCTTCCTGTTCGCGGGCCTGTGTTTGCCCCTTTTGTTGCTCGAGCTCTTCTTCGGCAGCCTTTTGGGCGGCTCGGCTGGTGTGCAGTTCGGCTTCAGCGGTTCTCAGAGCGGTGCGAGTGGATTTGAGCTGTTTTTGCAATTCGACGATATCGGACTGGGCTTTGAAGGTCTCCTTGCGCGCTTTGCGGATCTCTTTCTCCCAGATGGCTTGGGTGTGGGCGAGGGATTCTTTGGCGCGACCGTAGTCCTCCTGGCGTTGAAAAGCCGTTAGTTCCTGCCAAAGAGGTGTTTGTGATGAGCGAAGGGATAGATAGACTTACCATAACAACTTCCAGTCTGTGGGAGACCTTTTTCTCCCTCTCCTTGCCCTCCTCAACCTGCTGTCTCAGCACCTTGACCTCCTCACGCAGACGTCGCACTTCAGCCTCTGCTTCCTCGCGCCCAAGCACGGCGCGTTGGAGGGCGGCATCTGTTATTTTGCGTTCCTGGTGTTTGGCCTGGAGAGCCATCGAGTTGAACTGGCTAACCTTTTCGGCAACCGATTTGTCGCGACCATCTTTGGGTGAGAGTAGGGAAGGGCCTTCGCGCTGTTGGTTGTGGGAGATGGGTTGTAAGGGGTCGGGAGGGCTGATGGTGAGGAGGTTGACACTGTGGTCGTCGCCGCCTCCTATGACGGGGGCCTTGGTCGGCGAGTCTGCCAGACCCGGCGACGCTTCCATGGTTAGTGGGTGGTGATTGTGTGCACAGATCAATGGAGATAGATGCGATGCATATAATGGATGCGATGGGTGGGCGACAGGATGATACGTGGTGGTGGTGGTAGTAGTAGCTCGATGTAGTTGTCGTCGATGTCGATGTTGACAATGCAATAATTGTTGGTTGAAAAGACGCGTCGATGTCGATGATGCGACAGTCGCGGGCAAGTGTCTCGGGGTCTCTACTGCTGCGTCATCTGACTTTAGAGCATCGAAAAATGTTGACAAATGCGGATCGGGGGGTTGATCTTGGTTTCCGCCTTGCAGTAGTAGATGTTGTTTGTGGAAAGAGGTTAGGTTCAGGCTTGCGTCAGGCGGCCAGTGGTTGTCGTGCCTCGTGGATGTCCTGCCCTTGTCGGTTTTCCCCAGGTTTATTTTTCGGGTCGCAGGTTGTACATTTCAGTTGTTTTTCTGTCAAGTATCAACAGCACCATTAATGACACAGTGCTATCGGCAGTCCGAGTGTTCACTGAAAACACAAAAATGACTCGAGATGCACTGCACTCTGATGTAATAAAGCTGTAAACAAAAAGAGGTCTCTCGATGAAGAAAGAGGAATTGTGCGACAAACAACGAATGATTCCGATGAAGTAATCAAGCATTCCATTCGCGCCCGCCCCTCCTTATGCTTTTCACAGTCTTGGGTAAATTGGAACTTTGCGACTGCGTATTTTACCGTCTTGTTACATGTACAGTGTCAAATAGCTCCCGCATTGGCTCCAACGTGCGCCGTGTTGCCCGGGTGACGCGCTACCTTGTTGACGATGCAGTAAACACGTGGGATCCCCGCCTGTTCCAACGCAATTGGCCAGCCTTGCATTTTGCATCCTTTAAGCATCCCATTTTGCCCAATTGGCGACTTGAGATGACATAGCCATCGGGAACAGGGCCCTTTAGCCCCAAGCTTGGAAAGGGAAACGGAAGCTTCCTTCCCTGAACCCTTCCATTCTCTCAGCCTCGCATCCATTCGACTTAACCGGTCAAGGAAGACATCTGTTCATTTGTCACCAGTTTCCATTCCATTCCTATTTGTTGTTGTTGTTTTGATCCTCTACATTGGATGTTTACAAATCACTACTAGCCACAACATCGTCAACATGGCCGACACCGACACCGTCCGCCGGCGCAAGCCCGAATCCAAGACAGCCTCAGCATCAGAAGACTCCGAAGTCGAAGAGATCGTCCGCCCCGGATTCCCTCCCCACTCCGACTCTCAGAATGGCGGCAGCAAGAAAAAGAAAGCCCCCAAGCGCCGAATCGAAGACGAGGACGAATCCAACCCCTGGCTCCTCGACATCCTCCGCGTCATCTCCTTCCTCTTCCTGGCCTCTTGCGGTCTAAGCTACCTCATCTCCAATGGCGAGACCTTCTTCTGGGGCATGTCCCACCCGCCCAACTACCTCCAGCTAGGATGGTGGAAGTCCCAAATCGTAGGTCCTTTCCTATTCCTTTTGCCCAACCTGAATAATCATTAGCAGCACCAGCTAACAAACTCGGCAACGTAGAGCGGCCCCATCTACCTCACCCCCGCCGAACTCGCCGCCTTCGATGGCACCGACGAATCCAAGCCCATCTACCTCGCAATCAACCACACCATCTACGACGTTTCCGCCAACCGCCGCACTTACGGCCCGGGCGGCTCCTACCACGTCTTTGCCGGCGTTGACGCCTCGCGCGCTTACGTCACCGGTTGTTTCGCCGAGGACCGCACCCCGGACATGCGCGGTGTCGAAGAGATGTTCCTCCCTCTTGACGACCCTGCCGTGGACAACAAGTACTGGAGCCCCGAAGAGTTGAAGGCGCTAAAGAGGAAAGAGATGGAGGAAGCCATCAAGAAGGTCAATGATGCCCTCAGCCATTGGGTTAACTTCTTCGGCAAGAGCAAGAAATATAGGTTTGTGGGGTATGTCAAAAGGGACAAGGACTGGTTGAAGAAGGAGAAACAGCCCAAGTTGTGCGAGGCCGCGGGCAGAGGGAGGACGCCTAGGTCACCGCCGGGGGAGGAAAAGAAGGAGCACTAGAGAGATGGCTCCTGGAAGAAACAGCGCCACAAATGTAGTTCGGAGGGAAGCAATGGCCCGGCGACATGAACTGTGGCTGGCTTTGTGGTGATCGATTTGAGAGCCTTATTGTTTATGTATTGGCCTCATCAGTTGTGCAGTGAACACCGATCGATGTCTTTTTATGGTGATTGCATAGGAAACAGGACAGAAGTGGTAACTTACCTCTCCACCAATGGAAATTCGAGGCCGTAGAGGTATTGATTATTTCTTTTTGCCAGCAGCAGCAGCAGCAGCAGCAGGTTTATCAGGTATGAATGGGTCACAGAAGCAGTTTGAACAGTTTGAATACCAGACATCATGACACTCAATTTTGATGCAAGTATCTAACCAATCAACCAAGCCATATGCTCGCAGCAACCTGGTGCCCGACTGGCCAGCTCTAATAAACCAAAACGAAAAGAACGTCGCTGACAACTCAAAGAAACAGGAAGCCAGCACGCCCGACACCGAAGAACATTACACTTGTTTACCATCATACAATCCAACTCGGGCTCCTTTCGTGCATTAGAGAGACAAGAAAGCAGCAACACCACCAGCAACAAGCGCAAACATGCTCGTAGCTCCAGCAGCAGAGAGCATACCCGCACCAGCAGTCACCGGCTGAGCCGAGGAAGAGCCACTGGGGATGGTCGAGTTGGACGGGATAGTTCCGGTAGTTGGGTCGGTCGTGGTGGTGCCGTCGGTGCCATCGGTGCCATCGGTAGAACCAGAACCAGAACCAGAATCGGAGCCAGTACCCGAGCCGGAGCCAGAATCGCTGCCAGAGTCACTGCCAGAGCCGGAACCGGAACCGGAACCGGAACCAGAGTCGGATCCAGAACCAGAACCGCTGCCACTACCGCTACCGGCATCAGCACCAGGAGCAATGTTTGCCGCAGCATTGGCCGCAGCAGCCTTGTAATTCTCCAATGACTTGGTCGCATTTGCAGAGGTACTATTTTCAGTTAGCCATTATCCACATCCACACCCCCTCACCAGTGTCAGAAAAACTTACTCCTCATTAACAACCATCACCATGCCCCCCTGACAATGTTTTCCCTGCGCACAATACAGCCACAAAGGATTCTTATTCTTCACCACCACCGTGTAAACAGGAACATTATCCTTGTCGGCGGCAGCAGCCATGAACCCCGAATGGATCCCCGTGACGTTGCTGTTCATAACAATAGGCTGGCACGGCGCGTCAAATGTTGATTGCGTCACGGTGTGGTTACCCGCTACGAACTGGAATTGGATTGCTTCGCCTGGTGAAACGTCGGAGAGCTTGGAGGGGGAGAAGGTGATGGTGCCGTTGTAGCCGACTGTTACTAGGTGGGTTTTTTGGGCGGTGACCATTGGGATGGTTGTGATGAGGGTGGTGAGCCCGGCGAGGAGGAGGTTGGAGAAGTGCATTTTGGCGGTTGGCGTTGGGTTGAGTGTTTTGGGTTGAAGATCTGGTTGGTAAATTGGGAAGAAAGAAGACCGTCGTCCGTCTAGCGGGTTGTTGTCGGGTTTAGGTTGAGAGAGTGTTGAGTGAGAGAGTGAAAGGTGGTGAGAGCGACTAGCGCTGTATTAACGTATTGTCGAAATAGTTGAGCAGGACTAGCCTAGCTGCTTTATCGAAAGGGAAAGTAAAGACCGGACGACGGCGGTGGAAGAAAGGAAAACGAAAAGAAAGAAACGACCCGGGTTGTAGGTTGTGAACGTGGTGGTGGATGAGGAAGAAGGATGACGAAAAGAGAAGTTCCTGGAAACAGAGATGGGGAGGGTATCGTGGAGATATAAGTCAACGCCCAGACCCAAAGAGATTCAAAGATCGGCCGGATGTAAGCTGGGCCTAAAAGATATCCATGACCTGCCATGGTTAGCAACGGAACTGTCAGGTTTCATCGACAAAAAGGAGTCGTGGCTGGAGGTTCTGGGGTTGACCCCATAGAGGTGGCCAAGACGGAGTGTGGTATTGAAACATCACGGTGTTTGGAGTTTCCGAACGGGACAAGGACAAGGACTGGGCATTATTAGCTGGGGGGTACACTTACACCAAATTTCTGTTGGCTATAGCAAAAAGAGTATTGCTCTCTGAAAAGCTAGCTTGTCCTCCTCCTCCTCCATGTTCTCGGAACTTCCACTTCGTTTGATTCGTAGAGGTATCTTTCAATCGAAGCACCTCGGCAAAGTCCCGGAATTCGACATGGACGAAACGAAAACGATGGCCGTGCCGAATTTGAGATAGGTGGGATTTCTACCCAGCCTGGTGAAGCGCGTACGGTGGTAAAGCTCGTATCGACATCTGTAGAGAAGAGAGTGATAGGTGAATTGGGTTTTGTAAAGAATGCGTCTGAATGCTTCCATGGTAACGAAGGTAACGAAGAGAAGTGATGAAAGGAAGGTGTCGCTGTCTGCTGCTTTGCGAACTCGAAGATCCTACTTCAGATTCAATCATTGGATTCAGTTGAAGATCTTGGTGGTCTTGATATCCCCGAGACACTTCGCCACCTATCCACCCATAAGAACCAATCCGTCAAGCCAAACCCCATCATATCCATCTTCATTACTCGTCTTCATACTACCGACGAAAATCTAAAAGTCGAAAAAGAGAAAGAGAAAGCCAAAAGCCAAATTAAGGTTCGGACCCCTGCTACTACATGTAAGCGCCAGGGGGGCGGCCGTCTGTGACCAGGGGTCAGAGCACACCCGGGAGCCGACCATCACTAAGAGATCTGCGACGCATCTGATACACGGATCCGGTTTCAGTAGTCTAAACCACGACTCGGTTAGATTTTTCCAGATCTTAGTCCCTTGCTGGCTGAATCTCATCGTTCCGAGAGGGCGATATCGGAAATGCCAATGTCAAAGTGCCAAGTTGGGTGTTGGGACGAATTCGAATTAGTCGTGGTATCGAAGCTATGACGGGGTCTGAGCATAGCATGGGTAATGTCAATGTTGTCTTTGTGTGTTTGGTTAGCTTCGTCTTTTGAGTATGATCGGGATTTTGACGGTCTAGACTCTCTCAGGTTCAGAGCGGGAAGATTATAAACAGACTGGTTAGAAACACCGCGGGAGAAGATAAACATCTGCTATGGTTAGTAATGAAGTTTTTTGAGACCTGGCCGTCTATACTCGACCTTCTGCCCATATCAGCCTTAACCATAAGTCATCAGGAGTTGCTCACTTGATACTTTTCTTAAAGCACATACTGAACATGGTCTGGACTTCTTCTGTCTAATCATCCCATCTTTAAAGTGTGGCCTAACTTGCACTTTTTCGAACTTCATCGAGCTTGAGTTTAGCAACAACTGATTGTACTAATCGCCCGCCAGTTCTTAACACCCCATGCGCTTGTTCTACTAGCTTCCATCCACCACGTACAGCGTAAGACGTCGTGTGATCCCAAGGCGTCATCGTCGATCATTTTCTTGAATTCCATCTCGTAAGGCCGTTCAAAGTACGGAGAATGGTGATGTTACCCGATCGTGTGGCCGCCGGTTGCCGGAGGAACAAATCAAAGTTCGAAGCTGAGAATGTTCTGCCCTGAACCCACGGAGCATACCACTCCCTCGGAATCACCCTCTCCCAGGTAGCTGGCCCCCATTCTCTTTGACCTAGAACTTTCTTCTCCTTCTCCCCAGTCCTTTCTTGGGCCCTCTGAAACTTCAGCCCAGTCATAGGCATAGCTCCTCAAAGATCCAACAACAACTGCGGCGCAATCTTCTCCAAATCCTCCACTTCCAAAAACCCCCCTCCTCCCGTCGTCGTCCCATTCCCTCCCTCCCGTTCCATCACGCTCCTAGCAATCGCCTCCCTAACAAAGATATCCACATATCTCGCCACGGCCTCATTCGCGTCCTTCGTTATCTTGGTCTTATCGCTCTCGAAGAACTCGTACAGTAACCTCGTTAGTAATTCCGAGGGGACGGTGGGGCGTTCCTCTTCTGCTTCGTCTTCGTCTTGTTGCTCTTCAGCGTCTGAATCTTGTTGCTGTTGTAATTGGTACCGATCTGAGTCGTCGTCGGAGTCGTTTCGGTCTCGGTTGTTGTTGGTGCGCTGCTGCATTTGTCGTCGTCGGAATCGATTCGTGTCCACTTCTGGTTCTTCCTCTTCCTCGTCTTCGTCGGACCCAAGTATGGTCACGTCATTGTTTATGCGGCTGTGATCGAACATTTCGAGGTCTTCGTTGTCTTGGTCGGAGGCGAGCTCGATCGTGTCTGTGGTTTCGTGGCGTTGCTTCGAGAAGGAGGGGTCTGCTGAGGTAGAGCCACGTTTGGCGCCGGCAGGAGCTGTGATTGTGAATGCCATGTTAGCTTGGATTGAGTATTTGGAGCGCAATTGATCCAATTGCGACCGTGAGAAATGGGAGGCTTACCGCGACGGCTGCTGGAGGCCGCGGGGGTTGATTTGGGAGCCATTGTGCCTAATTTGTCGCTGATACCTGAAGCCAGGTGGAGGAGAAAGGAAAGGCGCTAAGTTAAGAAATAGTATACGGCGTAAATGGTTATAAGCACAGTCGTGGAAGCTGGGCGCGCAAAGCTGTCGCAAGTCCAGAGGTGTGTTGGGAAGATGTATGGTGGTGGAAGTTCAGTTGCTTGGAGACGCGACCCGAGAAAGGTACCCCAATTCCCAAGTCGTACTGACGTAACGTATCGAACAGTGATAACCAGAAGTTCGGCCGAAGTTCACAATGTCCACATGGTGATGGCATTTCACGTATTCGCAGGCATTGCATAATCACTTGTTGTCAGAAAAAGTTCGGAAAGGAAACCCATGAATTCGCCAAACTATCGTCAAAGAGGATCTATGAGACGCATGCAAAGGAAATCAGGCGGAAAGATGATGTTGCCAAAAGGCAAAGGAGAATACACATGGGGAACAGCTAAGGATATTTGTATTACAGCGGGGAATTGGTATATAGCCCGCGAAACCTTCCTCCTCAACCGGACAATGGCTCAACGCTTGAGTCCATCGTCACAACCTTTTCGAAACTCTCCGTCAGAGATAGATGCCGAAGAGGATCGGTCTGATCTCCATCCCCAAAAAGGGTCATCTCCTCAACTTCAAAGTTTAGTACATTGGAGTTGGGAAATTTAACCGGAACCACCCTTGAAGGCCTTGCCGAAGAGGAGGACCTGGAGCTGATCGTAGATGGAGAGGACACCAGCACCGGCGACACCACGGAGAATGTTGGCACCAGCACCCTTGAAGAGAGACTTGACACCCTCCTTGGCGACGATCTGGGAAGCGGCATCGAAGGAAGACTTGTACTTGACGGCCTCACCGGAGGTCATCATCATGCGACGACGGATGGTGTCAAGGGGGTAAGAGGCGATACCAGCGGCGGTGGTGACGCACCAGCCGAGAGCGAAAGAGGCGAGGAAGTTGTTCTTGAGGTCACCGACGAGGAGGACGGGCTTGATGGAGTCGTAGAGACCGAAGTAGAGACCACGGTAAACGATGATACCAGCGACGGAGGGACCGAAACCACGGTAGAGACCGGCAATACCATCGGAAGCGATGGTCTTGCGGTAGACATCGACGAGGCCGTTGAACTGACGCTCACCACCCTTCTTGGCGGACTTGGCGTCGTTGGCGAGACGGGTACGGGCGTAATCGAGGGAGTAGACGAAGAGGAGGGAAGTGGCACCAGCGGCACCACCGGAGGCAAGGTTACCAGCCATCCACTTCCAGTAGCCATCCTTGTCCTTCTTGAAGCCGAACATGGCCTTGAACTTGTCGCGGAAAGCGAAGTTGAGGGCCTGGGTGGGGAAGTAACGGATGACGTTGGCGGTGTTGCCACGCCACAAGGCCATGACACCCTCATCGGCGGTGGTGCGCTTGAAGCAGTCGATGATACCGTTGTAGCGGCGGTCGAGACGGCCGGCGCGGATCATCTCATCCTAGAGGGTTGTCAGTATACCTTATCATACACATGTGATGGAGGTGTACTCGTTTCTCCCATCGCTGACGGTGGAAGGGTGTGGCACGTGACAGCCCAGATAAACTTGACGGCAGACTGCTACCGCACGCGCGGATCACAGCGCCCCAAGGATATTCCCTTCTCCGGTCGGCAATGGGAGAATGAGGTAATTATTGGAACGTACCTGGTTCTGGACGAGGAGCTTGATACGCTCAATGGGAGCGGCAGCGGTCTTCGAGACGGCGGCGGAGACACCACCCATCAAGAAATCCGCCACGAAGGGCTGTAGAAAGGGAGAGATGTTAGCATGATGTTATTGTCATGTCGCGATAAGCAAACAGAGAGATGTCATGTCAGGTCGTGTGTCCCCGCATTTCCCGGTGCGGTAGTCGACATGCAAACGCCATGGCCTAGGTAGCTTGCGACAGATCAAGCGCAAGTAACAATCATAACCATCATCGTCGACCGACTGATTCAATCGGAGGACCGGATGGTTGTTGTCGTTGATTGCTATTGTGCGATGACTTGCGAAGGCTGGCTGAGGTTGCGGTGTGTGTTGCTGGATTGCTTCCAGTGCTTGACCAGAGAAAATGACGACAACAACAACGACCTTGACGACGACATCATCATCTTTCGAAAGAATGGGAGAATAATACATACCGGCATGCCCAAAACCTTCTGCTGATCCGCCATTGTGATATTCCTTTCCTTGCTGTAAAAAAGAGAGGAGTGGAGATGGAGAGAAAAGACCAAGCTCTGCTACGAGAGAAGAGGAAGAAGTCGCGAGAATATATTCTGCGGCCGACTGGGGTCTGGGGCTCCAAGGGGGGGCCGACGAAAAATTTCGCAGCGGAGACAAGGAAGCAGGCCCAGTTTTTATTTTGTGCGGGTGCCAGCCGCTGCTAGCCCACCGAATCTTCCCGGTCCCCTGGCTGGGCTGCCAAGCACCGGGCACGAGCCATTCACTCGCATCTTTGCCAGATCGGGCGACCTTGCAGCTGCCGGCGGCCCTCGACAGCTCATGCCACTCGTGCCTGTTCCGCGGCGACAGTCAGGCTTGCTGCACTGCCGGTAAAGCCCGAAAAAGGCTCCAGTCCATCTTGTAACAAGAACCCAAATCATCGTCACCCAATTGGACGCATCGGAGCCCAATTTGTTCGTTGGCTATAATTACACGTATCAATTATCCCTCAGTACAATCTTTGGAGACGTCGTGTTTGAGGTGCCACGAAGTCCAGCAGCGAGACGCCAGCCGCCATCGTGAAACTGGTTATTTTACATATAGTTGGCAGCCGACGGCCGACCGCCTCTTCGCCTTCTCACCGTTCATTACTTTCGACAGTTTTCAATGATGCCCTCGGCTACGTCGTCTCAAACAGGAGCCTGAGATGGAGCTGTCGCCATCACTGTCCATCCACTGTCTTGGGATTCCCACGTTTCGAAAAAGAGCCTTCCGTCTTTGAACCCCCTCCCCAGCCGTCGCCCGTCACCCCTCTTCGCTCGCTCCCCCAGTCTTTCGTCCCCCTCCAACAAACACCCTTCATGCTTTGCGTTGGCCAAGACCCGAGTCAGATTCCTTGGCACGAAAAATGCGGATCATCGAGACAGCTGGAGCCGCCGTCTGCTACGAACCCAGAACTCTCTCCACGGCCAGAGATTCGGCTGTCATGCAAACCACGGGCCGGAAAACATTCATTCGGTGATCTCAACTTCCGAAAGGGTCAATTTCCAGGACATCCGACTCTTTGAAGTTTTTGACAACCTTCCCCATGGCCATGAGAATTCGATGGCAAGGGAATCCTACTTATCACCCACGAGCTCAAATTCCCTTTTGGCTCTTGTCCCAGGTTCAGTGGAATTGCAACGTCATGCTGCAGCCCCCCGGCCTTACTTTTTCAGCGCACAATTGTGTACCCCCCTCCCTCCTATTCGCTTTTCAGAACCGCTGAGCCGCCCGAATAGCATCGCCAGCAGCCAACCACTAGGCCATCGCTAGCAGGCTCTAGGCTGGCATGTGGCAAACGACGACGGCAACGGGCGGCAATTTCGGGCAACAGCTTCGGTCAATGAAAGCTCGTCAATGGGAAAGCTTCAACAGCTCTCGGGGCCAAAGGATCTCTAAGAGAAAATGATCGAGTAATGAAAGCTCTGACGGCGAGACGGTCTCAACGGTGAGTCCGATGTGCACTTGAAAATCACTGAATACGAAAAGTGAAAATGAAGACGGTGGCGGCAACATGGCCTATCTTCACCATTGGTTCCAAATGATAGGGAACATTTCCACAATCCATCAAGGTGCCGGCCGGAGGGGGTCCGTTCATGCCAAGCCGACAAGGTTCGGGACGCTGGACCGGACTTGGAGATAACCTCCAACCGTAGCGAGCTTTCACGTGCGCTCAAAGTCCATGAACAACCTAGCAGAGATACATATCACGGTGAGGTATTTGCAAGCAAGTAAACAACACTTGAGGCTCACCTTGCTCACACACGAGAGAAGAATCGGTCAATCACAGTATGCTTGTGAGTGTGCCGTCTTTCACCATGTTCATCGGCCATGGAGTCAACCTTGGCCTCCCTCGCCGCTCAGGATGAGTCCAGCGGCTCGCCGTAATACTCTCGATCGAAGAGCTCGGCTATTTGACGAGACCATTTGAAGAGATCATCATATTGCTCTGCGCGACTTTACACGATCCGCGCGGGAGAGCAAAGTGCGACTGTCCAATATTCTTCCGAACCTCACGACTTAGTGGCGCAACTGGAAGTGCGGGCTCATATCACTACCTCCCATACTCTTATAATACCCGGCTGGCATCAAGCAGAGGGGCCAAGACAGAAGCTTCTAACATTGATAACACTCAAATACGAATCTCAACTTCTCGTTCGAAGGTCATGCTCATGCGTGGTTCTCGATGGTTATCTTTCTTGGCAAGCACAACGAGCTTAGGAAGGGGCCAAGCAGGGATGAGGAACGTACACCCCATCTTGCTCTGTGATCAAGTCGTGGTTTTCCATCTTCCGCCGTCATTCTTTTGAACTGGTGGTTTGTCGTGTTTATGGGGGTCTGTGGTCGATGACGCTGTTCAGGAATGCATATGAGTGATGAACTCATGGGATACCAGGAATATCGGATATATAGGGGGATGGTTCAGTACCTCTACCCAAAGAGCTGCAGATGTTCTCTAGAATTACATCTTACATAGAAGCAGATCTGGACATCCACACCCAAGGATGTGGATCTGGCATGTAATCCATCATGCCCCGGGTGAGAAGATGGAGATCATCTCAAGATACTGAGGAGGCAATGAAGGAGAACGGACAAGATTGAGCAGTGTCGGGCCATCCGACTCAAGGTGGAGTATGAGAACTTGTGTGAGAAAGGAGCCCCAGGTGATGGTGTTGACCGGGACTTGGCCCTGGATGGAGTGGAAGGAGCTCCTCAATTTCGGGCTGTTTCTCACCGAGATGTCTTCGACGGAGTCTAGTTGATAAGGAGCAGTCGATAAGAAACATCCTTAGCTTCGACTCTCACCTCCATTCGGTGACGGAATACTTCAACGGCCACGCGCCGTCATTGACGAGATGGAACCCGATCCTCATAGGGCTGGACTAGTGGTCTTGGGAGGATCCCATCCCAACGTCCATATACCATCATACACACATACGTCACTGGCACCAGGGAGACTTGATGTTGCTTTGAGGAAGTAAATTAGTTTCCTATTCTACCACCTCTAGTCCTTCTGTCCTCCTCCTCGGATTAGGGTATCATAGAGAACCGCTCGTGAGAAGCCATTCCCATCGGACTAGGCATGCACACACACGGCTTGCACGTAAGCATCGCAGGAGGTCCAACTCTTTTCCCAGGCAGATAGGAGTCGAGTTGTCCCCGGTCGTTTGTCGCGTGATATTGGTCGTTCCGTTTCGTATCTTCCGATCGATGCAAAATCCCAGTGTGATTGTGTAAAGAATCTGAGGAGCACTTCCCGATTCCCCTCCCACTAAAATGCTACACCGTGTGCATTGTGCATGCAAAGATTGACCATTTCCCACCAGAGACTGTAGCCCGATCAAAAAAGTCAAACCCCTTGCTTGTCGTGACGAACCACCCTTTCAAGTCTGCCGGTCCGTCATGTCAAGAGAATCGCCGGCTATTTGGACATTTACTCGGCGTCGCCAATGGCACGGGCTGTGTGAGAGTCGTATGTTAGCCAAAATCGTTCTCGGAGCTGTGTTCTCGTCGAAATCGAAAAGTGTCGTCGGTCGGTTCAACCGGGCGAGGTAGACGTACTGTAGATCTTCATCTTGCTGTGTCCAACAACCTGCTTGATCTGACCCTTCTCCTCGAGGTCCTTAAGGCAGCGGCGGGCGAGCGAGCCGTTGATCTTAAGACGATCGACGAGGGTAGCGACGGTGACAAGGCGGTAGGACTGGACGTCCTTGTAGAGCTTGTCGGAAGTGGACTTGTCAAGGATGACGGCGTGCTGAGCCTTGTCCTTGACTGCATGTGTGTGTCAGTGAATTTGACCCCAAGACTTTTGTGTTGTCGGAGGCGCCATCACGGCAGCGACAATGACCTCGACGGCGACAGTCGCGAAGCCATTGTCAATCTGCCGAAAATGACGGCCTCGGAAAATGGACAGAGGTTCTCCTTACCCTTGCCCTTGGACCACTTCTTCTTCTGCTTCTTAGCACCAGACGCGGCGGGAGCCATTTTGAATGATGAGTTCTGGTGGTTTGGTGATGAACAGGAGAGGGAGAGACAGTCCTGGCTTCAAGGTCTTTTCCTCTGCGCAACGAAAAGGCGGGGAGATTTTTCTGGTCGGCGCGCAGCGAGTGTGGCTCGGGCGCTGGGCTGGTCTCTGCGCACGCACACACTCTCCGCCAGTGACTGCAGGTGCGCGCGCCAGGCCAAGCTTAGGTCAACCGAGCCCTAACCAATTCGCTCCCCCAATGCGGCAACCAGCGTGGCGGTGCACGGACCGCACAACTGGGGCACAACTGGACCATTTGGGGCTTTCGTAGCGGCAGATTGGGGCTTGACCACCTGAAGCGGGGCCACCAAAAAATTCCCACGACGACCCGTCACTCTCCGCTCGCCGAACGACCACCCTTTCGACGTTATCCTGCCCGAACTCACGGCCAACTTCACCACCAATTACCACGAGGGTCCCCTTTTGCAGTCCGGCCACCGAACAGCAATTCAAAATGTCTGAGGGAGAAGTTGACGTCGCGGCCGTTTCCCAGTATGAGGTCCTCCCCAAGGAGGTCCTCGCTGAGGTTGGCAGTGTGAAGCTGTTCAGTATGTTTACGCTCGAAGTTGCACAATGGCGTCGCCATGCTAACTTGTGATTTTCAGACCGCTGGAGCTACGAGGATGTCGAGATTAGGGATATCTCTTTGACGTAAGCGCAACCCGTCCGAATGATGCACAACCCAGAAAAAAACAAAGAACAACGGTCGCCTGAGATTGCTACGAAACGCGACACGAACGAACATGTACGCGAGAAAGAGGAGGAAACGAAAGAGCTGGGAAACTGTTGGAATTTGGGAGTCATGGTCAATCGCCAATTCGCGTGGAGAAGAACTTGGGAAAACAGAGACATCTTGGTCGCAAAGATGAGCGAAGACAAACACACGAACGGAGGGCTAACGACCAACATCTACACAGCGACTACATCCAGATCCGCTCCCCCGTCTACCTCCCCCACTCCGCTGGTCGCTATGCCGTCAAGCGCTTCCGCAAGGCCAACTGCCCCATCATTGAGCGTCTCACCAACTCCCTCATGATGCACGGTCGCAACAACGGCAAGAAGCTCATGGCTGTCCGCATTGTCGCTCACGCCTTCGAGATCGTAAGACTCACCCGAAACCCGGAATAACCTGCGATAAGCGAGCAATAAGCCAGTTACAGTCACTTACACACGATTATCTAGATCCACCTCATGACCGACCAGAACCCCATCCAGATCGCCGTCGATGCCATCGTCAACTGCGGTCCCCGCGAAGACTCCACCCGTATCGGTTCCGCCGGTACCGTCCGTCGCCAGGCCGTCGATGTCTCTCCCCTCCGCCGTGTCAACCAGGCCATCGCCCTCCTCACCACCGGTGCTCGCGAGGCTTCTTTCCGCAACGTCAAGTCCATTGCCGAGTGCCTTGCTGAGGAGCTGATCAACGCCGCTAAGGGCTCCTCCAACTCCTACGCCATCAAGAAGAAGGATGAGCTCGAGCGTGTTGCCAAGTCCAACCGTTAAAATGGTTATGGCTGGCTGCAGGTGTCAGGGGAACGCTTGTTGGGTGCTTGGGGTTGTTGGACGGATTCTATTCGGCATGTTTTGCTCAGCATTTGTTGCGCGTTAAAAGGGAACTGGGTCTGGGAGGATACGGTTCTTCTACGGCAATTAGGTCAAAACAGGCAGGCACTCAATAAGGGCTCTCAGACATTGAATGAGAGGAAAACGTGGATTTGCGGACAAGATCTAAAAGTGCATATACCTCGAGGCGCCGGTGATTCGGTGAAATTATGATTCCCCTTTTCTTTTCATGATCACGTCCGTTTGGCCATAGTGACTGAACGCCAGTTATCGCCTTTCGTTTTGTTTTGACATCATGGTTCACATTGTCTTCTTGAACGATACATCATATCCCACGAGGTAAGTGGTAACAGCGAAGAACTTGGCCACAGAGTCTACCTCAACCTCCAACACCATGTCTAAGTCCGCTTGAAGTGACCGTCAAGGATTCCAGCTGCTCACGGTTTCCCTTTTGTTCTTTCAGGAGCGTCATTCTTTGCAGTTACGTAGATGAACCGCTGAACGCTTTCTTGAACCCATTTGACAAGTCTTCCTATCCTCCTTTTTATGATATCAATGTTACAAGCAGCCGCTAACGGTAAGGATATAATGTCAGAAAATCCACCATATTTCCCATGTATCTCCATCCTCTGCCCAGGCTTTCACACAGACATCTACGCCTTCACATCCACCCTCTGGAACATACCAACATGCTCAATGCCCTCCTCCCACCACCTCCCCATCTCCTCATCCACCACAAACCCCGCCCTCTTCCAAACACCGATCGCACTGACCTGAGCATGAACGCAGAAAAGACCTCGCCACTTAGGCATCATCCTCGCGTCCCTTTCCGGATCGATCCCCAGGGCTTCGAACCCCCTCTCCTTCACACTCGGGCTGAAATATCTCGGGTTGGCTTTCATCCACTCCACCGCTCTTCTGATTAACTGACCGGCAATTCCACGACCACGAAACTCTTTGAGAACAGCGAGACGGCCGAGTTTCATGTAGACTTCCTCACCATCATGTAAACTAGTCTTGCGATCCTTGCCACCTTGTTCAACCACTTCCAACGCTTGCTTAGTCTCCTCGTCCAGCTCCTCCAAGTTCACCAACTCATCAGCTAGATACCGCCCTCCCTTAACCGGGTGCGGCGCATGAGGGAATGGAACTATCCTGACCGTGCCAATGGGCAACGACCTGGTCTCTGACTTCCGCGGCCTCATGACTCTCCCAGTGTCGGTGTCGAATACTTCTTGCTGGACGACGCGGTTGATGGAAGCGTAGATGACGAAGTGCACGGAGCGAAGGTCGTTGGCGTCGAATTCGTTCTCGGCAGGGATTTCTTGCTCGTTGATGAAGACGGATTCGCGGACGGTCATAGCGTCTAGAAAGGTTTTGGGGATGGTGTTGAGGGTTGAGGGCGATTGTTGAGAGGGGGGGCAGGGAGCCGTTCCAAGGGGAGAGAGAGAGGCCGGGAGGCTCGAGGGTGGCGATGAAGGGGGTGCCCATTTTTGTGGTTGGTGTTGACAACGGACAATGTGTAGATGGGTTTCCCTGAGTGAGACGGTTGAGAGCCGAGTTATGTCCAAAGAGCTGGATGAATGGCTGGCTAGACCTCTTGGGTGGTGATGTTGGTCAAGGTCTCGAGGAGTTTGGAAACTTAAGCTGCCAAGAAGACTTGACTTATATGTACAAGAGAACGGGCGGACACTGACGCGCAGAATGACTCCCTTAACGATTCGGTAGCAAAGTGAGTGACTGGTGCCAAGTCCTGATTGGAGATATAAGTACCCTGGATTGTGTCAGTGGCTGGAAGACTGAGCGGTCTGACTGATAAGTATGGTGAACAAACCAACCAGTATTGTTTCCCGTTTGGTGAGAACCTCTATGGCCAAGCTTCGAAATATTCAAAACGCGCAAGAACAATGAAGAATCGCGACTCTCGTTGGTATTCTAAGCAGATTTTTGAAACAAGTTGCTCAAATGGAAACCTGCCAAGAAGGGTTAAAGAAAGTCTTGGCAAGAAGCCCGCGCCGTGCCTGCCAATGCCCGTCTGTCGCCTGCCGATCACCGATCCGGTATCCGGTGGAAACAGTGTTCCGCTAGCACCTGCCAAAATTTATATGGCCCCCACGGACGGCCCACGGTGGCCGTTGGACTCGGGGGCGGGGTCGGAAAGCGGGGACCACCGGGTTTTATCCGCATTCGATTCCGGAAGGGGATGTGATTGGTCAATTGTTATTCTCCGCTGATTGGCGGCTTCTTCTCCGCAGTCGACTTCTTCCTTTCCTCTTTCCTCTTCTTGCTCCAACAACATGACATGCGACTACCTACCTATTCCCATTGTTACATCTAAGTAGCTCAACTGAATGATGGGCACGTGGTTTGACCGGTGACAGAGGACCAGGCAGCCAACAGCCAGTCATGGACGCCTTCCAAACGAAAAGTGTATAAAAGGAAGCCGGGACCCATCGTCAAGTCGATGACAACTTCCTCTACTCTTCATCTTCATCTTCATCATCTCACTCGACTGCCTCTCGCTCTTGCCCTGACGGTCCCATCATCCACACTCATCTCCCCTTCATTTCCCTCGCCAAGTCCTCAGACGGGCAGTCGTCACTCAGTCACGCCATGGCTCAAGTTGACAACGAAGTCAAGGGCAAGCTCGTCCTCGTCACAGGCGCTTCCGGAGGGTAAATCGCACTCTTTCCCCTCCACTTTCACCGTCTTTCTCAGCATCAGGCAAAATTGGAAACCATCACCACTTCAGACAAGTGTCAATGTCATTGACTCACCCCTCACTTTTAGCATCGGCGCCGCCGTCGCCCGTCGCCTCTGGTCTCTCGGCGCCCACCTCGTCCTCACCTATTCTTCTTCCCTAGAGAAGATCCAGGCCCTGGAGGAACAGCTTTACGAAGCCTTCGCCAATGGTCAAACCGCTCATGATCCAGCCCTTTCTCTCAACCGCACCACCGCCAACCCCAATCCTTTGCCCCTTTCCACCCACAAATGCGACATGTCCTCGCCAACAGACATCCAACACCTCTTTGCCCAGCTCCAGGACCTGCACGGCCAGTCCGGCCCCGACATCCTCATCAGCAACGCCGGCTACGGCAAACGCATCCCCAGCATCCTGGACATCTCCCTCGATGAATTTGACAAGATGCTCAACATCAACCTCCGGTCATCCTTCCTCCTCTGCAAACTGGCCATTCCGCATATGATCCAGCGCAACTGGGGCCGCATCATCTTCGTCTCTTCCATCTCTGCTCAGGGCGGTGGCATTAACGGGTGTCACTACGCTGCTTCCAAGGCGGGGTTGACGGGGTTGATGAAGAACCTGGCCAGGAAGCACGCAGGACAGGGCATCACGGTTAATGATGTCGCGCCGGCCATGATTGGGGACACGGGCATGATTCCCGATGCGAAATTTGTGGAGGGGACGCCGGGAGATGTGAGGAATATTCCGGTGGGAAGGCTCGGAACGACGGAGGAGGTGGGGAATGTGGTGGAGATGTTGGTGAAGACAGGGTACATGACGGGGCAGAGTATCTTGTTGAGTGGGGGTCTGATGTAAGTGGGTGGGGGTAAGTATTTGTTTTGGTTGTGATGTTGGGCTTGGTGTTTTGGGGGATTCAATTTTTGGGGCTCACTGATTTATGACGGAGGACAATGAGAGCATGATGTCTTTGTGCGTCTATTCACTGTCTTCTGGTCGGCACTGTCATTGCAACGAGCTTGTTTCCAGTTTACCCCCTCTTTTCACCCCCATCCTGCCCATCTCGTCATCAGCCCTACGACCGCCTAGGATACACCTCCCCAGCAACAATCGCTTTCATCTTCGCCCCCTTCTTATCTCCCATGTTCCGCCCATCCATATCCCCCACTCTATAAACCTTCGGACTTACACACAAGTCAACCTCCACCTCTACCCCCCTTCTCCCGCCAAAAGAGTCCCCGTCTTCGCAATCCACCCAACCTGACTCCGTGCCAATCTTCACTTGCTCTCCCCTCTTGGGCACCTCCAACCCTAGCTGCGCCCGTTGAGCACCAAACTGGAGTGCTAATTCTCCGGCTTGACGAGCTAGCTCGGATACTTTGGATTGGATCTCAGGTGACAAGGGCTCTGAGCAAATGGAAGAGAGGAGGGCGATGATTTGGGATTGGACCTGGTTGACATTGTTGTGGTAAGGAGTGTTAGCGGGATTTTCTGGAGGGCCGGGGGTACCGCTGGGACTGGGCGCTTGTTGCTGTTGGCCTTTTCGAGAGTTGGAGGACGAAGGGGGCGCAACGGCCATGAGGATGGATTGGAAGGTGGCGGAGCGCCATTTGTTGGCGTCGCGGGAGTGGAAGAAGGGCGTTAGGATGTCGGTGTCTGTTGTTGATGATCGGGATGCTGGGAAGTGTTAGTTTGGATTGATGTCACGAGAGGGATGGGACTGTGGACTTACCTTTACTTCCATTCGACAGAGACCCCCGCCGTCATCATAACCACACAACCCCCTCCACCCATCCACCACCCGTCTCAACACCTCCCTCCCCTCTCCCTTGTTCCCCAACGCCCCAAACCCAAATGGCTCCGAAAAGAACCCCTCAACAATCTTCTGCCAAACTACACTCCTCAGCAAAAACCTCAGCTGATTCTTCCCTTCCCTCTCCAAGAACCTCGTCGGATCCAGCTTTCCCAGATTCTTCGGCACCCCACTAATCCCCAAGTTAATAGGCTCAGTAACCATATCAACACACAGCTTCAGCTGACGGTACTGGATCTTGAGACCATCATCCGTGGCCGGCCGGAAATCATCATTGTTACCTAGCACCAAATCGTTCTCCAAGCTCTGCACCTTCTCTTTCAAGTCGACGACGTTGCGCGCATGTCTCTTGTTCAAGCGCTGGATATCTTGCTCGTGCTTTTTCTGTTGCGCAGCAATTTGTTGGTTATGCGACGCTTGTAAGGCACTGATTTGTTCGTTGGACGCCGCTTCCAGGCTGTTGAATTCTTCCTTGTGCTGCGAGCGCATTGTGGCGATGGTATCTTGCACGTCCTGTGTTTTCTGGGCCAGCAAGGTCTGATGCAATTCGGCTTGGTCGGCGAGTTGTTGATGAGCGGAGTTCACTTGGCCCTCGTAGTAGAGCCGTTGTTTCTGCATTTCTTGGGCGTATCCTTCCTTCTGGTTGCGAAGCTGGGTTTCATAGTGCTCTTGCTGGGCGCGCATCTGGATGTCATGTTCTGCTACGGTCTGGCGCAGTTGAGCCACGTCGCTTTCATGCTGCCGTCTGATGTTCTCGATGGCAGTATCAGAATGCGCCTTTTGCTTCTCGCATTTTTTGTGGAGCTCCTTATTGTCGCGCTCGAGACGGCCGAGATCGTTGCGGAGCGAGCTTTCTTGGGTTTGTAGCTCCGTGTTGTGCTTGTTGAGCTCGCCCACTCTGGTTTGTAAACCGAGCAGCTTGTCCTTTACAGCGCGCAGCTCTTGAGATTTGTGATCGAGGTCGTCCTCGACTTCCTCGCGGTGCTTCTTCTCCGACAGGTACCTATCTTCCCAGTCCCTGCTTGCCTGGAAATTCTTGGTGTTGACGTCGCAGATCTCCTCGCAGTAGGCAATTATCACGTCAATGGCGTCGCCTCTGTACGTCTTGCTCGGTTTCTTCTCGTTCAGGTATTTGTCCAGACGATCTAGCAGTGCTATGTTCTTGGCCTTGGCGTTGACAAGCTGGTTGTTGAGTCTTTCTGATTCCGCTTTGAGCTCCTTGATCATGTGTTCTTGGAATACCTGGTGCGTGTAAGTCGAGTCGGCGTCATCCTTTGCCCTTGATGTTGTCTGCCCTTGGGCAGCAGCCCGCTGCTGGCGCTCGGCGAAGGAGGCTACCTCTGGGCTTGATGGGGTTGAAGTCGATGTTGTTGGAGGTGACATGGATCTGGACATGGAGTCTTCTTTATCTCTGGCGATGCTTTCTCGAGATGCCTTGGGGGTCTCTTTCCGTGAGATCTCTCCTCGAGGACTCGTGGGCTTATCATTCCAACTCTCTGCTCGCTTGATAACTTCTCGGTCCCGATCGGAAACGGAAAGATCATCATAGAGGCGAGAACTCGACCTCACCGGTGGCGTTGGAAGCCCCATCTCCGATATGTCTCGAGGAAGCTCTGCGAACTTTGGAGGTCCATATTCTGCGACTGCCACTGGACCTGGGGTATAAGCATGATATTCCCGCTCCCGCTCCCGCTCTCGATGGCGGCTAGACGAACGTGCCCGGGTATGTGACCCCCTGGAAACACTGCTGTTCCTCCTCGGTGCATACGATGGCCTGGAATCTGAGCTCTTTGGAGGATATGCCGTTGCTGGGACAGTGGCAACTGACTTGACAGCGTTTGGACTCATCCGACCACCGGGGGATGTGTAGGTTGGAGACGACGAGCTTTCGTATGGCGCAGACCGCTCAGTTGGGGAAGAAAAGGCGGATGTGTCGACATTGGCAGTGTTGTAATTGTTATAATGCGCAGTGAGGGACATCACTCTTGGCTGCTGCTGTTGCTCAGGGTGACTGTCAAGATACTCGGTTGACATGCCAAAGTCGTGCGTCGACTGCGGGAGAGTCGGCAACCCCTTGTTCAACGGGTGCATAGAAATATCATGCTTCTGGATTGGAAGTTGTGGATCGGGAGCCGGTACAGGTATCGACAAGTTCTTCCTAACGTCCGGATGCAGCTGTTGCAGTCGCTGATGGCCTATTCGGTGAATGGCGTTCTCCAACTTGGAGCCACGAAGTTCCTCCGGATGAATCCCAGGCAAGGCGTGAAAGAGGACATCTGAGTCGATAGTAGCTAGGATATCTATGGGTATCTTTGCCAGAGCCCTTGGATGGAGTCTGAGTTGTGCAGCAGTTGACAATTTGGCGATGGTTTCCCCTGGTAGGCTATCTAGAACCCGGTGGTCTAGTCTGGAGAGGACTTCGGCGGGGAGCACTTGAAGTCGCTCTGTTGGGAGGGATTCAAGATCTTTGTTGGAGTATCTGTCTAGTTGCTCGGGAGCTATTTTGCCCAGTTTCTTGGTGGAGAGGTGCAGGAGCGGGTCGTTGTGACGTTTCCCGTCATGAGATCCGTCGCCATGCCGATCTATCTTCTTTTTGGCGCTCTTTACAAACGAAGAGAAGGGGTTGGAACTCATGGCTCATGAGATATCGAGTGTCCGAGGGAGTATATGGTATTGTGAAGCGTGCTTGTAGTGCTGGGTTGGCTTTCGGATCGTTGACATCTCGGAGAGCATGTGGTTTCCCTCGTCTGACATTCTCTCGCCGAAGTAAACAGTCGGAGACGTAACACCACACCACACCACACCACACCACAGACTTGCCATCTTCAGATGTCCATTCAAATCCAGGGTCTCTCTCTGAGTGTGGGTGGCTTATCCTAGCTGTCCCGTGTTTGTCTTGTCCTCAGTCAGTCAGTCACTTTTCTCCAAAATATTCGAACCCCGCAGCTGAAAACATCCCCATGTCACTCACCACCTGCACTCAACACCAAACACCACCACACCTCAATCGTCCCCAACCGCCCATTCTGTCAATTGGAAGCAGCACAGTGCCAAGCGACAGCTGAAGACTTCCGCGGTACTTTCTCGCGTCCGCAACATGGGCCGACTTTGTGCCTCTTTGGTGGTTTGGAGTCATGCAAAAAACCAATAGTCGACGCCACTTGGGCATTCTCGACCAGCTCTCTCGCCAATCCGCGATCCTAATATGCGCTGGTGTGCAGATTGATGCAGCGCTTGTGCAACCGCACGGGAATGGCACCTCAGCCTTGCGGGTGCATTCCATGGAATTAATTTGGCCTGTATGGAGGGGACTGGAGGGCTCATGGTTGCTGAGCACGACGGCATTGAGAACATGGAGGGGGCGGCGGAGGCGCGACTGAGAGGGGGGATGGTTTTGGCACGCGTAGCCACGACGGGAAGCTGAACACCTTGCTGGCCCGCGATAGGAAAGGCTGCGATTGTGATGGTGATACTGGAGAAAGAACGGGCTTTCCTTGAGCTCACTGTCAGTTGAACGCCAGAAGAGGTCATATTTGCACTCCCTTCGCTGAGTTGAACACTCGGTCAAATCCCATGGACCCCAAGGAAATCGAACAGTATTATCGCGACATACCAGTACCGAAGGAATCAGAAGTCAACATGTCCTCCCTACCAACTCGTCCTCCCCCTCCTCCGCCCATCTCGCTCTCCGTTTCCCCATCTTTTCCAGGTACTCCAAAGAGAGAGGTGTCGCCCGTATCAACAACAAGAAGAAGTGAGGACGACGTGGATGAATGGGATGCCTACGATGATCCTCAAGACGAGACCTTGAACGAGGCCGCAACGCCATCAAGAACCGATAGCCCCTCTAGGTTCCCCAGTTTCTCCTCGACAAATCTTCCAGCGCCAGAGACACGCATGGTAGTTGCCCTCGACTATGGAACGACCTTTACCGGGGTTGCCTATCTCTCCGTCGCTTCAAGACAAAGGGACCAGGACCTTGATGCGCTTGCTGACGACATACGGGTACTCCAAGGATGGCCAACACACGAATCCGAGAAAGTCCCTTCGGAGATTTCGTACTCACCTTCGCCAAAGGGATGCAGGCAATGGGGGTATGACATCGATGACAACTCCCGAGTCCTCAAGTGGACCAAGCTCGAGCTGGAAGACACACGGAATCGAAGTGCCGAGCTAAAGACATTGGCTGAGACGCTTTTGGGCCTGCAACTGCTCGACTTGAGCGAAGATGCTGTCATCAAGAACGATATTCCACGACACTTGGCCAAGGAACCAGAGGATATTGTCAAAGATTATCTCGACGAAATTGCTGAGCAGACCCTTGAAGAGATTCAAACCCAGGTTGGAAGGAGGGTTGCCGACAATATTCCCATCGACATGGTCATCACACATCCTGCTGTAAGTTACTTAGGAAGCCCATTCCAATGCAAGCTTCAAGACTGACAGGGACAGAAATGGTCCGATAAAGCCCTGAACTCAACATACCGTGCTGTCCGCGCCGCCTTCAAGGCCGACCTCTTCCCCAAAATCCGCAACTTCTCCTTCGTCTCCGAACCCGAAGCATGCGCCCACTACACCTTACGAGAAGCCATGCGTGAAGAGCGTGTAAACTTTCGAAGAAATGACTGCTTCATCGTCGTCGATGCTGGTGGCGGTACTGTTGATTTGGCCTCATATAAAGTCGTTTCACTCGATCTCGACAAGAAACAATTCAAGCTCGAACAAATCGGCTACCCACTAGGCGACAACTGCGGCGCCACTTGTATCGACCGAGCATTCGAGCGGTTTATCGAACATAAGCTGGGGCAGGAGGACTGGGACAAGCTGATGGAGACTGATTCACAAGACCAAGCGACGGGAGGACACTCGATTATCAAACCAAAGCTGCGCATGCTACATGGGAGGTTTGAGGGCATCAAGCATCAGTTCGACGGCAAGGATCAGAAGCTCGGGTTTCCCATTCAGTTGCCACGAGGAATCGGTACGACAGACGATGACGAACGGGGAATTATGAATGGTGCTATCAAGATTACCGTGTAAGTGTTCCTGTCATTACTTGACAGCAAGCCTCTGGAATGCAATTCATACTGATAATGTCGCATAGTGACGACCTAAAAGCCATGTTCAAACATTCAGTCGACAAAACCCTCGTTCTCATCGGAAAAGCAGCCACACAGATCCAGATTGCCCAAAAGCTCAGAATCCGCAAAATCTTTCTCTCCGGCGGCTTCGGCCGCTCCCCGTACCTTTACGAGCGCGTCAAAGCCTGGGGCATGACCATGGGCATCCAAGTCGACCGCGGCGATGACTGCTGGTCCGCCGTCACGCGGGGCGCCATCATCAAGTCCCTCGGGGTACACACCTCGTTGCCCCCCATAATCCGCCCTTGTCCACGGCACTACGGCATCAAAGTCCGCACACAATACGCCCCGTATAACTCCCATCGACCGTCGGATATCGATGTGGATGTGGAAGGCGTCAAGTGGGCGACGGACCAGATTCGGTGGTTCATCAACAAGGGAGATGCTCTGCTCCCCGGGAAACCTATGGTATCGACGTACGATTGCCATTGGAGCATGAAGGCTTCGCACTTTCCTTCGCCGAATGCAGCGAACGGGAGGGTTCAGTCACAGAGTCTGGGGTCGATGTCGCAGCGGTTCGATAAGCGTGGTGGTGGTGGTGGTAGTGCTAGCATTCCGCCACCACCACCGGCGGAGGTCTTTAGAGAGGTGGTGTTTGTTGCGTCGAGTGCGGAGGAGCCGCCAACGAGGTTTGCTGCTGTCAATAAAGGTTCGTCACTTCGTACCCATAATTCTGACCTAAACCCCATCTTCCTCCTACTTCCAGAACCAAAACTGACAATGAAACAGCCCAAGACACCGTGGTTACGCTCAAGTGCAACTTGACCAAAGTCCCAGAGTCGCATAGAAGCGAGTTCACAAATAAGGAGGTCGGAAAGTTTTACAAGTTCTGGGTGAAAGTAGAGATACACGTTACGGAGAAGTGCGAGGTCAAGATCACGAGTGACGGAAAGGTGTTGGCGAGCGCCGAGGTGCCGCTGGGGGAATCTGACTAGCAGGTGAGTTGAGGTAGGAGATTAATCGTATTGTGTCGATGGCAGTTGGACTGGAGTGAGCTGAATGGAGTTTAAGATGGGAGGATACCTACCTATCATAAGTGAGGTGTCCATCTCGGCATATTTATCCTGGGGGTTTTACAATGATACCACTTTATTCGGAGTGTGTTGCTCGGCGACTTGGACTGGATAATGGATACCTCTACCTGTGCCGGTCCGCGAGGGAAATTCTGTTTGCATTGATTCTAATGTTTGCTTTGCCTTCAATTCTCAAGCTCACTAAACATCTAGGAACACAACTGAAGACTGGAATTACCTGCCGGCCTACCGAGAACACCACTTACACACCCATTCCCTTTTCGGGATGCTCTGCGAGACGCCGCGTCCGGGCTTCCAGTGTACGGTAGCCAAGACCTCAGCCTTTCCATCCCTTCCCTCCCATTCATCACAATCACATCGCCCTTCCCCCTCATTCGAATCAACTGCAGTTCCAATAAACTATTTGCTCAGCGTCAGGGTCCCCCTAACAGAACCCAATGAGACCCTACTCGCCAATGCATACCGTAACAACCCACAAGCCACACCTTATCATCTCCTCTTCATTCGCTCTCTCACTCTTGGCTCCTCCCCAAACCACACCCGAGCCTGCACAGTGCATCCACAATAGTCAATACATTAAAGGACTTTGGCCAAAAGCTGAACACCACAACTTTATTGATAGAACATGTCCGATCGAAGACTGAACCTCATTGGACAATAGACACTCGTGCAGTCCAATGTAAAACGGGCTAGAGGTTGACAAGGCTTTTTTTTTTTTTCTATCATGGAATGCGTTGCCAACTCACACTCGGCTGTGCGCCAAGTCCAGGACGGAAACGGGGTAAAGCCGATGGCTTACAGGATGAACAGGACGAAGTGGTCTGGTGGTCACGAATTCGATGATGGTGTATGGAAAAAGCGCCCAGGTTCACGACTGGAAGTGTGCCTAGGCGGGTTGTAGGCGTAAAACTACCTGAAGTTGGATGGACTGGAGCCACATAGGGAATGTGAGTGCCCGGGGCCAAGTTGGTGGCTATTTTATAATTGACGAGAAGGGAAGTGAGAAGCGGAAGCGCTGGCTTTATTGTCGAGTCCTGCCGTCGTATTAAGGAATGGGCTGAGTTCGTGTTGGACACTTGGACGCGTTGAAAATGACAAGGCTCTGACACTCAGATCTGGTGAGAGCTTGCTTTTCTTGACTTTCTCCACTGGCTTTTGGATATAGAGAATCCTTGCGGACATTGAACCTGGTTATGTGTAAGTTGATTTCTTCTGGCTTGCGTGCTGAACTTTCTTTCTCTTTTGAAGATCTCGAACTGATCATCCAAACCAAAGCGACACTCAACGGTTACGCCTCAACATAAACTCAATCTGTCACCGCATCCCACGATCGTCTGTGCTTCTCCACCTAGCGAGTCCATCAAGAAAGCCAGCACATCACCCAAAAAGCCATCACGACACTCCCATTTTCCTCGCCAACAAAAGCCACAACCCAAACAACATTACCCCCAGATTAAACCTCAACAATGGGCGGCGGCACAATAAAATTCCGTAAGTTCATCGGACTCAAACCGAAATCCTCCTCCGCCAATCTCCAACCTCAACCCATTACCCCCGACAACTTCGACGGCAACGACCTCAACGCCAACGGCATTTACTCCACCAACAACGGAGGCTACCACTCCTACACCCCCAACAACTATGGCCAACCCCCCGGCTTGAGTTCCATTTCCGAGTTACCAGCAAATGACTACGGAAACGGGTACACCCATCATGCACCTCTGCAACAGCATCATCAACAAGGACATGGACATCAACACCGGATGTCCCTCCCTGTACAAGCCAGACCCGGTGGTCCCAATGGACAATATCCTCATGATCCAAATGGCTACTACCAGCATCATGATCGAAGCAGCGGTAACTTATCTCCTCAAGACGCTGTCCACCAAAATGGTGGTAACAGCCGCGACCGTCGCAGCGCCAGTCTTGGTTCAAGAATAAGTCTAGGCAACTTCGGCAGCAGCAACAGCAGTCTCGGCGGGAGAAGCAGCGTGACGACCATGTCTACCTTGTCTTCAGCTGCTACTTCCCCCGGTCCCGGTGGTCCGACATCTCCTCACAATCTGTCGCAGCAGCAGCATCCGCACTCTCTATCCCCGGGGTATCAACCTAACTCTCCTCGCTATCCAGGGCAGCCTGTCCATCAAGAACCGCAATCGCAATCTTCAGCCCAAGAACAGCAGAGACTTCGGAAGCCCCTTTCTTCAGCAGCAAGACAAAGAGCCATAAGCCAACAATACCCCCCACAGACCCAGACTCAAACTCAAGCCAACGTCTTGCAAAAGCCAGTTCAACCCCTTACCCCGTTTCTGAGCGTGGTTCTCCTCCCCCTCAGACTCAGAATCGCTCGTCCAATGCTCATAGCCAGCAATCCTTTGCAAACCGCACATCCACGGGCCTCCCCATCCTCCCCGGGCCCCACGTGCAATCTTCCAGATCCCATCCCTCCCACCCTTTTAACACCAACCAACAATCTCAGTCCCAATCTTTTACCCCTTCCTCCCAGCAACACCAAAGTGCAAACCAAGCACCACAATCCCCCTCCGCAGCCGACATCCGCCGCACCACCAAACTTCTCCGGCGCATGTTCGAGCTCCGCCTAGAACAATGGGCCCTTTCGCACTCTCACGAATCCGACCAACATCTTGTTCACGAAAAGCGAGTACAAGTGGATGCGGTGTTGAATGATATCTTGACGAATGTTAGGAGTTGGGGAACCGCCGGAACCGCCGGGGGTGCAAATGGAGGAACGGGAGGGAGAGAGAACTGGACGGCGGAGGAGTGGGATGATATTTGTCTTGTTAGAGAGGTTTTGGGGGAGATGCAATTTGGACTTGGAGTTGGGGGGTATGGAGGGGGACAGCAGATGGGGTATCCTGGGGGTAGTACTTCTATGGGAGGGGGTGGTGGGATGGTTGATCCTGTTGGGGGGAGGGGGAGCACGAGGGGGAGGTGGTGAAGATGTGAAATGGGAAGGGGGAAGGAAGGAAGGAAGTGAGGTACCGTAGTGAAAGGGGAAAGAATGGGAGTGAATGGGGCAGACACACATGTGGTATTGAGTGGAAGGAACGAAGTTACCTTAAGGTATGTAGGGCGTGGAAAAGGGATCTAAAGGGGAGTTGTGAGAACATGACATGACTGGGATACTTGATCAGGTTAGCAAAATCGTTGAGTCATGATGAGTATAGGCGTTCAGTAGGTAAGGTAGGTGGTCACATACCCTTTTCGTTTCGTCGGATCTGTACAAGGCTTTGAACATTGAAAGATCAAGATAAAATGAACAAAAAAGTTGTCCGATAGTGCCCAGAGACTGACAGACTCGAACGTCATTGTTGGTTGGGAGTTCTCTTTGAGGGAAGATCAACCACGAGCATTCATCACACTAAGCCCAAGAAAGGAAGAATTGCAGAGCGCAGATATTCCCACCTCTAGGGATCCCTATGATGAAAGGTAGCTCTTCATTTGCTATGAGGATCAATCAAGTAAAGCCATGAAGTCCATGCCAGCATCTATAGCAGCAACAGTAGCAAAAGTCTTATGCAATAATCTATACAAACAAAGTCCCTGCTCTAGACAAAAACTCTTAACACTGTCAGTCACTTAACCCTTCTCCCCTCTCGTCACCCTCCTCCTCTTGCTCGGATTACTACTGCTTCCACCAGCAGTCTCAGCTTCAGTAGCCGTCCCTTCTCCATCTGCTTCCTCATCTATAACCTTCCCATCATCCCCTTTCGCCGCCTCGTCCTCCTCCTTATCACCAACCATCGAGACATCACCATCAGCATCAGCATCCTTGCCTTGCTCCTTCTTGTCATCATCAAAAGGCTTATCCTTCTGCTGTCCTTCTTCAGCCTTCTCAACACCCTTACTCGCCGACCTAGAATGATCCTGACTTTGACTTCCACTTCCACTCGAAGCCATCTGCAGCGTCCCATCCTCCATCATCGTCTTGATCCTCCCGTCCTCCGCAACCCTCAGGTCGGCCAACAGTGAATCAGCCTCCGAGAACATTGCCCTCGCGTCTTTGACCACGCCGAACTCATCAACCTTGTACCCAAGCACATCACCCGGATGGCCGTGGCCGTGACCGTGCCCATGACCGTGGCCACCTGCCTGGTTATTGTCATCGGCCCTTTCCTCTCTTTCTGCCAGGAAGGAACTGCCAGGCCCGTGCCAGCGGTCGGGATTGTACATGATCGCGTTGCTGAACATGTGTGCAAGCTCTCGATCCAGCTGGGCCGTGTTGATGATACCCTTGGGCGGGACGAGCTCTTCCATTTGTGGGAGCCAGACCAACATATGGCCTGGGTCTCCACCAGGTAGAGCGGCGGCGGCTTGGGTAGCGGAACGGTTGCCGTGGGCGATGGCGGCCCGGATGGATTTGAGGTCTTGAGGCTGCAGTATCACCTTATGATAACCGGGAGCGTCTTTCTCGCGGATGGGCGCGGCAAACATGTTGGCGGACCGGTGGCGGACGATTTGTTCCATGGCCGAGGCGCTGACTTTGTGGAAACCACGGCTCCAGAGGACCCTGTTGGCGTCCGGTGGTGCCATCGCTGACGTTGTCACCGGCGCTTCTTGGTCGAATTTTTGGTTGGCAGGGATTGCGTTACCATTAGTTGTGGGCTCGGCGGGAGTGGCGGAGGGACTGGGTGATAGCTCATCCCGTTTACGCTTCGCTTGACGAGCTGCTTGACGTTTACCAGCGACACTTTCGTCGGCTGTGGTATCGCCTGTGTCCATCGTAGCCTGGGGCGTGTCCACCTCATTCTTAACAGTGGTGGCCGGTTCCGGGTCTTTGGCAGGGTCTTTAGCAATACTGGACTGTTCAGCTGCCGCTGGTTTATCCGCTGGCTTCGACACCTTCTGAGCTGCTTGCTGACGAGCCTGTGATGCCGGAGTAGGTTGGGGACCAACTAGAGGGGCGCTTCCTCTAGGTCTGACCGTTTCACCCGTCGGCTGCCGAGCCGGAGAAGGTCTGGCCGGGTCTTGTCTGGCCGTTGGCAAAACTGCAGGCTGCTGTACGGGGCTAAGCGGCTCAACTGCAGGAGGCCGAATTTCATCACCGCCAGATCGCACATCAGGCAGCTTAGGGGTAGAAGGACTAGCTGTAGACACCCACTTGGTGCCACTGCCGAGGCTCAATTTCGCGGGAGGTACCAGAGTAGTCTGAGTGACCGAAGTAATGGGACTGAACCTGGGGCCGGAATGAGTTGTCACAGCAGAATGTGAGCGCGGCCTGTGTTGTTGGATCGGAGGCTGTGGTTGTTGTTGTTGCTGCTGCTGCTGCGGTGGATGTGGTACATGCGGCGAATGGGCGACCGGCGGCTGAGGAGCATGAGTGATCGGCGGAACCCGCGGGGATTGAGCTTGGGTAACCTGGGGCAGGGGGGCCTGCTGTGGGTGCGGTAGCTGGGGCGTTGGATGAACCTGTGGTGCCCGAGGAGCATGGGGTTGAGGAGGCTGTGATACCTGGGGCACCTGAGGAGCTTGGGGAGACTGGGGCGGGTGCGCCTGTGGTTGGTGTGTCGGCGGTGGATGTGGATGCGATACTGGAGACGGATGAGGCACTTGCGGTGGATGTGCCTGCAGCTGATGTGCCTGTGGTGGATGAGAAAGCTGTGGCATCTGAGATGGGTATGGCGAAGGATAAGCTCTCTGTACCTCCGACTGAATAGGTGCCAAAGTCGGCGACGGGGCCATAGACGCCGCGACCGGCTGGCTGAACGGTGGAGGAGCCTGTAGCGCCTGGGGTTGGTGTTGAGGTGACTGTTGCTGTTGTGACTGCAGCGGCGGAGGTGATTGTTGCTGCTGAGGGGCAGCCAGCCCATGAGTGAGTCTCGGCGGAATCGCGGATGGCGACTGCGGCGGTGAACCAACCGCAGCACCCTGTTGCAAATGCTGTGGAAGGTGATATGGAGGATACGGCGAGGGATGCTGCTGGTAATTAACCCTAGGTATTCCGGTAGCCGCATTAGGAGCCAACGGTTGCCGAACAGGACTCGGACCAGGTGAGTCGGACATGGACCTAATAGGTGCCGGCTGCAAAGGAGGAGCATAATGTTGGCCAGCCTGAGGAGGTATCAAGACCTGCGGCTTCATAGGCGGCGGCTGAGGAGGCCTTGATACCACTGGGTGTTGCTGTACCTGCTGAGGTGGTGGATGCGAAGACAGCCTAGGCGAGTGCAGCGGCTGGGGGGATTGTGACATAGGGCTGTAATGGGGATGTTGCTGTCCAGGGCCCATGATAGGACGATGCCCGGCTTGTGGTTGATATGGAGGCTCCCATTTGAGTTGCCCACCCTGCGACTGTCCAGAGATCGATGGCTGCGGTGGGGGAAGAGTAGCTGCCGGGTGATGAGCAGGCGGAAGAACTGGAGACTGTCTCGAAGGCCCTGCAACACCGTCCAGCCGTGGCAGTCCCCCGGTAGGAGTGGGAGGTTTGGGTGGCTGGGGTGGTTGAGGAGGCGCCTGGGAGAAGGAAGCTGGTGGTTGAAGGACATGTGGTATCCCACCGGCAGTCATGGGCCTTGGAGAACCAGGACCAGACGTAATCGGACCCCGAGGAATGTTGTGATGTCCCAACCGCGGAGAGCTGACCAGCTGTGGCTGTAATGCTGCCGTCGTAGTCGGAGGCAGAGTCGTAGGCAGCGTGGTAGGAGGCAACGGGCCGGGACTCGCCCTGACGGGTGGCAGCTGAGTCGTAGGAGACGGAACGCTGGCATGACGAACGACTTCGGGCCGTGGCGGTATATGAGCGGATACCTGGGGCGGTAGCTGCGGTGGAATCGGCGGCTGTTGTTGCTGTGTCGGTTGCTGTATCGGTTGCTGTATCGGTTGCGGTTGTGGTTGAGGTTGAGGTTGCTGCTGCTGTGGCTGTTGCTGTGGCTGTTGCTGTGGCTGTTGCTGTGGCTGTTGCTGTTGCTGTTGCTGTTGTTGCGGCAGAGGAGGCGTGGGTATCGGCAGTTGGGGAGTCGTAGGAGTACGGGGAGACTGAGTTTGCGGCGGCGGTAGTCGTGGAGAAGCAATCCGCGGCGATGCAGCTGGCGAAGGACCGTGACCGGCGCCGTTGGGTAATCTGGGCCCCGGGCCCTGAACCGAAACTGGACTGGGAATCGGACCCAAAGCCGGACTCGGTTTATGTGCCGCCACTGGACCGTCCTGAGCCGGTACGCCGTCTGGAATCTTTGCCCTCCTCTCCTGCTCCTCACCCCGAGCAACTGCCTGCTCTAACGCGCGCACCTCAGTCTGAACCCGTTCATAGTGTCTCTCGTGCTGTTCGATCTCCTGGAGGCTTTGGTTGACGTAGGTCTGCTCGAGTTTCCGGTAAAGGCTTTCGATCTTGGGCACATATTGGTGGGCCTCCCTCAGAGTGGGCAGCGGCGGCGGCTGCAACCGTCGCCTTTTAGAGTTCGGAGACAGACCGCCATCGGGCTTGGGGCCTGGAGTGTCGTGCTCTTGCTTCAGCTCGTCCCACAGCAGGTGGAGGAAGAGCTCCTGGAGAGGCTCGGGCCTCAGCCGCGCGGCATCGTACGAGGGCGCAGTCTTGATGAGGCGGTTCTGCTGGAGGATGTCGGCAATGCGTTGGAAAGCCTGCTGGTCGAGACCGTGTTTGGCGATGCCGCGGAGCAGGAACAGCGATTCGAGGGGAGTGTAAGCGTCGCGGCTCGTGGTAGTCATGCCCCAGACTCCACCTCGCCGGAGATCGAGGGGACTGTCACGCCGTTGCGGAAGAAGGTGAATCGGCGCCACGATCTGTAGCTCTCAGCTAGTCAGTAACTGTGTTAGGCAATGGAAGTGATTGGTGGTTGTGGTGAGAGATGTTGTGTTGTGTTGTGTTGTGATTTGTGGTGTTTTGTTTTGGTGGTGATGATGCATCATGGTCGCAATTCTCGAGCTTGGAGGTTTGACCTGACCAGGGCACCAAATGCACCAAGAATGCACCCCTCCAAGGGCCAACCACTATAACCAAGCCACTAAACACGGTGCAACACCCCCCGCTCACGCGTCGCACTCTGGAAGTCGCGTCTTCCTCCAGATCTTGACATACCGGCAGCCTTTATCCAAAACGCCGGGCAGCGATTTTAGTTGGGATGGATGCGAATCAGGTCGTCGCATATGTGGTTGTATAAAGACTCTCTTTCGGTTGCGAAGATGAGTTCTTGATAACGTCTATTTGCGCGGACTTGGGTATTGATGGCGATAATATTTTTTTAGTTCGTCGCAAAACTCAAAATGAATTGATCTGGTTGGTTATAACGTGTGATCGCTCGTCTATCGGGCGGTCGCTTCGTGGCCTGTCGTGTAAAAAAAGTGCTCCTTGCTTGGCTTGAAAAAAATGGGATGTCGGTGAATCTCGATTTGCTAGGCGAATGGCCGAAAATGGTTGTGGTGGTTGCGGTTGAAACTCGAAGCTGTCGTCTCGTTGGATCGGAGAATTGCTTGTCACTGTCAGTGCTCGACGAATGGCAACGCAATCCATTTGCTGGGGGTTTGATGGTTGCTGGGGTAAAGAGCTGCTCTTTAGCGTCTACAGGATATTCTCTGTTAAACGTGTATCAAGGAGTATACTTTGTAGTGAGACTATTATGCTCCACGTGACTCGGCTCCGAAGTCAGGAACCAGGGGGTCCCGCTCCGCATCGGCCTGGTCAAGGTCTCCGCCCGGCAAGATCTCCGGGTTGTGGAGCCTTGCTCGGGAGCTTGGGAGCATCCGGAGATTCTGGGGGTGTGCTCCGGCCCAACGTTTCAGCCTTGAACAAGCGCAATAAACTGTATACATCAGATCATGACTGGATCAGTACCTGCTTGGTACCACCATCCATTGTCTGGTTTCACCTTTTTGACTGTAAACGGCCAAGAAGCTCAGAGTTCCGAACCTCTCTGGAGCTATCGTCCAAGACCCTTCTGTGTCCTTCAACATGGAGTTAGTTTAATGGCGATGAACCTCACCATGTAACCGCCTTTGATGAGTTTTAAACTTCTGATCTGACTATCTCCACACTCGTAGCCGTGATCGTCGACTGGGAAACCACTTTCTTTATTTGGCCGACATGACTGGGTGTCTATGTGACTAGCAATTTGCAATTTAGTGCAGTTTGTTCGTTAGCTTGGTGCTCCTGGTCCTCGATCTACACTATCGGCTCGTCCCAAAACACCAAACACATTGATCAGTGAGGTATTTCCTCAAACCCATAAAGACTGGATGTCGGATTTACTGAGAATTATCCTCACTATTTTATGTTGGTGAGTTCGTGTGGCTTCCCTAATCAGCTATGTAGGCCTTCCACGATCACGAGTCTGAAGCTCTTGGGGTTCGGGTTGGTGTGATGGGTAGAACCCGTGCTCGCGTATCATTCAGACATGTGCTGGATGGAGGATTGGCCTTGACTCTGTCATGGTGTCGGCATGGCTAAGAATGGCCCGGCAAGATGCCGGTTTTGGTGCCTGCCTCTCTGCACCACTCGGTGCATGACACTAAGGTAGGTACATTATCAAAGATTGTGGTTAACTTCAAATTCCTCATGACGCCGGGGAAGTGGTCCTTCAAATGCCAAATGTCTCCGCTCCTCACAATGGATGGTGATGCATGATCTGTTGGCCTGCATGGCCTGGATACCCTTGGTGTTTCATTTGTGCCCCTGGGATGTCCAGTTGTTTCTTGTTCTTGTTTCGCGTGTCAAGTGGAAAGTCCTGGAAGTGTGTCAACAGGTTCATCGCGAACTGAGGTCATGTTCTCCGTACATTGTAAGGTTCAACGTTGACTCCCCCGGATGTTGCCCCCTTTCTGTATACGTACTTTACCTTTTTCTTTAACGAACGGTATTTTTGGCGGAGGAGAGATGAAGTCAGTATTTCTAGTGGCCCTGAGCGGGTGACCAATTCCCCACCAGGCAAACCGATAATCTCATAGAGCCATGATTGGCCATGATAGGAGTCTAAGGAGAGTCAAAGGGGTCTGGAGGTGTCGTGCATTCGTCCCTTGCACCACTCAGAGGAACAGAACTCCTGACCGAGTTGTTAGTGTCAGGAGATGTGCAAGAGCGACACTTTAATGGCAAAATGACAGGCGCCTCTTCCTTCCTGTTGTGCCTTGTGCCTTATGGGATGCAGCTGGCCGCTTTTGCCAGCCAGCTGGGACCCTTGTCAACCCATTGTTGGACGCAAAATGTTTAGGCACTCCGGGCATTGTACCGCCAAGTTCCACGCTAATTAAGGGCGCTCCAGACGGTGACATTAACACAGACAGGGCACATCCTATCCATTCGCATATTGATTACACTCAAGTTCCTCTCCATTTCTCTATTTCATCCTTTGACAATTCCTCCTCGCCGTCCATCCTTTTTCCGCCTTCTTGCTTTCTTTCTCTCTTCTGCTATCCCATATTCACACATCTAGTACCAGAAATCATGTCTTCCACCACTGCCACCAGAACCACCACCACCACCACTCACAGCAACATGACCGACGACGAGCTTGACCGCGACTGGAAGCCCAATGGCCGTCGCCCGCAATCGTGCGTTTTCCCGAATTTCTTATCCCCTTTCTTATTACCTATCCGATGTCATTGTTCCACCCACCACGCCAACGACCCGTTCGGTACCTTGCATAAGCTCAGCCCGGAATCACAATGACGCGATGACAAACACAAATTACTGTAGTGGACTAACATCTCTCAAAACGACAGCACCATTGCGCGCAACTTCTCCCAGGAGCTGATGGACATCTTCCGCATCGACAAGGACATCACCGACCTCGCCGACCAGGGCGACAAGCGGTCAGCCCCCGCCAATGCCAACAACGCCAACGCCACGATTGACATCGACCTCGACGCCCGGTTCGCATACTTCTTCCACCCCCCTGCTAGCATTCGTTCGCTAACCTTTCCACCTCTTCTGGTGGCAACAGAAAGCAAGAAGTCGACAAGAAGGCATCCGAACTCGAAGCCCTCGAGAGGCGTCTCCGTGAGATGGAGGAGAAACTCAAGAGTCAGTACCCAGCAGCTGCCATCGGCACCCAGGCAAAGCCATCACAACTCCACACTCCCCAGAACCAGCAACAAAACAAGGGCAGGCCAGGGTCCGCGAGACAGAGCCAACAGGCGCCAGTTTCCGGAGCGATGCCGCCTACTCCGATAGGAAGTGAAGGTGAATTGGAATCTCCGATAGAGCCCTCTAGCCCACAAACACCAAGAACACCCCGACCGATTGATCAGCCATTCTTCCACGTCGCTACCACATTTGCCTCTTCCGGAGATGACGCATCATCCATCAAATCCATCCGAACCGTATCCGAAAGCTCCAGTTATGCTGACTTTGTCCTTGTGGCCCCTAATCCAGACGGCGACCGTGAACACCACCACTGAGTTACCTCTATACAATTATTCTGAAATTTCGAAGAGATACCCCCTATGCCTCCTCAACCTTGTCGACAGCACGGAGGGTGGAGGAGGGATCGGAATTGCATTACAACAAATGACGACATCTACTGAGATTTGCCGGCGAATAACAACAACCGGGAGGGTTACACACGACAGCTACCCCATGAAAGCGGTTGGCGCGAATCCTGGGAACCGGAATCCATGATAGACGGCGAACTACGAATACCACGACAACGCTATATCAGCAACTACTATAGTTTTAATACTTTCTTCGCCGCCGACCGGGCCAATACCAATCGCATGGACACACCCACTGCTCGACTACACGACTACGCTTCGCTCTATATCAGGTCTCGAGGATACTCAACCCCAGGACTGCTTTTCGAATGAGCGACACGAATAGGGCTCACCATCACCATCACCATCACCATGGCCCGGTTTACCGGGTTTTGGCTTTCGACACCACCAGATACCAGGACGCCATAACCTTAATAATTATACACTCGCTTGCATTTTTGCCTCTACACGAGGCCACCAGCGATCGTTCTCGCCGGTTTGGGTCCTGGAGCAGGACGGGTTGGATGCGGATGCAGGGATTCAGGGTTGGCCAAATTGCCTGGGGAAATGGCATTTTGCATGGGACGAAAGGGATAGGGGAAGGGAGAGAGCAGCACAAGGGTGACTGCGACGGCTCTTGGGAAGGGTTCACATGTCCTGTGACTATCTACAGAAACACGACATTTGTCTGGGATTTGACGGTAGTTCAGTTGCAATTGTATGTTGGATATATTGCACCATGTCTGAACAGAGATTTGTAACTTCTAGGGAGCTGTTTCCGTTCCCTTGGTATGTATTGTGTGCAAGGGGTCTGTGAGGGATGTCATTGGCAATACCGCTCGGCTTCCGCTGACTTGTGCCTCAAGACGCATGTTCACAGAAGAGAATAGTCAGTGACTAAACTTCCACGATTATAATTACCACACATTGACATAGGTGGAACAGGAGAGCAGTCGTTTCATACTGGAAGGTTATATCTACCTAACAAATCATGTGAAAGGGGGGTCAATAGCACGCGCGAAGAACTAGAAGTACCAACTCCAGACGCCGCAATGCTTCTGTCATGACATAGAGGGCCATTACTTCAATTCCCTATTCAGAGTCCCTTTTCTTCAACCTCCCGTCGTCAACCTGAGGCCTCGCGAGATCCAGATGAGCTACCTAAGTACCAAGGACCTTACAAATCCTTATCAGCAAATCCCACCCGTCCCCTCATGTCCAGCACAACAAATACTGCCTTGAGGAACGTATCTCCCAAGATACCCACGTCCAAGCCCATGTTGTTTTGGATACCGCCCATGCATTGGGTGATCATTCCCGGATCGTTCTCTATCTTGGCCTTTTCCTTCGTAGCCTTGTCGTTGTCGTTGTGCAAGTGTAAAGTAGCAGGGCGGGAAGAAGACGCGGCGGAAGAAGTGGCAGCAGCAGCACGGAAAGAGTCGTCCACAATACTAATCACAGAAAAATTAAACAGCGCTCCAGGAATGGTAGCGTGCCAACCACCCTTTTCTCCAAACGCGATCTTTAGGTCTGGTAAGACGGGCTTCGGCTCTTTGTTCTCGTTCCCATCGACGGCGGCAGATCCAGCAGATCCAGCAGCATCGGTGCTGGGAGGCGGACCAGACCTTGTATGCACAGGAACCTTCAGATCACAAGGATATGTCCAGATATTGTACATGGACCGAAACACAGCGCCGGGGACGTGGGCGTAGTATTTGGAGACGATCGTTTCGGGGAGTAAGAGGACTGAGGTGCCGGTGTCAATTATGGCTTCTTGAAGGGTTGGTGTTGTTGTTGCTGCGTTGGGGTTGGTGGTGGTGGAAGTGGAAGTAGTGGGATGAGTTGAAGAAGTAGAGGTAGGAGAGGGACCGGTGTCATTCAGGGGGTCAGAGTCCTCGAGACCGAGACCGGCGTTCATCCACTCTGATTGGTAGGTACTGTTTGCTATCGCAAAAGATGTATAAGAAGTCTGCCAGTACTCGCTTTGGCTGAGGGGGTAGTAGTTGATTTCGCCTTTGTACGGGTTTCTCTCCTTCACTTCCTTTTCTGTTCCCTTCTCGCCGTTGTCGGGTGAGGGGATCGAACCAAAGGTATATGTCCCATTAGCGTGGGTGCGCAAATCGATGGTCATCAGGGGCTGGTCTAGAATCTCGTAGAGTTGTTCCGACACGGTGGTTTCGGTTCCCAAGGGGTGCACTTCGCTGGACATGTTGTAGCTTATGCCCATGATGCCGGAGTTGGCGAGGTCCGAGGCGAGGTCGAGACTGACTTCGAGGGCGGATTGTACGACGGCTTTGGGGATCGAGATGCCGGAACCGAGGTGGAGGGTGTCGTGGTAGACGTTGCCGGCTGCGTAGCTTCCGTCGGCTGTTTTTATTTTTTTTCTGGTGTCAGTTTTCGTTCAAAGGATATACCATTCAGAGTCAGAACGCTGAAAGAAACATACCATAATGAGAATCCCAAGAAGCATTAACAACCTTTTCCGCCGTCGTCGACTTGCCAATTTCGTAAATCACGCGCAGCGTCTTGTTCGCAATGAACGTCTCCGAACTGAGCACCCAGAAACTGACAGAGCCGGTGTCGACATTAACAAGAAGCTTCTGCGGAGGGGTGCCGACTGTGACCTCGGAAAGGTACTCGCGCTCCTCCCAGAAGGGAGTAGTGGGGAGACTGCTGCTGGCTCCAGGTCCGCCCTTGGGTTTGTCGGAGGAGGTATCCTCGACGAGCTTGCGAAGGGCCGGGGGAAGCGAGTCGGATTTGACATTCAAGCGGGAGAGGGACTTGTAATAAGACAAAAGACCGTGGTTGGAGGGTTGATCATGATGGACAGAGTGGAAGGCGGCGTTGTAGTGAGCTGAGAGTGAGAATGACGCCTTAGACTTTGAATCACGGCGGAGATCATGAGGTGAGCCTGAGCCGGGTGAGACTACGGCGGCGAGGGAGTGAGCCGCGAGGAGGAGAAGTACCGAGATGAGGACGCTGAACTCCATCTTTGCTGTGCGGGTCTGAGGGCTTGTTGAGGTCGATGTTGGTGGTCTTATTCTTGGGAAGGAGTGGAAGAAGCAAAGGTCGTGCGAGTAACCCTTTGAGTGATGAACAAGAAGTTCTTCTTGACCTCGACCTTGAGGAAGATGTAAGAGGTTGAGATCTTGGAGTGTCACAACCCCCCACTGCTACTACCCTTTTATATCTCTGCTACACTTGCACACGATCACAGTTCCAAGTGTGGGCCATGTGGTCACAAATCGGGAAATATCCGATGAGTTGTGAGTGACACAGGGTCCGTTTTCTCCCAATTTCCGCTTGGATTCGTCATACCTGATCGGTCTTCTTGAAGCCGAAGAGTCTGGGTCTTTGGAGAGAAGAAATCGTCGAGTCTGGAGTTTGACTCATCGGATCAAAGTTGCGGGCGATGATAGGAGGGTCGTCAGGGTTCTCGTTAATTTCCGACCAGTCAGTTTCGTTCTGTGCTTATTTCCCGCGAGATAATCCTTTCATCGGGAGTCGGACAATGGAGAACATCCAAAGCATTCATGGGCCCAGCGGTGAGTGTCGGGTAGCCAGGCTGAAGGTGGAATATTAGGCACCCATTTCGTGTGAACACATGGATGGAAGGAACCGCAGAGGTAGTAGCCATTTTGCGATGTCGGGGGTTTGCAGGTAAGAACTGAGGGAGAAGAGAAGGACCGAACGAAGGGCAAACGTTGGCCTTGGGGTGCAAGTTAAAATGTAGGTACCAGAACAAGCAGGAGCAGGAGATGAGATTTCTAAAGCAGAGAAGGAAGGAGCGGTAATGTGTCCGGTTTCGGACCCCTTCAACGCTGCATTGAACATTGCGGCATTGCTCTTTTGGCGAGTCTCTACCTTAGCATGGAGATAACCCGAATATGGGAAACAAAATGCCCATGTTCCTTTACTTTGATACTTCTCTCTTGCGAGGCGTAACCAAGATCGGCGAGCTGTGTCAGTGGAAGTTCGGTTCGGCACGGGACGGCTACCACGCAAACTTACATGGCCCGGGTACCTAACGGGATGTCACGCCTAGCCAACGGTTTTTTAAAAGACACAAGTCTTTATTTGCTAGTGTCTGTTACCCCTTACGATGAGGTTATACAGTTCATGTTGCCGGGTTGAGAGAGAAGTGACCCCCAACTGTCTCGCCTCGAAACACACATGTAAGTAGCACAGAAGGGGGCCACGTACTTCCTTCAAGAGGTCACCCATAGACCACGTTGGTCAGTGGTCCCATGGAAAGAAGCAAAAATAGGTGTTACAAGCAGTTACCAGCACGAAATATAGAGTCCAGGGGCACTTCCGTCCCACTCTGGGTTTCGGCTCCGTGAGAGTGGGCCCGTTGCCGGTAGTTCGGCGGGATCGAGCTTCAACTGGACACGGGCTTGGCACCGGAGCGGGTCCTCTTCAGCTGGGGGCTCTCTTTGACCGCATGACATAATACAGGCGGGTGTCTCCCATTGTCCCGTTCTTCCTCATCAAGAGAGAGTCTGATCAGCCGCAGTTGACAACGATGGCACATTACTTATTGCAAATGCTTTCCAGAGATGGGAAGGGCTTCAGTACTGAGTACAAAAGTCGATTCGTCTCGAAGTTTCGCAGCTGCTGGGCGCCCAGACCACTTTAGCTAATGATAGGCTAACAGTAACACCAAAGGACGAGATATCATTGGTCAGAGAGCGTTTAGAGTGAATACCTCACAGCTGTCCTCTTCGATAAGAACAGGTATCAATTAGTGCTGAGACATTGCCTGCCGCCAGCTACTGCCCGCTACCGCTACGACATAACGGCAGCTCCCCTCCGAATTCCAAGAGGAACAACACAACCGACACCTTCGTCACAAGAGGCCACTTTGTTCATCTGTCTGACGGAATGCCTCTTTTAGTTCCAGTCACTCCTTGAAGAGTCTTTTTATCTATCATCTTATACAAACCACTCGACACCCGTACACGGCACCGATCGAGACCCCCAACCGCATACACACATCCCAACACATACAACGCCCACCATGGCGCGGGTGTCAACACTATCACCCTTGAGGATATTCCTCTCCGCCATCTTCCTCTTCTCCGCCCATGTCTTTGCCGTCTCGGCTGTCTTGGGTGTCGACCTGGGCACCGAATACATCAAGGCCACCCTCGTCAAGCCCGGCATCCCTCTCGAAATCGTCCTGACCAAAGACTCCCGCCGCAAAGAGACCTCCGCTGTCGCCTTCAAGCCCTCTTCCAATGGCCCCAAGAAGGGTGCCTACCCCGAGCGCGAATATGGCTCCGACGCCATAGCCATCGCCCCCCGATTCCCCGGCGACGTCTACCCGAACCTCAAGGCCATCCTCGGCCTCCCCGCTGGTAGCGTCCAAGTTAGAGAATACGCCGAGAGACACCCTTCCTTAAAGCTGGAAACACACAAGACAAAGGGAACTGCGGCCTTCAAGAGCGCCGCCGCTTTTACCGAAGAGGAGGAGGCTTGGCTGGTTGAGGAGTTGTTGGCCATGGAGCTCCAGAGCATTCGCGCCAACGCCGAGCTTCTCGCTGGTCCTTCTAGCTCTGTCCGCTCCGTCGTTATCACTGTCCCTCCCTTCTATACCGTCGAGGAGAAGCGCGCCGTCGAGCTGTCTGCCGAATTGGCCGGCCTCAAGGTCCTTTCTCTTATCTCTGACGGTCTCGCTGTCGGCCTCAACTATGCCACCAGCCGCCAGTTCCCCAATGTTAACAAGGGCGAAAAGGCCGAGAACCACCTGATCTTCGATATGGGCGCCGGCTCCACCAAGGCCACCGTCCTCCAGATGCAGTCACGCACCGTCAAGGACGTTGGCAAGTTCAACAAGACTATCCAGGAGGTTACCGTTCTCGGATCTGGCTGGGACCGCACTCTCGGTGGTGACGCCCTCAACTATCTCATTGTTGACGACATGGTCCGCCAATTCGTCGAGTCGCCCAAGGCCCAAAAAGCCGGTGTCAGCCTCGAGGCCGTCAAGTTCCACGGCCGCACCATCGCCAAGCTGACCAAGGAAGCTGAGCGCTTGAGACACGTCCTCTCGGCTAACCAGAACACCCAGGCCTCCTTTGAGGGCCTTTACGATGATGTCGACTTCAAGTACAAGATCACCCGTGCCGAGTTCGAAGAGATGGCCGCCGCCCACGCCCAGCGCGTCAGCGTCGCTGTCAACAATGCCCTTGCCATGGCCGGTCTGCAAATCAAGGATCTTGACTCCATTATCCTCCACGGCGGTGCCTCGCGCACTCCCTTCGTCCAGAAGGAGCTTGAGAAGGTCCTCGGAGGAGCCGACAAGATCCGCACCAACGTCAACTCGGACGAGGCCGCCGTTTTTGGTGCCGGTTTCCGCGCTGCTGAGCTTTCGCCTAGCTTCAGGGTGAAGGAGATTAAGATCGCCGATATTGCTTCGTACCCCGCTGGGATGAGGTGGAACAATGACGAAGGAAAGCCCAAGCACCAGCGTCTTTGGACCGCCACTTCTCATTTGGGAGCTCCGGCAAAGGAGATCACCTTCAACAATGTCCAGGACTTGTCCGTCAACTTTTACCAGTTGGTGATGGATGGCGTGGAGGTTGATACCAAGGTTTTTACCACCAAGAACTTGACCGCTTCCGTCGAGGCGTTGGTGGAGAATCACAAGTGCGAAAAGGCCGATATCAAGTTCAAGGTTGGCGTTCGTCTTCTCACCGAGAACGGCGAGGTTGACGTTACCAAGGCTGCTGTTGAGTGCGAGACTGACGAGCCTGAGAAGGCGGGTATTGTCGATGGTGTCAAGAACCTTTTCGGTTTCGGCAAGAAGGACAAGACTGAGGGCGAGGAGGATTCTGCTTCTGCGTCCACCGAGTCTTCTACTAGCACCTCTTCCACCACCAGCACCTCTTCGGCTTCTGCCTCTGCCTCTGCTGAGACTAAGCCTACTGAGCCCAAGAAGAAGCAGCTCGTTCAGATCAACGTTGACTTCACCCTGACCCCCACTGGCCCCGCTTCCCTCCTCCCCAAGGCCTCCCTCCAATCCCTCAAGGACCGTCTCAAGTCCTTCGCCGCCTCGGACCGCACCCGCCAACTCCGCGAGGAAGCGCTCAACCAGCTCGAAGCCTACACGTACAAGATCAGCGACATTCTCGACCGCGAGTCTTTCATCGCCCACTCCACCGCTGCCGAGCGTGAGACTCTCCAGCAAAAGAAGGACGACGCCAGCGACTGGCTCTACGGCGACGGCGCTGATGCCACTCGCGAGGATTTTAAGGCCAAGCTCAAGGAGCTCCAAAACATTGTCGATCCTGTCCTCAAGAGGGCCGAGGAAGCGGAGAAGAGGCCTGAGATCCTCAAGGGGTTGCAGGATGCTCTCGACAACACCAAGAAGTTCGTCAAGGACATCAGGGAGAAGATTGCCGCGTACGAGGCTTTCCACGCTTCTGCCTCTGCTAGCGCCTCTGCTTCGTCGTCTACCACAGCCCCGGCTTCTTCCGCCACCGGAGACTTTGATGGCCTAGAAGACGATGCCTCCACCACCGGTACTCCCGAAGACCCCATGAAGGTCTTGGAGAAGGACCTCGGTCCCGTCCCCCCTCTTTACAGCCTCGAAGATCTCAAGGAGTCCGAGGACCTGTATACTTCCATCTCCACTTGGTTGGAGCTGAAGGTCGCCGAGCAGGAGAAGTTGGGACCCACCGATGACCCCGTCTTGACAGTCAAGGACCTTCTCGAGAGGAGAGAGAAGTTGGATAAGGCCGGTATGGCGTTGGCCATGAAGGGGGTCAAGAACTTTGAGAAGACGCAGGCCAAGGCCAAGGGCGGAAAGGCCAATGGAAACGGAAAGGCCAAGGCATCTGGAAGCAAGGCGAGCGGCCAGAAGAAGAATGGAAAGGCCACCAAGGCGGGCGAGAAGCCGGCCAAGGAAACGGTCAGCGATGAGGAGATTGAGGAGATGTTGAGGAAGGTTATGGCGGAGGAGAAGGCCAAGGAGGATGCCAAGGCTCAGCAGAAGCAGAGCAAGGAGGAGCCCATCAAGCATGAGGAGCTTTAAAAGGAGGTCCGTTGTAGGCGTGTGTGTTTTAGCAGCAAAGCGTGTTCTGGCGTTACAAGACCATCATAGATTTTTATCGATCTGATCTGGTTATAGGGATTGCAATGTTGGCGTCAATCTATACTTAACTTATCTATAGACATCTAAAGATGTTACAGACTGAGATTCTGGTTTCGATGTACCTGTAGTTGTGCAACGCTCTGCTGCGGTCTTTGTTCCGCGCCCAATCGCCCATTGACGTTACCTGACAGGTTGACAGCCGCCACGCCGTTCACTCGTGACACCTCACCCGTTCAACTGGTTCTAGAATGCTGATTGACTTTAACGCACCCATCGAGAATAGACGAAGATCCAGGAAGTCGACATGGCCGGGAGATGGAATGTCTTGTTCGGAGGAAGTGACGTCCCCCAGGTCACTGAAGACGCTAAAGGTCCGCTGTTAGTGCTGCTTGCCGGGGCCGGTGCCGGGGGTGTTTGGCCCGACACCCTCCAGGCGCCATCGGAGTCTCAACGGCCACACTCGTTCTTTCGTTTATCAACAACATGACGACTTTTCCCCTACATTCCTCAAATCGTGTCTTTATGCAACTGAACAGGGAGCTTTGAACCGATCAATGTAGAAGAGCACCATGGATACCTTCGCCAATCAACCCCTCCCTCTATCTCCAGACCGGTCCTTATCGGCATGCCCGCCCGTCACCTTCAGCCGTCGGTACTTCTAGTCGTTCTTCGCTTGCTGAACCAATCATGATGCGTACCGAACCATCGTCGATGCTTTGCATGGCACGTTTTTGACTGTTTTGGTAGGGTAGTCGAGGCCTGATGTCGGGCAAGTGTCAAGATGGCTCTTGCTGACACGGCTTGGAGCTGAGTGGTCTACTGGTCTAAGCCTCATGGTCAGATTGTTTATCATCATCACTTCAGCTTCTTTGATCCCAGTGGCATCTCATTTTTATTGTCTTTTCATTCCAATCTTTGTATCTCTTCATCCTTCCTAGACAATCCTAATACCTAAGTATTCCCGCCTGATAGCACATCAAGACAAAAGGTTTCATCTGCGTCAACTTCCACATCTTCAACTCAGCCACCCACAACCTCATAATGGGCGACAACTTTCAAACTCCATCCCCATTGCCGGCTCAGGCTGCCGAACCACAACAACAGCCCACCCCCCAAAACGCCACTCTTCTCCAGGCCTTCGAATGGTACATCCCCCCCGACCACGGGCACTTCCTCCGTCTCTCTTCTCAGATCCCCCAACTCTCCCAGCACGGAATCTCCTCCCTCTGGATCCCGCCCTCCTGCAAAGCCACCTCCCCCCAGTCCAACGGCTACGACATCTACGACCTCTACGACCTAGGCGAGTTTTCCCAGAAGGGTTCCACGGCCACCAAGTGGGGGACCAAGTCCCAACTCCTCGAGCTGGCCCAAAAGGGTCAAGAGTACGGCGTAGGCCTCTACTGGGACGCGGTCCTCAACCACCGATTCGGCGCTGACCACCGCGAGAAGTGCAAGGCCGTTGAAGTGGACGCCAACAATCGAAACGTTCGCATAAGCGGGAGTACGAGATCGACGCCTGGGTGGGCTTCGATTTTTTTGGTCGGTCTGGGGCTGGAGACCAACTGCAACACAGCAAGTTGAAGTACCACTGGTATCATTTCTCGGGAGTCGACTTTAACGCCAACGATCCGGACAAGGCGGGGACTATCTACCAGATTATCGGGGAGCAAAGTCAAGGGTGGGCGAGAAGTCCCGAGGAGGTTGATGGCGAAAAAGGCAATTATGATTATTTGATGGGCTGCGATTTGGATTATAGTCATCCGGAGGTGGAGGAGGATGTGCTCAACTGGGGACGGTGGTTGGTGAAGGAGGTGCCGATTAGGGGCATCAGGTTTGATGCTGTTAAACATTTCAGTGAGGGGTTTTTGAGGAAGTTTGTGAAGATGCTGGATGGAGAGTTTGGTGAGGGGTGGTTTCTTGTGGGCGAGTTTTGGAAGGATTCGTTGAAGGTATGGTATGTTGTTTCTGGATTTTGAAACAAGGGAGCTGAGGTACTGACATTTGACATGACAGACCGATTATCTCGACCGGATGGATCACAAGTTCTCGCTGTTTGATGCGCCGCTGGTTTACAACTTTGGCGAAATCAGTACAAGTGTCTCGGCTGATTTGAGGAAGGTGTTTGACGACACGCTGGTGCAAAAGGCGCCTGTCTGTGCCGTGGTATGTTCCCTTCTCCATGTCTTCTCTTCCTCCCCATACCTCTTCTCTTACCCTTTCCTCCCAATTGACAACCCCGATTACTAACACACCGTAACAGACACTAGTCCAAAACCACGACACCCAACCCCTCCAAGCTCTCGCGGTCCCCATAACGCCCTGGTTCCTCCCCCTCGGCTACGCCCTCATCCTCCTCCGCGAAGCCGGCTACCCCTGCGTCTTCTACGGCGACCTCTACGGCCTCTGCACCCCCACTTCCGACAACCCGTCTCCCACCAGACCAACTAGCGGCCCCGTAACCATCCTCCCTAAGCTCCTCCTGGCCAGGAAGCTCTATGCGTATGGACCGCAGACGGACTACTTCGATTACCAAACCTGTATTGGCTGGGTCCGACATGGAACATGGGATAGAAAGGATAAGTGCGCCGTGGTGATGAGTAATGCGGCGGAAGGGTGGAAGCGGATGTTTATTGGGGCGGAGTGTGCTGGACAACGGTGGACGGATGTGTTAGGGTGGAGAGGGGAGGTGGTTACGGTTGGGGAAGATGGGTGGGCGGAGTTTAGGTGTGGAGGGTGTAGTGTGAGTGTTTGGGCTTGGGATGGGGCGAAGGGTAGGGAAGAGTTCGGGGGCGAGTTTGACTTTGATATCTATGGTTCGGAGAGTGAGGGAACAAATTGAGCTATAAACCTAGGGGGTGGTGGATAGTACTGGATCGTGAGGGAGACGTGGCATGGAGGGGAGATCAATACCGATCGCGGTAACAAGTTAAGACTTTGGATCATCCTGAGGAGGCATAAAACAAACAAACTGTTCAGACACGGATTATAATTATGGCAACGATTCACGAAGCAGCAGCTTGGAAGAGGTAGAGGAAGTCAGGTTTTTCGCTATCAACATCAGTTTTCTCCTCCAGCCCTCCTCACCGAGAGCCTTCTGAGTCTGTCAACAGCAGATAACCACTTCTCTCCTTCCTGAATATGCCTACGCTAAGGAGCAAGACAGGTTAAGTTCCAATCAGATGTGGACGAGGCAAGCCGTCAAGCTCATATTAAAAACAGTTGAAATCCTGAAGCCAGAAGTTTTCCGATCCGAACTCCGACGCTGAACGCTGAACGCTGAAATGCAAGTCCTCCAGGCAAGGGCCATAGACGATGAACTATCAACTCATTAGTCGTAACTTCTCAGTCGTCATCTGCAAGTGCACCTCGCGAACCAGACCCTCCCAGGCCATATCAGATCATGTCGAATCTAGATCCTCAAAGTCTGATGACTCCCAGAAACTCAAGTTCAAACACCCCGAGTCTGAGAAGCAGTCTGCGTAGCAGTCTTCGTAGCAGCAGCCACCTTTGCCTTGTTACCACCATCAACACCCGGCAAGAAAACCTCCGTGTTGCTGGAAGTCGGCTCCGGCCAACACTGCCAATCATAATAACAAGGCTGCATAGTCAAGCTGACCGAATCATCGGTGTAGCTGGCTGTGAAGTACCACGACAAGTCATGGGACTCGGGGGCATCATCGCGAACATGAATGGGAGCGTCGTTCTTGTCCATATGGTGCTTGCTGACGGGGAGAGAGGCAGGGGCGTCGGAGTGGTTAGCGTCCATGGAATGGGCTTCTTTGCCGACTTGGAAGTCCTCGAGACGCTCAACAGCACCAGCGCCACCGTTGAGGATCGTGGTGAGGACTTGTTCCCTGGGACGAGGCAGGGTCGGGGTGGGTGTGGTCATGCTTAGAGCAGCTTCCTCCAAGGGGTTGGGGATGGGCGCTGGGATGGGCAGGATCTTATGGTAGTCGCTGGCGGTGCCACTGAGAGTAAAAAAGGGAGAAGTAGCAGCTGAACGATGAATAACGCCGGCGGGAATGGTGCTGGTGATCATGCTATTCCACTCGGTCCAGGTACCTGAAGGGGGAGCAAGCGGGTAGCTACGTGTGGGACGGATGACAGGGGCAGGAGTGTCGGTTGCGTCGGCGCCGTTGGGAAGGGCCAGGGTGTAAGTAGTGGCCATGGTGCCGAAGGTGAAGGTTAGGGTTGTGAACTCTTGCTTCTCAGGGCCAGCCAGCTGGACTTCGACGTTGCGGGGGTGGGCGACGTTGCTGTTGCTGGTATGTTTGGCAGAGCTGGCGGTGACGAAAACCGGGTGGACGGTGATGGCGGTTTTGTGCTTGGGACCAGCAACAATCGAGTTGGTGTTGGTGGCATGACTGGCATCAGCAGAGGCTGCGACGTCGACAGTGACGGTCTTGATGTCCACGGTCTCGGTCTCGACCTCAGTCACGATGCTCTCAGTCTCAGAGTCAGATTCAGCAATCGCGTGTTCGGTGAAGCTGCCGATGCCGCCGTAACCGCCAGGAGTAGGCACAGGCACAATCACAGCGCCAGTCTCGGTGCCGTGAGCGTGGTGAGTACCGTGAGTATGGTGACTGTGAGTCGAAGAAGTCGAGAACATGGTCTGGGGCTTGGGAAGACCAGGTAAGCCATCGACGCGATACTCAGCGCTGGCTGTGGTGGTGACGGTCTCGTGGCCGGTGAGATCACGGGTAGGTCTCTCGATGTAGGGAGCAGCCAGAACCTGTGTGAGGCTGGCGCTCAGGGTGAGGAGGACGTGAGACTTCATTGTCCCGTCGCGTTCCCTGCTTGATGACGAGAGTAAGTTGAGGGTGGTGCTGGTTTGGTTATTACTTGACCTGGCTGTGAGCTTCCACTTGCGCGATGAAGTCCAGTCTTGAAGCGCGGGTGACGATGTTTCGATCAAGACCGTGATGATGGTGTGGTGACTTGATGGAGGGAGAGAATGGATTTTTTTTCTCTGAGAGTCGAGGAGAAGGAGGGCATGGAGGGGTTTCTGCCCTATTTTATCCAGAAGGCTCCCATGGCATCCATGGGCTTCTGCCAGCTGCGTGCCTTGTCCAAAGTTCAGACGAAGGTCTGGCCTTGGGTATTACGTATCCGGGTACCCGTCCTGGCCCATCATCCGTTGCCAACTGGAAGGTACGGAGTAAAAGACCGTGTGGTAAGGCGGAGGGGGCAGGCAAACGCCGCTGGTATCAGATGAAAGTACGGTGTCGAACCATCAGCTCTAGACCCAGCCCGTCGGTCGGATGGTTCTAAAAGCGCAGGATCTGATTCGACGGGCCGGCATTGTACTTGTAATGTCTGTCTTGTTGGCCGTTGTATTCATTGCCGAGACCGAAGATAAGAGTGCAATGTGATCGTGGAGTCCAGTCGAAGTGTGTGATCAAGACAATAATGTCGCTATGGGGCTGAGGGTTTCGAGATTTGGAGGGCTTCTGCTCAAGAAAGTGAGAATGACACTTCTTCGCTGTTGTTTCAATGAGCAATTTCAAGGACGGATGGCAGGGAGGAGAGGGACTGGGCGTCACGGACATCGTATCAATGATGGACAACAGCTTCACCCAAAAGCACGAGGAACATGTGTGATGACCCATTAACGAGCAAGACACTCGTATGCAAATACAATTCCCAGAACTTTAAAACGTACGTACGAGTATATACCATTCCAACCCAGAAGATCATTGTCCCTCTCAGTTCATACCGTTCCTTCTCCTTCCTCCACTCTTACTCCTGGCAATATGCGCCGTCAACCTCTTCTTGGTATCGACCAACGACCTCTTGTGCTTCGCCTTGGCCTTACCGACCGTCATCAAGAAGTTCTTCTTTCTCGCCTTCTCCTTATTCGTCGACGACTTGCCCTCGGCCTCCTTCTTGGATTTCCTGATGGCCTGCGTAGACTTGTGCTCCTCGCGCCCGGGCTTGCCGTCCTTGGCCATGGCCACACGCTCCTCCTTGGTGCTCTTCTTGCCTATCTGGGCAGGCAACTCGATGTCGTCGGCGGTAACACCGTCTTCGATGTGCTTGTTGATGAGTTCCTGTCTCCTCTTGGAGACGTTGCCTGTCATCTTGTCTAATTGTGCCTCGCGGCGGAGTTCTGCCAACTTGGCAAGATCGGCTGGTGTGAGGATAGTAGTCATGGCGAGCTTGGAGATGCGGTTGGCTTCGGCGGCGGCGGCCATGGCTTCATCGGAAATCAGGTCGGGAGCAGCAGAGCTGTCGCGACGCTGCTTCTTGGCTGCGGGAGGGCCTTCGTCCTCGTCGTCCGAGTGCTCGACATTGATCCATCCGGTCGAAGAATCGGAATCGTTGGAGGCGACTTCCCACTCGTCGGAGTTGAAACCGTCTTCATCCTCATCCTCCATCTTGGCGTCCCCATCGGCATCCTCACCCTTCTCGGCGAGCTTCTTGAGTCTTTGCTCCTCCTTGTACTTCTCGAGAAGCTCGATACCCTCAATACCACTCTCCACTTGCTCTTCACCGAACTTGAGCCTCTTGACCTCGCCCGACTTCAATCCCATGTCGCCTCCTTGCCGCGGAACTTCTTCTGCAGCAGCTCGGGGTAGACCTCACGGTAAAGAGACTGGAGACCCTTGGCGGCCATCACCACACCCTTGTCCTTGGACTTCTGGTACATGACTAGATCCTGGAGGAGGGTCTCGCTCATGCAGAGCGGTTGACGCAGAGCGACTTCGCGGATAGAGTTGATACCGGCGGAAGCGACTTCAGCGGCGGAAGCCTCAGAGACAAACTCGTTGGCGATCTTGATGACGAGAGGCTCAATGGCGTCGGGAGGAACGTGGTTGTGTGTCGCCTGCGCCAAAGAGGCGAGGAATGACGTGACGGACGGTTGCTTGGGCGTGAGGTACTTGGTGAACCAAGGGTACAAGGAAATGATGGTGAGCTTGTGCAGACCAACCAGACGGGTGACGAGCTGGAGGACAAGGAGCTTGTTATCCAGGGAGAACTTGCACTTGGTATTTTGCAGATGTTTCTGGAAAAGCTGCTCGGCGAACCCTTGGGGATCGTGAATAAGGTGAAGAGCCGAGAAGTTCAGCGGGTGAGGGGCATGCTTCTTGCGCTCCTGCTTCTTGATCTTCTCCATGGCCTTCTCCATGACCCTTTGGCGCTTCTTGGTCTTCTTGTTGATAGTGCCCTGATGCTTGACCTTCTTAACGTCAATCTCCTCGTCACTAGAGTCGTCTTCCATCTCCTCGCGCTCCTTGTCGCCGCCCAAGAAGAAGCGAACACCACCAACGACAACCTTCTCGTTGTCGGACAAACAGGCCTCCTTCATGACGTCGCAGGGGCGGGCATCGGTCCAGATCTGGCGGCGCCACAGCTCGCGGGTGATGCGGCAGGCCCACATGCCCTTGGTCGAAGTACGGTCCGAGGTAACCAGGTTGTGCAGGACAGTCTGGATAGTGCGGTTGAGCTTGTGGTTGGTGGCCTTGGAGTTGGACTCGCGCAGGTCGCTGATGATCTTGGTGTAGAGGAGGGAGCGGAGGGACTTGGAAGGAGTCGAGATCAGGATGGGGAACAGGGTGGTGAGCAGGCTGGTCGAGTCAATGACATCCTTGCGACGGAGGAGAGACAAGCTGCCAACGACCTTTTCGCGCAGATCGGGGTTGAGGACGGCATGATGTTGGGTCAAGAGTTCCTTGAGCTGGTCGTAGTAGGGGGCGGTGACATCGGGGTAGAGATCGGCGCAGTGGGCGATGAGGTCAACGAGGTCGTGGAATTTCTTGTTGTCTTCGCTGGAAGCAGACGAGGGAGAGGAGATGAAGATTTGGCGTTGGGCGTCGTATGCGAGCCACTGGTCGTAGAACTCTTGGGCGTAGGACCTGGAGGAGGAAAAGGCCGTGTTGTTAGTAAACAAATTCCATGGAATGCGACCGATGCTGGCAGCAGCAATTGGCGACGACGAGAACAACAAGAACAACAAACTTACTTGGGATCCCTCCTGATCTTGTACTGTAAACTGACCAGGTCAGCATCGACCTTTTCGAGGGCGGCGACCTTTCTCTTGGGCATCTTGGCGGCTAGAGAATGGGCGATATTCTTGAGTGTTGAAGATGCAAGTCGCAAGAGTGGAAGCCGGTCCCTCTGTTCTTCTCCAGTCTGGCAGCCGTCCTCGACCCTTCACCGGGAGCTGCAGCGGTCCAGAAATTTTTGGGAAATCAACTCCTTATCGGATCCTTATCGGTAGCGCTGGTGGAGTTAGTGGACGTTCCAGGCGGGGAGGACCCTGGACAGCGGCATTCTACGCCCCACCTGAGCTGTGCCCTTTTAAAATTTTCTTCTGCTGCCGCTCCTTCTTGGAATTCTCTTCCCTTTTTCCTTCCACAAATCACCATTCACTTGGGCGATTGACACCAAGCAACCGCTTCCCCGCGGTTTGCTAATCCCATTCCGGCAATGATGAATTCCTCATCCGCCACCTGAACGTGGACAACTGGGACGATTGACATATGCTGTCCTTCGTCTTGTCGTTCATCATTCAACAACATCATGCGGCTCTTCCTCATTCGACATGGAGAGACCGTTGACAACGTGGCCGGTTTATAGTACGTTCAACTCGGTCCACCATGACTTGAGGATATCGTCTAACTCTTCCCAGCGCAGGCATCCGTGATTCTCCCCTCACCACCCACGGTGTTTTGCAGGCCTGTCGTCTAGCCACCCACTTTGCCTCGCCGGCGTCAGCAATCGGTCCTGTCACGCACATCTTCTCTTCCGATCTGCAACGCGCAGTCAATACTGCCCAGGCCATTGTCGACGCCCAGGTGGAGAGAGCAACGGAGAAGGAAGATCCCGACCGTCCCAAGCTCCAACTGGTACAAGTTGTCGAGCTACGCGAACGCGATTTCCGATCCGCCGAGGGGAAGCGCTTTGGCACGCCGCATCCCGATGCTGAAACGCATGACGAGATGCGCGCGCGAGCCACCGCCTTCATCCAAGCCCACCTGGGTCCGCTGCTGGACAGTATACTCACCGGTGACAAGTGCAAGATATCCAACTCCGTCCTGGTTGTCGCGCATGGCTTGATCCTCAACTCGCTCTTGAGATCTCTTTGGGCGCGTTATGCCCCGGAAGATATGACGAGGCTTGCCAACGTCAATTCCTCGTCGGGCTCTGTTGCCGGAAGGTCAGAGTTCCTCGCCTCTTGGAGCAACACCGGATACCTCGAGATCAACGTGGATGCCATTCCATCGTCTGAGGATACCGAGAAGTCGGCTGTTAGGTTGACTGTCGTCCGGGCCAATGCCCTTGACCACCTCCAAGGCCTGAAAAGGACTCGGGGTGGCATCGGGAGTGCCAAGTTCGACACTAAACAGAAGACGATGGAATCGTTCTTCAAACCCGCTGCCAAAAAGCGACGGGTTGATTGATCAATGTCACCAATTGGTATGTTCCCTCTTCATCGTCAGTTCCACACCCTCCCCGCTTTTTATGATTAGAAAAACAATGTTCACAGACCTGTACCGAAACACTATGTGGAAAAACTTGTCCAACCGCTATATGAGAAAGCATCATCACAATCGTTCATGTTATCATTCTTTTGATGCGAGCTCTGTTGCTAACAGATCACAAAGACAGGTTACTACCTTGAACATACACCGCTTGAGGCTCGCTGGAAGATGCGAAGTCATCGTCACTCGGGTGCACTGCAGAATAGCTACCAATGACAATTGATCATCTTCATAATCTTCTCTCATTGCTCTTCGTGACCTGTGCTATCGCTTGCTCGCTGTGGCCATGCTCTTGGATTTCTGTGCTGTTGTTCCTCGTAACTATTCCTCATTGCTTTCGTCTTCCTCACTGTCACCGGATTCCAGCCCATCTCCCTCCTCTGACGGCAATATCCTTGGAAACCATCCATACTCTGCAAAGTCAACCATGAGCTCTCCCAGTGCCCCTGTTGTAACAACCACGCCTTCAGCTTCCAATGCCGCTGCCTGGCTGCGTGATCCTTCTGGTTGGGATCTGGATGAACTGGTTGTCAGTGTCTGATTCGTAACACATAGTTCACCAAGCAGCTTTTCTCCGAGTCTCATTGTTCAACCTGTTGTTGCGAATGCACATACCTCGAAGATATAACCCCCTTGGCATTAATCACCCTCTGCCACGGTACGTTCTCGTGGTTGAACCTCGCCGACGGGTCAACAGGGAGATGTTTAAGGCAGACGCCTACTTGTCGGGGACGTTGGGCTTTTTTTATTTCTTCTTTATCAGCATTTGCACTTGTGGTCTGAGTGAGTGGCAGGTTGCATACGAGTTCCAACCAGCTTTGCAATGTGGCCGTAGCTGGTGACTTTTCCGTGAGGAATCTCTTGCACGGCGCTGTAGACGGCGTGGAAAAAGGCTTGGGCTTCTTCGGAGCGAGCCATCTCTGGGAGTGATTGCGATAGTAGGTATGTATGGTCGGTAGGAAGGTGATATGTGGACGTTCAATGGAAGTTGTTTCCGTCTACGATGAGGTTTTCGATGATTGGATGTTCGTGATAAAAACAGTGGTGGCGATATGTGTGAAAGTTCACGCTCTCCACATTTGAGAGTAAGGGTTAGTATTATTAGCCTTCCTCAGTGCAATAGTAAGGAAAAAAAACATACACGAAGGACGTATTGACCTTCAATTCTGTCTGCAATGAATTCTGACGGATGAACAGAATTGCAAGAAGAAATTGACGTCGTCAATCGTTGGTAGGTCGAGGTGACCTAAACCAAAAAAAAAAGAAAACCCAAAAAAGAAACGGATTGGACAATACCGGGGCTAGGGTTGGGGTTGTCCTGTTGGGCGCGGTTGCAATCTTCAGCGTGCAGTGTTTGGAGGTTTGGAGCAAACATCGTCACGAGCACCTGGCTCAACACAACATCACCAACTATTCGGGACTGGTTCGCTGCATGAAGGCGGCGCAGAAACTCTTTGGATATGTTACAATTGCAACGGATCATATGATGGTTGATCACACTTCATTGATTCTTTTCCTTGCTCTTCCCCTTCTTGGACTGGATTCGGTGGGACCTTTTGAAGCGTCAATCCGAAATGTCGCGACACCTCTAGCCTGCATGGGCGTCATGCTGCGACGTTGCGCGTGGTTGGACCTTCCATCAAGCTTTCTTGAGCTTCAATCCCAGCGTCCTTGTCCCTCCCCAAGCTGGCGACGATGGAAGTTATCACAGGACTGTGGCGCCGCTTTCCCCGTGTGCGGGTGACGTGCGGGGCAAATGAAGACATTGATGCCAGGTAAGTCAGGCCTACGCCCCTTCCGACCGACGAGCTGCCTTCATTCACCTTGATAGCCCAATGCGCCTTCTTTTCTGGCAGGCGCACTCAATGATAACAACTTCAAATGCATTCTGTCGCATCACGGAGGCGTCGCAAATGATGTCGCTGTCGCATGCAGCCCATGGGTGTCGTGACTGCCCTTGCTGGTGTCGGTGAGCATGGGATTGACAACTTAAAGTACTTCAAGCTATGGCCCCTCGCCCACTTCACCACACTCACTTTCACCCCAAGCCAGCCGACTTCACCATCGTGCTACCAGGCACTCACGTCGGCCCATGCCCTCTGCTATCAAACCACCTGAAACCAAGTCTCTGGGCCAACTGTACACCTACCAGACACTGGAAAACCCAGGGCATATCCGGGCCGTGACTCTACTCCCGGGAGATTTTGATGAGGATTTCTATGATGATATTATCATTCACATCTCTTGCGCCTCAATGCGAGTTTCCCAGGCCAATGCAACATCCCAAACTCGAATGACACTGCAAGAAGTCACCGCGGCCTTGCCTCCAGGCTGGACTGTGGGAGAGACCTGGGACAACCGGTATATCTTCGGACGCGTTGACCATGGCAGAAGGGACGAGCGCTTTTCCCAAAAATGTTGGTCTCATCCAGATCGTCGTCTCCACATTTGAAGAGAGTGTTATATTGGCTATCAAAGTCTACCTCTAGCGATAAGCTACGTACGGCAGTGGGTGTGTCTTGGATGCTTTGGGGGACGCATTTTCTGCGGACCGAAGCCACCGAGTCTACCGATAAAAACACAAGGCTTTCACGGCTTGGCGAGGGAGAGTGGAAAGAATGGGAGGGTGTTAGGTTGAGTTGAGGTTGTACATGAGGTCGCGATCACGACACAAAAGGGGGGTTGAGTTGAGGCCAATACCGAAGAGGAGGCCGGGTTGAGGCTCCATATGAGCCAGTTGTCATGACCCCGCGGAACCAGACCACAGTCTCCTCGGACACGTAGGTACCTCTACCCTACTGCCGTGAGAGACTCAACCTCGCACCCAAGAGCCCAAACGCAAGCAGTGATCGCCAGTGTCAAGCTTTGGCGGCCTGGCGGTATCGAGACACTGAGTACAGCCGAGATAAGCACCGGGTTCCGACTGGGATTGAGGCTGAGGCAAATGTCGAGCTTGAGGAGAAGCGATGGTTAGGTGAGTGGCTGCTGATGACGAGGGCAAAGATGGCAACATCGAAACGATATCTGGCATGTCGTGGCATGGGCGATGATGATAGCGGTAGTGGCGGGTAATGGTGTCATCCGCCTCGGTCCATGGGATGTCGCTGTCCTTCATCCTCTCCAGTGCCTCCCCAGCCCATCTCATCGTCCCTCTGCTTTCTGTCACCATTTCTTGTACCATTCCGGGGCTTTGGTAGGGTCAGAGGGGGACGGGATGAAGAGGCGACAACTCAGAGGGCGTGAGAGCATGGAGGTGTTGGTGTAGCCAGGATCGGCAGGGCGATCACATGGACGAGTGGACGGGCTTGGATCGGAGGGAGCATGGTCCACATAGGCACTGGGGTAAGTGGCTCGGGTGGTCCTGATCGTGATGCATGAAGCCCCAAGGCCTGATCATCTTCGAGTCATCATTGTGGTCTTGGCCATGATGCAAGATGATCCGATTTAGCTGGGAATCCCAAAGCGACTCGTTGTTGTTGTTGACGCAGGGGGCTATGAATCTCGCGAGAGGTTGTTTGTAGACCGAAGGACTGTCGCATCCACGAAGTTCTTGTCTGACCTGAAACAAGCTGCATATGGTCAATCCTCTCGGGGTTGTGTTGCGCATCTTAGGTGTAGAAGGCCCAGATAATTCTTACGCGGCTTTTAGGGTGTGCGAACTTCGATGCCAGATAGGGTTTGTGGAGAAGAATCGGTGTCGGTGCGAGATTTATTCGAGTCTCTGGTCCGAGCCTTGGATAGAGGTATCCTCCTCAATATCAACTCGGGCCATGTTGAGATTAATCCATGGCTTGGCACAGATATTCACGCCATCTCTGAGGTCGTTTTTCGACGTCTGGTTGTTGAAGGCATTCCGTGGCCCTCTGGTTCGGCCCCTATGAGATCAACGTAATCCGTCCATGAATACCTGCTATAGAACCCGGCACAGATGGTGGATGTCTTGAGCTCACAAACAGATCAGAGAGATATCGACGTGGCCGCGTGGTGAGGCTGCTTGATACTGCGGCAACTGTGCACATCAATTGCATGGGAGGATCCGTATTGTCATCGTATTGAATGATTGGTACTGGTACCGTCTGAAATTGAAGACGACGTATGTCAGCAAATGTAAACCTTCATCTTCATGAAACTTTGAGTTACATACTACGGCACCTTCCGTCATCCTTGAACTCGGAAGGGACACGGTTTTTGAAATCCATATCTCTTGGCTTGGGACATCCGTGGGTACTGTAGTTTGGCCAGAAGAACAAGTTGTGCAGCTGGGAGCGTGTATGTGATGATGTGGGGAGACAAATTGAGGAAGTTGAACGGGATGGCCTTGATTTGTATGTCTTCCTAATCTTAGGACAAGGCACATTAAGCCTTGATTCATCACTGCATAGAGGTACGTACATATTTAGTGTATATGCATGTGTGGAGATCTTAGCGTCGTTGTCTCGTTATAACATGCCCGAAAACACAAGCCGTGTGCAAGGGACGGGAAGCTAGGTAGATTCGCATCCTAGAATGGTTCGCAACGAGAGTGCGTTCCCTGGGAATATGTACCTTGGTACTCGTTACTCGAAGGCGTTTTTGGCCCTGATGACGAATATTACAGAGTATTTCCAATCCGACTAGGTACAGTTACGCCTGATTTCTGTATAGGTAGTCCTGTTATGTATACCTTAGCTGGCAAGTCCCAAAAATTCCCTCCGGCAAGCCCCGCCACTTGTTTATTGTGGTCAGCCGCACAAACACTTGCAATGCACATCACCAAGTCCTCGTCCTTTGGAGTTAGTGATTGCTGTCAACTTGGTCAACTGGAAACTGTCGATATTGGCACGTTAACATCGCCCCCTAGAGGTATGTTGTTGTCATATGCCATTTTGGTTGTGGTCCGTAGGTAGAGTCTTCCCTAATAGAGAGGTGGTGGAAGTTCACACTCTCTCGAGGTGCCCTCATAATGACATTGACAACGACAGCTGACGGAGATGGCGGTAGCTTCAAATCAATGACAGCAAGAAAGCGAACCTCAATGCACTTAGGTAGGTAGCGATACCGCACAATACCTACCGGGTCATACGTAGATTTTCAACAGGAACACTGGGAATCTCTTCTTAAATTCTGCATTGGGTGCTTAGGGATTAGATTTAAAGCAAGAGATCACGATCGCTGGATTGCTGGAAACGTATGACCGGTAACGTATGTTCGGTATTGTGCGGTATTGAGGTTGCCTGTGCAGGCGCGTTGGGGGCAGAGATTGGGTGCACACCCAAAGAAGTTGGTGAGGGACGAACTTCATCGGCAATAACGATTGTATGCATGTGGTGGTTCGCGCACCACAGCATATTGGATATCCGACCCGCTGGAAATGGTTCGCATGTTCGCACAAGGCAACTGCAAAACTTGGGGAACGTCGAAACCCTGGCCCAGTGGCATGGTAGGGCTCGTGTCACCTCACCCGCAAAGAGGCGAGCTTGGAGCCACGCTTTTTCACTGGAAGTTGAGCCTCTTGGTCCAGGTGAGCGACCCGTCACTGCGGCTTCTACACTCATCCCTTCTCTGTACCACCCTCACGTGCCTCCACAATGAACGTGGCGCACCCAAGACAGTCACAAACTACCTGCTTGTATCCTCCAACTGAAGCTTTCAGCTGCCGCCCATTCCGACCCGATGCTCCAATATCAACTCCCATCAAGTTCTTCCGTCATTGACCGACTTTACACAATACCCTAGAACACCCCTGAGAGGTTTAGGAAGACTTTGTCGACGAAGTCCCCTTCAAATACAGAAAAGTCCCAATGAACAGCCACTACATGTACATATGCCTGTATTACGGTATTATAACATTCGTTTCTACTTATCTAGGTCACTTAATGATGTACAGCGACCTAAAACGGGTTTTCATTGACTCACCTCCCAAGATGTCAGCCCAAGGACATGTTCTCCTAGAATGCCGGCACAAACTGGAGGTATATATATCATGACTCTCGCCCCTCGTCTACATGACTTCGACACAGCAATCTATCTCTCAGGCTTTGCTTGACGTTTTCCTTCCGTAATTCAAATTACCTTTCCCCAACGCGTGTATTTATCTTCTCTCCCGTCCACTCTGTCTCACCACAGGTCCGAGTCACCATGTCGTCCCCGAGTGACCGCACTTCACGCGGTCCGACCTCAACAAAAAAGAAGGTCAAGACTGACTCTCCCGCTGGATGTCCCAGGTATGCAAAAGAACACAATCAAAAGACGATATTTTGCCATCTTTAGTCTAGGGATAACACTAGTTTCGCCGTAGCAACCGATCCGGTCTCGCGCAGGGTGGCTCCATGTCCACAGAGGCCAGGACCATTGGACGGTCCAACATCTCTCAATCAGGGTCTGTTGTATCGGGTGCTCATAACACCGACATTCTCTTTGACGATGGCTCTCTCCAGCACTATAGACTCGCTATGTTTGAAGGCCAGCACCGCTTGGATGAGGGCACCATCTACGCTCGTCTTCAACATGACGATGTCACAACTACCAGCACCATTGTCAACGACGAGGAATTTCGGACTACATTCTACGAGACCCGCGCTAGTGACGAGATCCGCCATTTCGATAATACTTTCAATGCCAATAAGTAGTTGTCTACATCACTTGTTACATGGAGACGTTGATTTACGGTTCCTTTCATCCCGTCGTCTTCCAAACGAGGATCCACGGTTCCGATCGTTACCCCACCAAATCTCGAAATTCCAACCAATCATTTATCAGGATTTCATCCCAAATAGGAAAACCAACGCCCAAGCACTTACACAGCACCCAACGCTAGAACCACACTCCATGCACAACGTCCTCCCGCCAGGCCCAGACATCTTTCTTTTGGGGACGACTTCCAAAGCTCACAAAATGCGAAAGCTCAAAAACGCATCTGCTTCCATTCGTACAACTTCCATCACGATACTTCCAATTCATTTCCTTACCGCTTTTCACCAAGTACCGCACATGTTTCTTACACGCTTCCAACGACAATCCTCTCCTTTGTAACCGGCAGTCAGTTTAAATCAACAGTTATTCACGATATACGAAAACTTCTGCGCTCAGTTCGCAACCTCACTCTTTACGTTTTCCTTCACGCCATTTACGCTACACATATCTGACGACGATCTATCGCTTCAAGTTCTTTTCCTTCAACATTTGTCCCACATCTTTTCCCAAATCTGTTTCAACTTCATCCAGTTTCCCAAATCACGTCCCAGCGCTTCAACATCGAAAACCTAGATTGTTTTTCTCGGGAATCTGAGCTGTTACCGAATGGCTGCCACATCACCTTTGCGCATCGACCCCAAAAACCACCACCTCCGTTCCAACAGACGGAACCATGACTGGAGCAAGCATTCCCCACGGCAGCGAAATGGGATTTCGGTCGTGCAGGTTGATTCCCCGTTATTGCATCCTTACAAGAACTGCTTTGCGATGCCATTATCGGCGCAATCAACAACCACTGAACATGCACCGCTGAATATCCAGCCCATCACCACCATTTCCCCGCCGCCCCCGCACGAGAAGCGGCTCGCATATCACACCAAGGAAGTCGCTGGAACCGACAAGACCACTTCATAGACAACAGTCACCATCAGACAAGCATACGCCGCATTCTTTCTGCAGTCATCATAGCCATTGGGACCGACCAATTCCCATTTCTCTTCGTACATTCGTACAAGGATGTCCCGGGATATAAAGACAATCAATCCACGGCGCGGTACCTTTTGGGCCAGGAGGCACCGCAGTTGTTGGAGAGTTGGAGAAACAATTGGAGTAAGCAGCGCCAAGCAATTGATGCAAGGAATAGCTATGTACACGAAGTACCCCAAAAGGTACCTCCACCTGTCTGTTGTCTCCTCTGCATCGACGGATTGTCCAATGAGCAACGGGTGCTGTATAGGTAGACTTTGGATGTAGATGTGTTTTTGGATAGATGATAGACGGGCGCTGCGCTGGAGAAGAAGATGGAGATTAAATAGACACAAACCCTTGGATGTTATGTTGTTGGTTAGGAATCTCCTTCGCTTGCCATTTGTGAACTTCCGGTACCTCCAGGGCGATGTACTTCCACCATCTTTTAGGGTACTCGCGTACCTGTTTCTCCAAATCTCCAATTTTTCCGTTCTTTCAAGCATCCCTTACCCATGCGGAGAAATCCCATCATGTCCGCTGCTCCCCCTCACTCCCGTGGTGCTCACACAGTAGAGTGTGGTGCAACGCGATCACGGCATGCTCCTTCACACAGGGGCATTGTACAACGTTACCTCTACATATTACCTCTACCCTACATCCTCTGTAGTATGGCCCAATTCCGCTTACCCGTTTTTACATGATAAGTCGCGCAGAGTGCCATGTTGAAGAACTGGTAGCGGTATTTCGACAGGCAAGCTGAAGGGTGATTTTTGGGAAGAATGAACTTGATATGTACCGATCGGTAGTCTATCTCCCACCTACCATACTAATTAAGTCTATAATAATGCCCAAGCCAATCCTGCGCCGAATTCATTGCCATGTCCATGCTTGTTGCTGATACATATCCTACATGTACGTCTTGATCCATTCCAAGACCCCCCATATGTCAACCCCCCGCCATCTCCCATTGTGCACTTCACATCTCCATCTCATCCACATCAACCAGTCCTTTAACCCTCCACTCCCCGACCACACCCACCCCATCCTCTTCCTTCTCCACGTCCCTCACATACCCAACTCCCCAATCCCTCCGTCCCGTCAACAACCCCCTACAAGCCTCCAACCGAGCATAATGCGCCAACTCCTCTCTCTCCTTAATCCCCTCTTCCCTTCCACTCAACTTCTCTCCATGTCCCTGCAGGGCTTTATTAACAGACCCATTACACCCCAAGACCCCCCAGTCCAAAATCTCCAGAACCCCCCTTCCCCACTTATCTCTCGCCCGCACGTTAGCTCCCTGATCCAATAACACACTTAGAGCAGTCTTCCTCCCCAGCCTCGCCGCTATCAAAAGGGGGGTTTCCCCTCTTTTATTCCTCGCTTCAATGTTCGCTCCGCCACGTATTAGTGTCTCGAGGATACTTTGGAGGGTGCGAGACTTGTCGTCTTCGTGATCGGGAATATGCTGGATGAAGGCCACAAGGGGAGTGGTGCCGGATTTGTCGTATGCGTTTGGGTTCACGCCCACGGCGCTGGGTCCCGAGGAAGGATGGAGAAGAGAGTTCAAGTGGCGGAGGCGAGATGGAAGGGGATTTTCCTTTTCTGTCACTGTCACTACGCTGAAGGTACTGGTGGTGGGAGAGGGGTGGGAAGTGGGACCGGGGGACATGGGTGATTGGATGACGTGGATAGGGGTGAATTCCAAGGAGAGCGATGAATGTCTGCTGCGCTTTTGTGGACGGCTGCTGGAAGTAGATGATAGTGCTGAACGTTGCTCGTCCATGCTTTTTTGGTTGATGATGGCTTCTGCTAAACAGTGCAAGCCGTTACGACCTTCAGAGTCCTCGGCAAGGGGGTTGGAGTAGGCTGAGTGGATGGTTCGAATTAGGCGGGCGTGGTAGGCTAGGAAGGACCCTTCGTCTGCAGGAGAAGGGACACCAGCGACGCTGATGCTGGGAGAGGGGACCCTGGAGGGTGTGCTTGAGCGATTGGGGAGTTCGTGTGGGGAGTAGGAGATAGGGCTGCTGTAGATGGGTGTTCCCGGTGGTAGAATGGTCGGATCTGGCTGGACATTGGCAATTGGATCAAAGCCGAATGCATCTCGATACAGTGGAATGGCGACATTGCAGTATGTTAGAATATCGGTCAAAACTTCCCGGTCTGCTACCAGAGATGCCGCCCGGTGGAAGAAGGTGCGGCCATAGACATCGGTGATATGGAAGATGTCCTGATCGGAGTGACGAACAACGTCAAGAAGTCTTTGGAGAGACGACAGGGCGCTCGGGACGTTGGAAAACCATTCGGGGTTCAAAACATGAAGAAACGTCTGATTGGCAGTGTTGGTAAGACCCAAGGCATCGCCAGCATATGGTACGAGCCGGAACAACTGCTCTTGACATGCACTTCTGGCAGCAAGCAAGTGAAGCAGGGTGTTGCCAAATGAATCATGCAACTGGCAAGCCTCCGAGGATGGATTCCTAAATAGGTCGCCAACTTCTTCCCGGATCTCTCCAGTTGGTGCCAGCCATGAACCTTCTTCTCTTGTCGTTTCCGCTACGATTGCGCACCAACAAGTTCCGCTACCATGTCCAGATGCTGGATCTTCAGCACAGTTCAGGGTATGGGCAGTCAGAAAATCCCCTGGTACCGCAAAGCCCGGGATGGGAGACACTTGGAAGGTGTCAACGTCTGTCTCTGGAGGTTCGAAAGACTCGGCCCACCAAGAGTGTTGCTGTATCTCTTCGAGTTCCGATCCATCCGCTATCGTGAAGTTGTCAAGTAACGAGCATACCTTTTCGGCGTATAGTGTCGAACAGTCGGATATCCTTCGCTGGACCTCTTTGGGACCCGGTCGGCCAGTGGTATGGCCTGGTGTTCGCTTGCGAATGGTAGACTTTGACAGGCAATCAATGCGTTGATCCATCTCAACTCGTGACTCGGGCCGCAGATAACGAGGGTCATTGTCGAGCATCTTATGCACTGTCTTTTGGGCCGAGTTTTTCCTGGAGACCGGTCAGCCACCGATGACTTGCCAGGGAGCGGTGGTTTATAACATACCGGGGAGCGAAGAGATCGTCCTCAAGAACCTTGATGATCCTTCCGATGGACAAGGTTGTGTAGACATACAGTCTGGCCAGCTTCCGTGACCTCGACACGGTCCACTGAGGTGGGCGCCCAATCCTTGTGCCCCCAGGAGAAGCTTTGGAGGACGAAGTTCCAGGAGATGACATTGTAGACAAGTATAAGAAGGGCTGGGATGTTTATCTCGTTTGGGACGGGGAGGGTGGTGATGTTCTTCGGCGATGTAGTTCCTCTTCGGGGACCTATACCATCATATACCTGTGTTGATCCCCATGTTGGTCCCCGAAGCGTACCCACATGTCACATGGCGACCCGGTCACATTCTTTGACAACGGCCGTAAGCTCATGGTATGGATTGTTCATTGTGTGATGCCGAACTGGGGTATTGTCCCTGTAGGAGCTAGCTGATGGTGAAATGCAGACGGGGTCGCGATTTTCGACGGCAGACTTCAGATACGTACGATGATGTATTGTCTAGGGAGGATGACAAGGGTACTCGGGGGCAGCTGGACTGGTAATATCACCCGTTGCGTTTTGCATGTTTGGCAAAAAGGGGTTGCCGAAGTGTAAAAAGTCGGGCTGTTGGGTCTGTTGTAGCGCGGCCAGGCCCTGGAGAGTAACACGATATGTTAGCGGGTTCAGGAAAGCAAAGACGTGAGAGGAAAGATATCTAGGGTAAAAAGAGCGTACGTCCACAGAGAGCCAGTGCCAGCCTAAGGAACAGCACCTGATAGGTAGATCAGTAATCCCGGCCTCAAGACCGGGCTCGGGAATTGCCGAGTGATCGGGTTGGGGAATCAACGGTTGACGGGCTGATAGAAGGTGGAAGCCACACAGAGGATATGGTGCGTGAGGATGCTCTTCCAAGCGGTCTTCCATGCAGCAATGGCCAAGAGTAAAAGCGAGTATAAGGTTGCGGACGGTTACACCAGTGATCGGGCGCACCAGTCGCCTTGTAGATCGACGGTTCGCTGTTGGCTGCGTTCACCCATCCGATCCGGTAGGTTGGCGTAGCTAACGATGCCTGTCCTCGGTGGATTCGGTGTCGAAGGTTGCACACCTTCCCCCTGACATTACAGGGACGAGGTCCGAACTCTGAATTCCTTCTAGAAAGCTTCCATGCATTCCTGTCGATATTACGTGCATGGAGCCGGGGCCTCTTTAGGGGTCGGTGCAACCCTTGTACTTGCTGTCATCCATGGCATGGCCCATAAGGAGGCCGTTATAGCTGACCCCAAGTATGTTTGCTTGTCCCAATCAAGACATTCGCACGTTTCAGCTCGTAGCCGTTGTTCGTTACGGGAAGGTCGCCAGGCGGGAGAACCGATCGAGATCGGAGGTGAGCCCGGTGGGAAGAATGGAGTGGAGTTGCCGACGAGATTGCTTGGTACGGTAATATCTGCGAGAACACTATCATCAGCTGAGGCTCCGCGGGCAGTAATATCGACGATGCATGTTGGGAGGAACAGAGACGGTCCAGGAACCACGTGGTCGAGTGTCGTCCACTGCCCTCTGTCTTGGGGAGAACTTGAGATGACGGCTGTGGCCAGGGTAGGTCGCAGGAGCTGCAGGGAGTCCAAAGTTGCGCTTTGCGAGGTGTCTCGATTGTTTGTTGGCTTCCCCTTGATGGATGCCTGGCGTACTAGAATTCCCCCCTAGAATTCCCCTCGCCTTTCACATCCGGCCAATGTCGAACTCACATCACTCGCAGCACTCTATCAGTAATCTATTTGCGGTGGCCACCGTCACTTGTTGCGTTTCGAGTCTTTGTCGAGAGTAATCAGGCAGCATCATGATGGCCACAAGGGACGAGAGCGTTCGGCAGGCATTGTTCAGTTGAGATTGGCGAAGAAATGGGAAGCGCCGGGAGTGGTGGGATGGCAGATGACACCGTGGGAGAATGAGACGGAATAACTTGACCGTACCTAACAGAGTAGAGATGGAAGATAACGGGATGCAGTGATGGCTTCAGCTCAATTGGACTTGGACATTTGCCTTTTCTTCTACTTCTTGTTTTTTTTTGGCGGAGAGATCCGAGCACCGCACAACTCAGCGTTTTCGGTTGCGTGGGGTCTTTGGGGTCGGCTCGAAGAAGCAAAGAGCAAACGAAGCTTCCATTCCATTCGTAGACAAGAGTGGAAGGAACAAAGGGTACGTGTCCCGCGTTAGCTGCAAGCTGAGGCCGGCCACTGACGGAATGCTTCCAGGCAGCAGTGCATTTCGCAGACAGACGCGGCAGGAACATGGCACTCGACTCCAACATCTGCCGACTGGACTTTCAGTGGTCAAGACTGAACGTCAAAAACAGAACAACAACAATGAGGATTCTCCCCTCAAGTTCTCTGCCGAAGCGGTAGACCAGGCATTGACAGTTTGGCACCGTACGATATTGCTAAAGTAACGCGATAAAGAGCCGATGGACTTCTCCGACGCAACTCCGAGACTCGTGTGCAAACACTGCATGCCCAACAGCAACCAAAGTCAAACAAGGAGGGAGGCCCACAAGTCGACCGTTGAGTTTCAGATCCATCCATCGATCATTATTTCCGCTGTTTGTTTTCAGCACCACAAGCTGTACCATATATAACTAATCGCAAAAAATCCCCAACACCCTCCGCCTCAGACGACCCCGGTCCCTGGTCTCCAGATGTCAACTTGAAGCCCCCGAACCCAACGTCATCGGCCATCACCACCTCCAGGTTCCAGTCCATGGAACTCGGGTACGTAACCACACCCTCACCTCCGCATTCCTTTGCCCAGACCACCAGCTAATCATCTCCTCGACGGACTGTCCTGGACAAGACCACAGACCTTAATTGATCAACCCAAAAAACTTCAACATGACCTGCTCATTCGTCGGTGCCACATGTCCCACGCCCGCTCCCATATAGCCAACCAGTTTGGTGCCATCTCCATACACAATCTGCGTATACGCCTGGCTCGGGACGCCGGTGACATTCTTCGAGAATTCCACTCCCAGCACATTCGACCACTGCTTCAAAGCCTCCATCGCGCACCTTGCATTCACCAGCGTGTCGGCAGCGCCATGGATAATCTGCATCCTTGGTCTGCGTCCCGTATATCCGGGGTAAGAATTCCTCACAAAGTTGCCCCATTCCTGCGGAGTGTGCTGCAGTCCCTTGGCGCACGTCTGGTTGGCCGAGAAAGGAGTAGCCGACGCGGCCCCGGCGAAACAAGCGTGCGCAACCCCCGAGTACGCAGCTCCGGCCTCGAACACCTCCGGGTAAGTTCCCGCGAGGACGTTCGTCATCATACCACCCGAGGAGGTGCCCATCAGGTAGACGCGCGAAGCGTCGGCGTTGTATTTGGCGATGGTGTAGTTCACCATGGCGACGATGCCGAGGGAGTCACCGCCCGCTCCGTGCGTGAGAGAGGCGGGGTCGTGAACCCCCCAGCAATTGGACATGTTGGGCGTGCCGGGATAGATGAGAATGAAGCCGTTTTGGTCGGCGTACGAGGGGAGCCGTGTGCCCGAATACCAAGAAGGGGCAGTGCCGCCGCAGGCGTGCATCTGTTATTGTCTCGTCAGCATCACGGTTGTCTTGGGGAACGAGGAAGTAAGTGCTCACGGCTACGATGATGGCGGGCTTTGCGGCCAGCTTGTCAGGGACGTAGGTGTACATCTGGATCTTGGTTGGGTTACTGCCCCAGTTTGTCACCTGCTGCAGCGACGCACAGAGGCCAGTGGCCGCGGTGAGGGCGAGGCCGAATAGTGTTTTGGCCAACATGGTGAAGATGGTGGAGGAAGTAGCCAAGGTGTCAGTAGATGGTGGCTAACTGCTTGCTTTCTCCAGATTTTTTATCAGAGCTGCCACGGCGCCAGACCATTTATACTTCAGCTGTCCTCTAAAAGACCCCTCAAAGGCTAATCCACGCGGCCGTCGAATCTCCTCCTTCCATACCATCATCTTCGACAACATCTCCACGATTTTTGCACATAAAAGCCTGGCCCGATCGTATTGGCCGTCCAACAGCGAAACTCCCAACTAGGCAAACTCCGAAAACTCCGTAAGCGATGTTGCCCTCGTGCAAGGGAATGGGAGTCTCAAAGTACATTCGGCAAAACAAGAAACACAAATAAATGGCGGGTAAATGCCCTCGTCAACCCGTCACAACGTCGCATTTCCTCAAAAGTGCAGTGTCGCCCAGATCTTGGTATGGTACCCCAGAGCGTCCAAATAACCTTTTGCCTTTTCGGAGCCAAAGAGCCGCAGCTTCGGCAAGTGGTGTCGGTAATTGGGAATAGCCTCACCGTCGACACTTGCCTGTCATTGGCGTGTGATCAGACTAGATGACTTCAGCCATGCTTCGTTTCAATGCGAATGCATTGAAACATCACCTCCTGCTCTTTATGAGGGACTCGGAAGAGTTCATCTGACCAAATGTATGGCGCTGTATCTCCCCTCTGTAATGGAGATACCTTTCCCCATTCACTGACTACAGCCTCCAGTGTCATTCTGGTTTATGGCATCCGGCGGGAGGGACACTTTGTTTCACTTGCCGCTGACGGTATCCGAAGTGACAACGATGAGAGTCACCAATGATGAAGCATATCATCCATATTGCTGAGTGTTCATTGAGAGCAAAATGCGGTCATGATCCGAACTTGCAAATCCGTGTATCCGGACGACGAGCTATTGGCGGTAACCAAGGAGATGTTACACATCCACATCCTGCTGAAGTTTCTGACTTCGATGCCTTCCTACGCATCTATCATCCGCTTTCATAGGCTCAAACTTTTTCACTTCAATCTGGATTGTTACACTCCCCTCGTCAAACGGTCAAAGTGTCTGTTCCTGATCTCAAGATTAGTGCTTAAAGATTCTATGGAAGTGTTTGGATATGGAAAGCATCTGTCGCATCTACACCTCCGGTGGCTCGAACATCGCTATTCAGGTCCAGTGGCCTAGTAACTATCCACCCCGTCAGCCAAACAGCCCTTTGACGTTATCCCTTGGCCAGCTTTGACCAGCGTTTCACCGCAATACACCGCGCCGCGCCAACATGGGAAGCCCTTTGTTTGCTATTCCCCAAGCTTTGAGCTACCAACTGACGATTGTCCACTTAGCTAGACGCTCTCTCCGAAGCAAATCACAATGGATTTGCGGGGCGCTTTGAGCACGAAGCTATCGCCATGTCAATGCCAGTCAAAACTGGAAGCGCCAATACGTCGCCGATTGTCGACTGCACTTTTACACTTCTTTGCGCCGGGCCAACAATACCAGCAACAGCGACAGCGAGGCGGAAGTTATAAGGGTGCTGACAGCTCGTAGTTTTTGCACCCTTATGTCCTCTCCAACAACATTTGTTGCCATCTTTTGTTCGTGACCCTCATTCGTTCTTCTCGTCTTGTTGACACTGTTTTCTTCATCTTTTACACTACCTGCACTCGATTTCCTCCGTATTCCCTTCAACCGTTATACTGCCCGGATTAAGCCATCTCTTTTAGCTACCGGATAGCTCGAGACTTCTGCCCCGCATCTCCTTAGCACCGAAGCGTCAACCACTGCCATCAATCACCGAAGCAGGAGATGCCTCCCCCGTGTCATACCTTTCTTTCCTTTCTCCGCATAGGACAAGCCCTCCTCGCAGCCTTGACCTTGAGCTTGCCTTCCACAGCAATTGCCCTTCCGGCACCTGAACCCGGATCCGTAATCGAAACCCTTCCATCGGCTGTCTCCGAACTCGCGAAACATTCCAACAGACATGATGACCATAGTCTGACCAACACAAACGGTACCCCCGCTTGCTTCAAAACCGCATACCCATCCCTCTCCGCCTCCCCCGAGAAGCAAATCCCGTATACCATGTCCCTCGTTTGCCCCGAACATGGACTCGGGAACGGCACAGACATAGCTTCACCATTCCCAAGGACGCCATTGGTGCTTGCACCCTCTTCTTTGCTCTTCCCCCATCAGCAAACCTAAAAGGCAAAGCTAGAGTGGACATCCGGCCCATCGACGGACCTGCCCCGGGGGGCTTGGCGGGGACCATTTCTATTCCCGAGGCTGGGCCAGGAAACGGAACGACGTGGTCCAAGAAGAGGCATAATGGCGAGAATCATGAGGATAAGCCGGATGACAATGCGCAGGGGATGATGCTGGCGGAAAGGCAAAGGAGATCAACAGCTTCCCGTGCAAAGAGAAGATGGGGTTTAGGTTGTCGATCAACAATGACGATGAGAAGTATAAGAATGGGAATGAAGTGAGTTTTTTGGAGGGAGAAGGGAGCGGGTTTTGGATTAGGTATGGATGCTGATGTTCAGATCTGCGAGGGTGCATTGCATGTGTGATGGCTGGCTGCTTGGAGCAGCTGCGGCGGGTCTAGTGTTTAGGGGATTGAGGTTGAGGAGGCGGGACACTAGGAGTACCGAGTGAATGACTGGAAGATGGTGCTGGACACTACACTAGCCAGAAGTAATAGGGGACAACTTCGATCGTTGGTGGAATTGAACTGAATCGTGATGCAGTGGCTTTTTTTTTTGTGTTGTTGTTGTTATTTTTAACGTCTACTTCCGCCTCCCGTAGGGCATGAGACGTGCCGCACCGGTGAGTCTAGCATACAAAATTAAGAGCAATGCCCTAACTGTCCACCAAAACCATTTAATCCGAGGGCAAACCGAGGCCTATTGCCAGTATAAATCATGTGTTGCCCATAGCGTAAACGCGGCCCAACACTTAAAATCGAATCGCCCAGTGGGCGATCGTGATGCAGTGGCCTACATCAGAAAGATGCCTTTCCAGTGCAATCCTAACTCTAACCCATCCCACCCTTCTGGAGGAAAGCCTCCATCTCCCTCCTCTTCACCTTTAGCCACCCTTCCACTTCCCCCTTTCCCGTTTCCTTCCCTTCTTCTGCATACCCCATCCTCACCAACTCCCTAACCAACTCCCCCTCCATCCCCTCAAACACCCCCAGCTTTTCCACAGCCCCAAAACACCTCGACGCTCTACTCCCCTCTAATACGTCCGCTATGCTCATTGGCAACGGTCTCCCTTCTGCCTCCAGCTTTTGTTCGGCTTCCCGAAATTTCTTACAATAAAGCTCCCTCGCCTTCTGCTTCTTCACGGTCTTATCATATTCAGGATGTTTCTCATCACGAAGGATAGAGGATTCTTGCTGAGAAGAGAGTAAAGGGAAGGGAACGGTGTAGCAAAACACCTCCCAGGGAGCGGACTGGGCCATCTCCCAGTCTATGACTGCTAGGAAGTCGTAAGAACTGTTTCTTGAGGAGGAGGGATTGGAGGAGGTGGTTGAGACAAGGATGTTTTGGATGCCGAGGTCCATGTGGTTAAAGGGGAAGCCTGGGGAGGGATCGTTGACAGCGGCTGCGGAGGCGGAGGGTGCACATGGGGAGCGGAAGAGGGAGGAGTTTTGGACGAGGTCGCGGTAGATGAAGTGGCCTAATTTGTGGAGTTCGTAAGGTGAATTTGGATCGCCATTGGCATTGGGGTCTCGGGCAAGGACGGCCTTGAACCTGGCGTCGGCGATGTTGCAGAAATACTCCCAGCTTGAAGACAGAGGGCCACAGTCGGCAAACCCGTTGATGGATGCAGTTGCTATGGGGTCTATGATTGGACCGTTCTCTCTGGAGTATTCCGATATGGACCCGATCATAGGGAAGGTAAAGGAGGCAAGTTCGGCTTGCGCCATGGTCCATTGCGACATGATGTGTTCTTACGTTTTAACCTGCTCGTTGTCAGTACCTCCTTCCTCTGCTGTCCATTTCAATATCCAAATAACATCGGGCAAAACCTACAGGAAGACCCCAAACATCTCCCCCAGCATGTTCCACCGTAATCCCAAAGAACCCCTTAATCAGCATATACGACGCCCCCACCCTCCGCGCCTGTTCACTCCCCAGTTTCTCAACAGCATAACACTTTAGAAACGAAAAAGTCCTGACATTATCCCTAAGAAAAGCCATAGTCGCCACCTCGCAGTGCACCAGATACCTATGTTTCCGCCTCTTCTGCATCATCACCACATTTACCCTCATGCTCGGGATATCTCGGCAGACGTACACGGGCAATAGCAAGATATCGATCGTCGGGCGTAGAGAACTCGAAGCAGCACCAGTACTGGCCCGCGGAGAAACGGTCGGAGAGGGTGACGGGCGAGGGAGAATGTAGCAGCTTTTCGACGTGGGATTTGAGCGCGTCTTTGTTTATCAAGGACATGAAGTGGCGGAGACGGGTAAGAATTGGAGGGTTGTCTTTCCAGTCGTCGTAGGAGTTCCAGCGGTCGGAGGGACGTTGTTTTTGGGGTGTTCGTGTGGAAGAGGGGTGACGGAGGTGGATATGTTGAGTCTGGTATTGTCGCGGAGGAATGCCATGGTCGTGGCGATGGCGATGGCGGTGGCCACTTACACGGGGCCGGCCGGGTAGCGGGATGAGGTCAAGTGGTGAACCTGAATTCTGGTGTTGATGACGGCTGAAAGTGTTACACTTCGTAACAGCAAAAGTCTAGTTAAGAATGGGTTGGTCTCTTCAAAAGTTCGGCTCGAGTCCGGTGTATGTCCATTTGAGGTTGTTGGAGAGTGACGGAATCTGAGGAGCGTGACCATGAGGGGGAGTGATGTTTACAACCACAATCCCTACAACATGATGTAACCCGTCTACCATCGTTTTTGCGCGCAATCCAACGGCTTTACATCAACTAGACGCCTTACCTCGGAAAATCAATCCCATCTCTAATCAGATATCACCATGCCGGCGTAGTTAATTGGGCTTTAAGGGCTGGTCCGACGCAGTGTCATGCCGTGCAGGGTGGTTGTGCAAGATCATCTTTCTTCGTGGATGTTAACCATAAAACGTGCAAGTTTGAACCTAATTATCAACGAGCGGTTGTATAGTGTAGCGGTTATCACTCCGGATTCTGATTCATAATGGATTTTCCGGCAACCCCGGTTCGATTCCGGGTACGACCTCTTTTTGAATATTTTTTTGTCGCTTTTCTCTTTTTGTGTCGCCAAGATTGAGGTTTATTTCTTAAGCCAAGGATTTTGCTGCCGCACAACAAGTCAATAACGAGGTTGTATAGTGTAGCGGTTATCACTCCGGATTCTGATTCATATTGGATTTTCCGGCAACCCCGGTTCGATTCCGGGTACGACCTGCGCTTTTGTGTTTTTGTTTCGCTGACCACTCTGTTTTTTTGTTTTTTCTTGCTGCCAGCAACGGCCAAAGTTCGTAGAGAGAGAACAATGTCATCAATCCACATTAGGTTGACACACAATTCTGCGAGTGCGAATTCTTGTCAACATATGAGCAAAAGAAGGACATCATGACATGAAGATTTAAGAACACTTTTTGCTGCGAGAACGGAAGACATAGATTAAACCATAGTTTCCCAACAACCATAGTTGGATAATAGCACTTGACAGTTGACATCTGTCCAAAGATATGAGTGACAAAAAGAGAATCAGTCGCACAGCGAAGTAACAAGCTGAAGCTTTGAAAAAAGAAGGGAAAAAGACAGGTCGTACCCGGAATCGAACCGGGGTTGCCGGAATGTTCTGAAGACATCAGAATCCGGAGTGATAACCGCTACACTATACAACCTTCACAAGCGGCTGATGAGGTGCATGGTGGGAGTGCGGCTTTATAACCCATGTATGCCCTAATCAAGGGTGGAGATCGGGCATGTGGTGGACTTGTGCTCCAGATGGAGCCTTGGGTAACGACGAGACCGGGAAGGCCCGCTCCGGAGTGCGGAGACTCCACAGGGATCAAAGCTGCGTGGATGTCACGGGCGAAGCTGTTGCTTCGGAAATGCTCGTTGTTCAATATGTTTATGTGTAGAAGGTCCCATACCTAGGGATCACATTGTACCTTGTAATTCCGTGGCCGATGACTACAACTGTAGGTATACTTTTCTTGCCTGCCACTGGGCAGGTACGGTCCACGAAAGCAAAGCCAGGGTCGCGCAAGCGTAGCATAAGTTTTTGCCCGACTGGGAAGCTTCTGCATCCATGTGAAACAAGAGATCAGTTGCACCCAGACGCAGGTTCGGCAGACAGCCGGGTGTTGTAACCGATGTTCTGCGATAGCTGTCATCCCTTCTTTCAGCTTTGACAACCCGTCCTCAGTTCCGAGCGGGTCTAGAGGCGCCACTAGGGCCTGGAACAGAAGCCACGGGTATAGCCTTCCGAGCGGCCCGCGGGGGATTCTCGAAGCCGGCACGGGTTGATCATGTCTCTCATATTCAATGGACGGAAGATTTGTCTCGAATGAGCCGTAGGATGTTGCATGGCAGTTTTGCAATGGTATGCGTGCGACTGTGTCACAGACTTGGCAGTGGTTGTTCAGCTCTTGGGACTCGGAGTGGGGCCGTGTTTCATGTTTTCGTGAGCGCGTAAAGGTAAGTAGAGTCGTTGAGTATCGATGCTGTTTGCCGAAACGCCGTAGATAATCGCAGCCACTTGTTCTCGGTCGGCCGTGGTTGTGAATAGGCATGGATCTCGGGTGCGGTTATGGTTGTCGAGGTAGACGAGAAAAGGTGTGCCCGGCCTGGAGAGCAACGGCTGGAATGCGACGTCGGGCTAACATTCTTTGGCAGCATCGATCTGTCCAAACCGGAATGGTGTCAGCAGTTGCGCAGTCATAACCGGGTATCTCTAGGGAGAAGCATTGAGTCGCGGGGAAGGCTTCATGATGAGTGGAAGTGGTCGCCAATTCCTTGTATTCGGGACGCGGATCACCGTTGATGCCCCGGGACGGAAGCCATCATCGGACGGTCGAGCCTTGCGCCAAGTGACCGGGGAGGGAGGGGGGAAAGACGTTGCGATTTGCGATTCGAGATTGGGGCTTTCAGGCTGAAGGTAGTGAATGTTCGAGGAATGGAAGATGACGGATGGGAAGGACAAGGAAACAAAACGAATTGCAATCGACAGGAGAGCAACAGTGAAACAGCGACGAAGCTCCAGGGAACAATACAGGGCAGCGGCAGGCAGTGACTGGTCGGAACAGGTGGGGGAACTCTTGTGATCCCTGTCGACAGGGAAACGATAAGCGGAGGATCCACTAAAATGGGCATCAGCCAGGAACCAACGCCAAGGAAGGGCGAAGCTGTGGAGACACATTTCGAGAAGCACAGCACGGATCCCTTCCATCTCTCATCCCGCTGTGATGGACAACGGGATGGCTGGAGAAAAGGGGAGGTCCAGTGTCTAAGATCAAACAATGGTCGTTGTTGTTGTTGTTGTTGTTGTTGTTGTTGTTGTTGTTGCTGTTGACATTTCAAGAATGAGATAAAGGGCCTTGGAAGGGCTAGTCTAGTGTCCTGTGATATCAGATCTTCATCTTGGGCTGATCGGGTTCGACACCCATCCTGGTCTCGGGCGCCAGTCTTGGAGACTTTAGGTTGCGGATAATTACGAGTAAGGAAGAGGGACATCAAAGTGAGGATGAAAGAGGGAGGGAGGGATGGATAGATGCCAAGATTCGAGATTAAAGTAATTGTCCCCGAGAATGTCACTTGCATTGGACCCTACCATGGAACTGAGATTTGCGACAGTCCCCGGACAAATTCGCGGTTTCGACGGCAAGCCACGTTGGATGGTGGTAGTGCTAGAGAGTTGGTTTTTTCTTTCAACGATAACTTTGATCTAACTTAGCAGACGGATGACCAAATGCAAATTGGAGTCCGTCTCGAGGTCGTAGCTGGGGTTCTTGCTCCTCTACGGTATAGACTCCAACTTGGAAGGCAGGAACCACGGGGATATGGACATCTGGGTGATGTATTGATGTTCTCCCCCTGTAACGTACTGGTTAGTATTCCCCTTGTATGATTGCTTTGTCCGAGTCAATGATTTCCCACATCCATCACTTTCAACCCGTCATGGTTCACAAGCCAGGGGTTGCTGTCACCATGATCGGATGAATCTGTCCATTCAAATTCAAGACGACACGCGCCAAAGAAGCAGTCACAACATTCCACTTGACAGTTCTCGTCACCTTTCAGCTTTTGTCCGACGTGCACCTGCTGTGTTTGTGTAATGTAATGCTTCCATGAATACACTCACGTTGAAATGTTTAAACCCCTTTCGTGACCGTGACCCCTGTCGCCAATCTGGACTTCCAGTGGACTTTTAGTGCTTTTAGCGCATTGCGGTAAAATTGGGTACGTGGCCGGGCACCTCTGCGGCACCAGGGCACACACGAATCGTTCCTTGCAGCTTCAACCCTGCGCAGCCCAGTGCAATTGAGAAGTGGAAGTCCACGGCACTGCAGTCGCTCATTCAATTCTCAACAGTCCAGCCCAGTTCAGTTCCAACCTACCACGAAACCCACGACTCGACGAGATCACGTCCAAGCTCCTGTCCTCAGCACATCCAGGACCCCCTCGATCCCCGACCAAATACGTTCGCTTGTTTCTAGAGAGAGAGAGACAGAGGCACCGGCCCGTCTCCTTTCACACGTCCAGTTCATCCAGACACCCAGACAGACAGGAGGGACCCAGCTGAAGAGGAGCCACAGTTAGGTCCGGACGAACCATTCAGTCAGTCGCCCATCTGATCTGCCCTTGGATCCAGAGGTTCTCCGTGTATCACAAAACCCCCTCAGCTTTAGGTAGCTAACCTCTCTTGAATCCAACCAGACAGTCATCCACGACATATTTCATACACCGATACCGACCCTGCTTCCTATTTCTTAATCGTAAACCCTAATATCAGACACGGCTCAGTCCCAGGACCTTCGCTACATAACACTTTCACACACGAAAATCGAGACGAACCGACCGACCGATCGATCGAGCGAGTTAGTCTCTACTAGGAGAAGCTGAGCTGAGCTGAGCTCCAGGTTTCCTAGCTCAACGCAACCCGCGACGGTGACGGCGACATAGGTCAACACCTATCCTCTTGTCGCAGCATCCACCACCCACCAAACAGTTCCAGTCATAGATGCCTTTTACCTGCCCAACACTGTCAAGATGCCCTGGCAACCACTGCCCCGAATTGCTTTCGCCGTAGCTACATACCCCTTCACTGCCTCCAGCGCAGCAGACCTCCCCCTCGAGATCGGCGACGAGCTATACATTATCGAAGAAACACCAGATGGGAACTGGTTGAGAGGCTACTTGGTCGCCCCTCCAAGTCTGCTTGCCGGCCTGACCAGCGTCAAGGGCCAGACATTAGAGGCTCGCGTCTTCAGCGGCATCTTCCCCCGCAGCTGTGTCGAGGTACGAGAAGTGCTGGGCGAGAGTGACGAGACTGACGACAGCGAGCCCGACAATGGAGATCCAAACGAAGACAAGAGGAAGATAAGGACCAAGAGGGTGAAAAAGGAAGGCCGATTGTCCGTCCCCGTACAGCGCGATCCTAATGCGCCTCGACCACCCGCTCCCGTGCCCATGCTCAAGATTGGCGACGAGACACCCACTTCGGCTGCCGAACCCCTCATTGATGAGATCGCATCCTGTCTCCGCGAATGGCACTCAACAAACCTCCACGGGCTTCTCCTCTCCCGACAGTACGAAAAGCTCGACACTCTCTCCAAGCTGATCACGAGCCTCAACCTCTCCCGACAGCAGTTTCTATATAATGTCCTCACTACTTGGGAATACGAAAACCTGCGGGAAACGACGGTTTGGGATCTGGTCCGAGTCAACAAGCTCTGTGGAGGAGAAGTCATTGTGCGCGACCCAAGTGCCCGTGGCCGTGTCATGACGGGCGATGATTCTGTCGTGGAAATAACCCAACTGCAGTCCGTCATGAGCCTGCTGGACGAGCCTCCAACGACCATGCCCGAGTTGACGGCCTTGCACCATTTGATGGTGGACATCAAAATGTTTGCCGGCGCATCCAACGAGTCAACAACCCTCGTTCTCTACCTTGCAACCAAGGCACCCGGAGGACCAGTGACGCCTCTATCAGAGAGTTACATAATAGATGTGCCAGCTGGCGGACAATTAACCAACATAGCGCGGACCTCACAGATGCGCACGCTTTTCTCCGATCTTTCGTCTGCCGACATTGGTGATGTACCGTCCTCCAAGTCCGAGTTGTTGTTGGTCGTCAAGATTCGAGCACCTCAGCCGGTTGTAGCAGCTAAGCCGAATTCCCGATCAGGCGGACCCTCGAATAGCTCGCCCCAGATAGCACCCAAAGAGTCAAAACCACCCCTGGCGTCTGGGAACAAGGCCTTGCGTAGGAGCATGGTTTGGGCCAACAAGAACACCCGGGGCGCTTTTACTAGGAAGAACTCGGACCTGGAGGCCTTGTCGGAGCAGGCGGAAGAGCAGCAGATGAGCAACGAGGCGCTCGAGAGCAGGGAAGGAGCACCACCAAGCACGGCGAACTCGAGGGCAGGCCGTTCTTCAATGGACGGCCAATCTCCACCGACTACAGCCGACAGGACGGTCGGTTTTGGAGTACTCAAGCTGAACTCGATCATGAAGCAACAGGGCGAAGACGTCGAACATGTGGTCAACATCTGGGCGCCTTGCTCCAAGTTCCCGTCCGACAGACATGGTGACAGTGAGGAATGGGATCCACTAATAAAGGAGATATGCGATAGCAGATCAGGTCATTACGAAAGATCAAGGAGAGCAGAAAGGTTACAGATACGACTTCGGCCCTTCAACAACCCGGACGCCGATGCCCTCATCAAGATGACGCCTACGATTTTGTCCGGGATCTGCAAGACTAACAAGATGGGCTTTTCTGGAGCGCCGACCAAGCCTCGATCGGACATCTATGTCACCATTGACGAGGCCACCTTGACCCGACAGACACTGCTATCCCGGTACGGAGCCAGCGCGACAGCGCTCCCCAGCAGTATCCACGGCACCAACTTCCAGATCACCCTCGAGGTACGCCGGGCAAATGGCGAACGCATCGACTACTGCATATATCCATCCTCCAAAAATGAAGGGCTGAGCGTATGGAGATCAACAGCCGTCGACCGTGGAGACCCGTGGAAGCAGATCATCAAGCTTGTCCTTGCTCCCCAGGATGTCCACCAGTCACATATCGTTATGTACCTCTCCGATGCGCCAAATCCTCCCTTTGCTGTGGCATACCTGCCTCTATGGGACCAACAAGCATTCATCCATGATGGGTCTCACAATCTGTTGCTGTACAAATTGGACGAAAACACGTCGAGCGCCCAAGCACCAGCAGGAGCTAAGGGGGGATACCTGAGCTTGCCTTTCACATCCAACTTCCGCGATGAGCATGCCGAGGTGACTGGTCCGCTGGCTGTGTTGCGCATCGATACATATCTGTGCAGCACGAGGTTCTCCCAGGACAAGATCGTGCTGGGCCTGTTGAAGGGCAAGGACTTGCCCCAGGGAGAGGTGCCCGACATCTTGAAGGCCTTCATCTTCGTTCCTGAGATCGAGGTTGTCAAGTTGTTGAACGATGTTTTGGATGCCCTCTTCGGCATTCTTGTACATTACACCGGCAACGACGATCTTGAAGACCTCGTCTTCACTGCATTGGTTAGAGTGCTGGACATCGTCCATGACAGGCGCTTCAACCTCGCTCCTCTTGTCGACCAGTACGCAGAAACTCGGTTCAATTACCCATTCGCCACGCCCTGTCTCGTCAGGTCTTTTACCAGGCTACTGTCAAAACCCACCGAGCCCGAGACAGCACGCAAGCTGCGCGCCACTTTCAAGGTCGTACGGCACATCCTCAAGTTCATTACCCATGCCAGGGGCCAACAAAAGGAAAAGGAGGCTGGGATAGGGATCACGACCTCCAATCCCGGCTTCACGCGCCACCTGCGCACCATCTTCAAGGCCCTCGATGCTTTGATGCGCAACCAGGCACCTGTCTTGGTGGGTAGCCAAACACTCGCCGTCCAACATTTCCACACGTGGCTGCCCGAGCTCACCGGCTTGTTGACAACCGAGGAGATCCTCCACATCGCCATCGACTTCATGGACTCTTGCTCTTCCGTCAAGGGCAAGCTCGTGCTGTACAAGCTGGTCCTCATTATCAATTACTCCAAGCTCGACATCTTCTCGCACCCAGAGCAGCGGTCCGCCCTAAGCGCTAATACCGTGAGGTGGATTGCGCCGCACTGGGGGCTTACCGACGAGGTGACGGAGCAATGGAAGGAACAGGTGCGACTGTGCTGCTCGGTGCTTGCCAGCCAGGTTGAGCATCTCGGCCCGGAAATCCCCGATTACATACCCAAGATTATCCAGTCTTACCTCGCCATCCAGGCTGCCGAGAAAACACTAAAGAACCGTCTATCGCTCCTGTTTCCCACGTCATACCCGTTCCCTGCCAAGCCAACTGCCGAAGAGGTAGTCTTTGACGAAGCCCTCATTGAGCTCTCTGCCGTCATGTCAGCACTGTCCAACTCCCCCAGCGGCATGCAACTTGAGCTGGCCGAAGATGATCTCAACATCGTCATCGAGAACTGCCTTCGCGTACACATGAGCATCTTGCAGGGCGAGACCTTCCCTTCCAACTGGCTGAGCGTGCATATCTTCCATCACAAGTCCACCATGCGGATACTGCAATACCTTGCCACTTTGCTGCTCGAATCTTTCCTCCCGCATCCGGATGAGGCCGAGAACTTTGATACCGAGCTGTGGAAGATGTTCTTCACTACGATGCTTAAGCTAGTGGGCAGCCCCTCGCTGGCTCTGGAGACGTTCCCGGAGCAAAAGAGGAGAGCGGTCTGGAAGATTGCGGGCGATGTCAGAGAGCATGGAGCTGACCTGCTGAGGAAGACATGGGAGGCTATTGGGTGGGAGACGAGCTTGGAGGAGCGGGCACGATATGGGCTGTCCAAGATGGGCGGCTATCAGGTGCAGTATGTGCCTACGCTTGTTGGGCCCATTGTTGAGCTTTGCCTGAGTGTGCATGAGGGTCTCCGGAGGATGGCTGTAGAGGTTCTGCAGACCATGATTGTCAGCGAGTGGACACTGAGCGAAGACTTGTCTGTTATCCAGACGGAGATCATCGACTGTCTCGATGGCTACTTTAAGGAAAAACCATTGACAGAGAGCATCCTCCAGAAGCTCTTTGTGAGCGAGCTGCTGGACCGCTTCGAACCTCTCTCCAAGATCCCAGATGAGCCATTGTACACTGCCATCCGCGAGCTGATGGGCACAGTCGACGAGTTCCTCGATTTGCTGGTTGCCGTACACAGCGGCGACGGCTCAGGCGAAGCCTCCAACCTCATTCACCGCCTCCGGCTCATGGAGTTCCTCCGCGACATGCAAAAGGAAGAGATCTTCATCCGCTACGTCCACCAGCTCGCCAGCCTCCAAGCCTTGGCGCGGAACCACACCGAAGCTGGACTGGCTCTCCGCCTACACGCGGACCTCTACGACTGGGACCCTCTCAAAACCACCCCCGCCCTCGACGATCCTTCCTTCCCAGTGCAATCCCACTTTGAGCGCAAGGAGCGCATCTACTTTGACATGATCAAGCACTTCGAAGACGGACATGCCTGGTCCTGCGCTCTCGCCGCCTACAAAGAGCTCCAAGCCCAGTACGAGTCCAACATCTTCGACTTCGCTAAGCTCGCCCGCACACAGAGGGCTATCGCCACCGTGTACGAGACCATCGCACACAAGACCGACAAGATCATTCCCAAGTACTTCAAGGTTGTCTACAAGGGTCTCGGCTTTCCTCCTTCCGTGCGCGACAAAGCTTTTGTCTTTGAGGGGGCATCCCCCACTGAACGCACGGCTGGATTCACCGATCGAATGCAAGAGATGTATCCCTCCGCTCAGATCATCACACCTTCTCATGACCGTGACACTGGAGAATACGATGTCGAAGGCCAGTTCCTGATCATATCAGCCATTTCTCCTCACCGTGACCTCACACATACCGTCTTCCAGCGCGCTCGTGTCCCACAGGTCATCCGCGACTATCTTATCTCTTCCAGCCCCCAAACCTTCAGCGTCAGCACGAAGAGAGACACCAACGGGGATGTGAGGGATCATTACGCTGAAAAGACACTGTACACCACCGCTGAGCCCTTCCCAACAATACTCAAACGGAGCGAGATTGTTGAAATCAAGCATGTGCGGTTGACGGCAAAGGAGACGGCACTGGAAAGGATCGTGAGGAAAACGGGTGAGATGACGGCTGTTGAGAAGAAGGTGGCAGAAGGGCAAGCACAAGGAGGAGAGGGCAGTGACGAGGCTACGGTGATGTTGTTGGTCGATGCGGTCAGCATCAGTGTGAACCCGGAGAGCGAGGCGAGTGTGAGTAGGTACCGAGAGCTGATCCCCGGAATGGGGAGCACGACGCCAATCACGATAAAATGCGGGAGTGACGAGGACGAGGATGACGAGGACGGCCCGCCAGAGATTGATACCCAAGAAAATGCCATCAAGATGGCGTTGGTGGATCATGCGATTATGATCAAGAGGTGTTTGGCGACTTTTGCGAAGAGCCCCAGGGAGACAGTGAAGAAACATGGGGTAGATCTGCAGAAGTGTAAGTTTCCTTTTGCTACCATCGTGCTGGACAATGTTGTGCTAACCAAGACAGTCTTCGAACAAACATTCGCGCCCGAAATCGCGATCTTCACGCCCCAACCCGCCCGCTCTCCCAATCCTTCTCCCGGCAGCGACCGCAGCGGCGGTATCACACCCTCCCCAACCTGGCCGCGATCACCGGGGCCCTCAGCTTTCGGCTCCTCGACCGGACAACACAAACATCACCAATTTGCCACGGCTTTGGCAAACGGCCACGGCCTCGGCATTTCCGGAAACCCTCTAGGCCATGCTCACAGCGCAAGCGAAACAGCCGATGTTCTAGGCGAAATTGTGGTCAGCACCGGTATTTCCCAACCCGTTTCCCTGAGACAAGGACGCGGTGCAAGGTTGAGTTTCTTGGGAGGCCGGAAAAAGGAGGGGAACTCCCCCACGGCCCACCAATTGTCATCGACCGGCTCCATCCCACACCTCCTCAACGGCAGCGACCATAACCTCGTCAGCAGGTCCAAATCCCACGAGGACATCAACGCTGGCTCGGCATCAGCGACGATGATGAACACACCCACTACCAATGGCGATCGAAGCCCTTCTGTCCCGAGTAATGTGATTCACAGCAGGAAAGAGCAGCAGCAGCAGCAGCAGCCAATTGAGAACACGAAAGAGGGCAACGGGTCAATAGGGAAGGCGAACCGCCGCTCCTTCCTTCGCGGTTTCAGCTCTTCCGACAAGGTTCACCTCGTCAACGCCATTAACGGCGTGGCTGAGAGCGTCGGTGGAAACACGGATTGGCAGACGGAGTATTCATCCCCTTCTCTTTCTCAGCCTAACTTGCAGTCGCAATCGCAATCGCAATCCGATCACCTTGACCGAGAAAGGGAACGCGGGGCGGCGGCAGCGGCACTGAATGGCATGTCTGTCAACGGCTATGGGAAGAAGGAGAAGAAGGAGAAGAAGAGCAAGAAGAATAAGGAGGAGAAGGAGGACAAGGAGGAGAAGGAGGAGGACAAGGACTTGAAGGAGTTGAAGGACAAGTTCCACAACGGTAGTGCAAGTGTCAAGAAAAGGCTGAGCATGCTCAAGTTGGGGAACATGAAGAAGAGCGGGAAGGGAGAGGGAAAGATGGGGGCGCTGGATGAGGAATAGTGTCCTGTGTCTGCCACCGCTGTGTATAATGATGAGCATTTCCCCGGGTGGGATCATTGTCCTCCGCCTTGTCCACCACCTCGCCATCCGCTTCGTGAGCGTCGGGGTGGTCAAGGGTTCATCTGACGGACAAAACTGCAGACCTGTGCTCTTGTATGGACTAGAGTGCAGCTCATGCTGTCAGCACTTTGGCTTCGTTTCTCTCGGTTTAGGATAACATATCAAATGGCATTTGGGGGCTGGGCTCAAGGAGGGAGGCTGCGTTCTTTTTGTTTTCTTTTCATTCTGGTTCATCAATCACGTCTGCGCTTCAGGATATTTCATGCACGGGACATTTCACACTCCGACTTTTCATCTTCTATCAACATCAACAAACATGTTCCACACTACACATATGCTTCATCAATCATAATCTCCTTCAACCTATTACTACATATCATTCACGCACGGACTGGTCTACACGGAATACTTAAAACAGGAGGCTCATGCTAGGAGTGAGAGCCTCGGGCGGTGGAGCATTTTGGTGTTTGTTGGATGCGCGTTTGCATGTTTGGTGCTCCTTGTCGATGGACGAGCAATGCACCTATATTCTCTTCCCTTTGTTCACTTCATCTGTTTTGCTTGCTCGCATCGACCACCTGTACAATACATTACGTCTTCGAAGCTTGATATCTTGATCTTCGCCTGCACATCCTATTCTGTTCCTTCTCTGATTATTGTACAATAGACCTTGTTTGCGTGGATTTGGTCAGAATGAGTACAAAGACCATTCCTATCCGGAGTACTTGGAGAAGACTGCCGAAAAAGCAGACCGAACGGCGGGAGGAGAGTGCGACCGGAGGCGGAGAGGCACGGGGTCTGGTGCTGATCAGCGGCAGCCTCGTTGAGGCTTACCAAGTTGAGATAGACAACAATGAAGGCGACTTGAACTTCAATCTCAACCTGACCAGTTTCCGAGATTCCTCTTGCACTGAGTGCCAGTTGTTTCGAATCACAGATGATGCTGGATCTTCCACTTCCTGCACACTGCAGCCTCATGTCCCCTGCTGACCAGCTGGCACATGTCGACATCTCGGGCCGGGGCCTTCCGCCCAATGTCTGGGTCAGGTTGTGTCTGCAATGCTGGCTGCGATGTTTACAGCCCTCTTGAACATTGACCATCCATCACGCTGGTTACCATACTTGCTTCTTCCCCTTCCCTTCCGTCTACTCAACACCAAAGCACCGACCCTTGTACCTCGTCCTCCTGCTGCCATCCCAACCCAAAATGTCACGAGCAGTCATCAATCTAGCGAAACTCTCGCACCTCTCTACCCGCACCCGCTACCGCCTCCTCTTTACTTGTTTTCTCCTTACCACCGCCCACCTGCTCTTCTCTGCTTCTCTCATCCGCTGGTCAGCCAACTTGTCGAAGCCACCGGCCCATGCGGATCCACGTAGCACCTCCAAGACCTCCAGCAATGTTTCCAGCAAAGGTCATCTCCCGCCATACGGCGCCCAAGACGCAGACCGGCCTGTGGTCCCCCAAGCGAAGCTCCTAAAGGACTTCTTCAGGTGGAACGAAGCAGACATCGCCTTCCTGTCTCCGCCCGTCTTCCTCCCTCCGACTCCTCCGTCTCCTCCAATCACTGACCCTTTCCCCCTCCTCTCTTCCAACTTACCGCCTCGCAACCTGAGAAAGCTGCTACAGCCACCCGAGATCAACCGCCCCTCGCACTTCCGCCACCTCCGCCCATCCCACTCCTCCCAGGTGGAACTAACCCAGCAGCCATCGAGGTCTTACTTCTCCCGTTTCGGCAGCAAGTCCTTCGGCCGCCGTCCCGACCCCTCCCCATACCCTCCGTACCATTCCAAACTCAACCCGACCGGCATGGCGCCACTGCTGATTGGACTCACCCGCAACTGGCCGCTCCTGCTGCAGTGTGTGTCCAGTTACATTGCGGCAGGTTGGCCGGCGGAAGAGATCTTTGTCGTCGAGAATACGGGGACGATGGACGCGAATGAGCGGGAGTTGTTGACGCTGCAGAATCCGTTCTTCATGAACCGGACGCAGTTGGAGATGCTGGGGGTGAAGGTTGTTTCTGTAGGTGCTGTTTCTGATGCTGACCCCGAGTCTGACTCTGGTTTGACCCGAAGCCGCTATGAAGGGAAGGAAGTGAAGATGTATGGGAAAGGTGGAGTGTGGATATGAAGTGATGTGTCTTGTGGGATGGGAAAGCAGATGGGAAAGCAGATGGGAAGAGGAGGAGAGCCGAAAGGATGGGAAGAGGGGATGACAAGGGAGGGGAAGAATGACATGGATATGGACGCAGGCTGACTTACTGGATGGCAGACTCCGACGCTCCTGACGTTTTCGCAGTTGCAGAACTTCTTTGCTTGGTTAGTTTCTCCCTTTCCCTTCTGATGTGCACTGCTGACCGGCGACACGGACACAGGACCGCCCTCCAACGCGGCTGGACCGAGTACTTCTGGGCGCACCAAGACCTGATGGTCTTCTCTTACGAACACCGACACCCGTCTTATTCTCCAGCTGCTGCCGCAGCCCGAGCCAAGGCGCAGTCCAAGTCCAACAAGTCCAAGGCCAAAGCCAACGCCAAAACTTCCTCGACCTCCAGCAAGACAGTTGAGGACGACGAACCCGAAGAATACCGGTCCCTTTACGCCAATGCCCTCCATGTCCTCCAGAAATACCGCGACCCTTCCCATCCCAAGTGGGCCCACCACTTCTTCTCCTACGACCATCTCACCCTCGTCCACCGGGGACGCCATCCTCTCCGTTGGGGCTGGGACACGCAGATCCCCTTCTACGGTACTGACTGCGACATGTACACCCGATTGATGTGGGCGGGCTACGCACAGAACGAGTCCACGACGCCGTCAACGAGGGTAGGACACATCCTGGACGTGAGCGCCGTTCTCGAGGACATCGGCGCATTGTTCCGTATCCCAGGCATCAAAGCTTCCTTTCCCGGCGATCCTCACCCCCACGCCCGAAACCAGAACGTAAAGGTCAAACCCGGCTCAGCAGCAGCCGCGACAGCAAAGACAGAAGCTGAAACGTACGCCAACTTGTTGTCGACGGCCCGCCGCATGCAACGAGCCAAGTACGCCCTAGGCAACGGCCACGAGGGCGCAACAAGAGCTGGCAGACGAAGCAGCAGGGAGGGCAAGGAGAGCCGTTCTATCGGGACGCCGAGGGGTTCGAGGCCGGCGTGGAGATGTGGATCGAGGCAGGACGAGCAGTATTTTCGGAGAAATGGGGACATCGAGGATGTGATATCGCGAGGAAGTGGGCGACTGGGAAGAACAAGGGGAATGGAAATGGGCTGAAGGATGCCTGGAAAGTCGAAAGAGATTGGGATGGGGACAAGGAGGGGGGTGGAGGCATCGGTGGGGGTTGGTAGTGGGGTCTGGGGAAACTGTGATTGCGGGATCGGAGTGGTTTTCCAGCGCGTTGAGTTTGTTAAGGCCGCTGTAAACGATTTGCTTCAGTGGATAAGCACTGTACAACCTAACAAGCAAGTGGAATGCTGGCATGAGACACCTTTGTGAGAGAAGATCTCATTGCAAACAACTTGAACATGATAGATTGGAAGAACGATGCCTGCCCTAAATTGTGCTTCAAATCTGAGCTTCGAGAAACATTGCTTGTACGAAGAATGACAGTAACAGACGGGCCACCCAGACACCTCAGGTCACGGTCCTCAAGGTGCACGCCGAGCAGTCCAATCCGCTGAAGGCAGGGACAACAGATGCGGGCGGGGGCCATGCGCGGGGTACACCAGGCATCTGGGCTGCCCGTGTGCCGTCATGCAAAATGATTCCCTCTTCCTGTCATTTCTGTTTCTTGCTTGAGGTTGCCCGACTTTGGCAATCCGATTAACCTTTTGATCCAAGCGGCATGGCGTATGCTTCAACAAATTCCCAAGCAGAGAGCGCCATGGTGGCTGCCCACGTCTTGTGCGACGCCTGTTCCCGAGTGGTCAAGGAGTCCAAATGGGTCAATCATCTTGCCGGGCGGGCTCCTGTCGACGACACCCTCTACCGCGACCATACCGACATTTTCTTGCACAGCCTTGACAAGGCCCAACTGAGAAGGTCAAGCGCCGCCGGCTGCCATTTGTGCACGATGGCGATGGAGGATGACCAGGACTGGAATGATGACAGTGATGATGAGGAAACGGGCGTTATCCAGGCAGATGTGTGGTACAGCGTGTACGCTGCAGTGGACGAGGAAAGGGTCTGTGTGACTCTGAGGCGCATCACTAACATCCTGGCGTCAGACTTCTCCCCAGGGGACCGTGATGGCATAGAAAGAACTCTCCGGAAACAGGGAGAACTTGACTGGCAGGCACGAAACCAGTACGAGAGCCCAATCAGTGATATGTACTTCCACTGGGCTAAAGGTAGGTGTGCCCGGAGCGATGATGGAATCCGATCTTGTTGCTAATACCTGTTGTGCCACCACCAGACACGGACGTTCTCTACCCTCGGTCGATGCTATGGCCCGGTTGCCAACTCCCATGCTCAACGGCCTCGCCCGAAACAATGACCCTTGTACGACACTTTCTCAATAACTGCCTTAAAAACCACAGCGAATGCAATACACACCTGTCTAAATCGAAGAGCTCGGACAATTGGTTACCGACCCGGCTCATTGATGTTGGAACAGAAGTCGGGACATTGACACCAAGACTTGTTATCCCTTCTGAGTCTTTAAGCTTGGCCGGGATGCAATACGTTACGCTCAGTCATTCGTGGGCCATTTCCAAGAAGTCTCTCAACTTGCTGGTCGAGAACTGTGAGCAACTGACACGAGTCATTCCACTTGACGCCTTGTCCCAAACCTTTCGCGATGCCTTGCAGATTACACAGCAGCTGGGCCATCGGTACATATGGATCGACTCTCTTTGCATCATTCAGAACTCAGCAGATGATTGGCAAAAGGAGGCGCTGCTGATGAGTCTCGTTTACGGAAGATCTTCTTGCAACATTGCTGCGATGGGAATGTCTGGAGTGGACGGTTGCTTCTCCCAACGAAACCCTCTTGCCTTTTCCCCCTGTCGTATCACAGACACTGACGATGGTGGAGCGGTTTATGCCTCTTCCCAGAGCCATAACCCTTCAAACATGTTTTCAGCCGGAGGAAAAACAAAACCACCTCTACTCTATCGAGGTTGGGTTCTACAGGAAAGGATGCTGTCTTCTCGCATGGTGTACTTCGGCGGTCCGCAACTGTACTGGGAATGTTGCTGTGAACGGCTTGCAGAGTCCTGGGCGTTCAAGTCCCAACTAACCATGGATCGTCATCTTGGAATCTCTTCGGCCTTCTCGTCCAAAGCCCACTTTCAAGTGCTTTGTGATACTTCTACTATACCTAACCTAGAGTTAGGCAGCAACACAAATGCGGTCGTGTCCATAAAGGCTATTCGCCTCTATCTTCATTGGCAGGAGATACTAAGCACTTACCTCGAAACCCAGCTAACATTCACGACAGACCGGCTCATTGCCCTCGCAGGCATTGCCAAGGCTATAGAAGATCACGCGGGACTTACTTATATTGCCGGAACATGGGCAGAGCTTCACCCCCTCGACCTACTCTGGCGCTTCAAAGAGACTATTATTGCTAAACTAGAACCGCGTGCCGTCTCCGGGACCAACGCCCCATCGTGGTCCTGGGCTGCCAAGGAAGGTGAGAGGGACTTCTTTCCCGATCGATATGATCTTGTGGACGAGAATACGGCAGTCAAAGTGACATACGCCACCGGCATACGGCACTTCCCCCATCGGACATTCTCCTCGCAGTTCACACTGGACAAGGAAAGGAAAATAACTCTAAGCTTTGATGGAAAGGTGAAGAGAGGCACGGCTTTTACGGAAGAATTGTTTCCAGACTCAATACGCGAGGACGACGAAGTCCAAGACGGGAAGTGGAAACATCGGGTGTTGTTACATGACAAGATTGCACCCATAACTGTGAGGTTCGACGATCCACTCCCTGACGGCGAGCCAGTGCTGCTCCTGCTGTTGATGGAGTGGTACATATACAAAGGAGAGGATCCGGAGAAGCGTTATCAAGGGGGGTTGGTCCTTGTTCCAGAGACTGAGATGAAACAAGCTCAGTATGGTGATTCGGGGAGGCTGCAAGTGTACCGTCGAGTTGGAGCATTCAAGACAGGCGAACCTGGGGCCTCCGTGCATGCTTTCCTCGATACTTTGTCTGACGATAATCTTGAGATGGTGAAAGTTTGCTGATTCCCTACTGGCAGCCAGACAACCGCAGCTTGCCGTGTATTCGCTGTCCAGGTCCTCACATGCTGTCAATGCTGCTTACCGGGCGTGGACGTCGGAGGCCTATGAGAAAGCAATCAGATTGGTCGCTGGCACTGCACGAGGCCCATGAGTCCTGCGTTGATGACCGCAAACAGACATGGAAGGCTGGCATCTGAGATGTGGTTTGCTGGGTCAGGTACCTCGCCAAGCAGCAACCTGTGTCGTGGGCTATGAACAGAGGACACATTCACATAAGAAGCAACTCCTACTCTCTTCTCGGATAACCAGACGGGCAACTTCCTTTATCTCTTTACACTTTTCCAAAGTCCTACACCGCACTGCATACTTCGGTTCACAAAGCGCACGCGCAATGGCGACCAACAACGAGCAACGACTTTACGACATCGTCCCAATTCCCAGCAAGGGTACAGGTGTCGTCGCAACACAAGACATCGCCAAAGGCACGCGCATCATGGCTGAAAAGCCTCTCTTCATTGTGCCGACCAACATCATGCAAAGCGGCAACCAAGTCGTGGAGAAGTACATCGCTCAGCAACTCAAGGGCCTCGACAAAGATCAGCAACATGCCTTCCTCATTCTGCACAACTGCCACGGTACCAACTTCAGCCCCTTTCTCGCCATCTCCAAGACGAACATGCTCGGTCTTGGCTCCCCGCCCATCGGAGGCGGCCTCTTCATTGAAGCATCACGCATTAACCACGCTTGCAAACCCAACACGCAGAACAGCTGGAATGAACGCATCAGCCGCGAAACCATCCATGCCGTCCGCGACATCAAGAAAGGGGAGGAGATCACCATCTCTTACATGGGACACTTCGCGTCCTATGACGAGCGTCAGGCCTTTCTCAAGGACAAGTTCAAGTTCGACTGCGCATGCGAGGTGTGCTCATTACCACCCGACCAACGTATGGCCAGCGACGAAAGACTGACCACCGTCCACGAACTGGATCAGGCCATCCTCAGCGCCGGAAGGAATGTCAAACTGGGCCTTAGGATGGTGCGCAAAATGCTGCTACTGCTTGAAACCGAGGGCATGTACAATAGCCAGGTGTACCGCGCGTACTATGATGCCTTCCAGATGATGGCTGCGATTGATGATAAAGCGAGGGCTGGGGAGATGATTCGAATGTCGCTGGAGCATGCACGGGTTGTCGAGGGTCACGATTCGAAAATTGTGAAGAAGTTTGAGCGTTTGGCCGCAAATCCAACGAGGCATATGGCTTGGGGGCTGTACGGAAGGAATAGAACGCAGGAGACGGCGCCGGGGGATAAGGAGTCGGAAGGGTTCAAGACCTGGTTGTGGATGGAGTAGAACGTACCTTCTATCACGGGCAAAGGGTAGATGGTAGATGTGATTATGCGTAATTGCACAAAGGAGTAAGAAGGAGAGTGCAGACATGTACCTGGAAGGATAGTCTTATATAGTGTTACGATCCAATAAGGGATCACCTATGTAAGCAGTTAGATAGACCAATCAGAGCCGCGCCGGGCGCCGGGTGGCCGGGAATGGCCTCACCGGCGCAACGGCGCATACTGAAGGACCAGTATATAAAGAAGGCCTCCCAGGCCTTCTAAATACTAGGCTCTTCAGCAAGCAATAGCTATCACAGTCTACCAGTACATTTCGGCTACTACTCCGTTACCCTATTGTTCTATCCCAGCGATAATACTCCTGTGCTTGTAACGATTCGTCACAATATGCTATATTCGAAATGTCCATCACCGCCCGGTCAAGAGCGGTGCAGTTCCGTCTTCGCTTTTCCCATCTGTCGTCGTTGTCAGAATGGTCATTATCGGAATCTTTATCGCTCTCCTCCTCTTGCTTAACCCGCTTCTTCGCGACATCCTCGTCGTCATCCCCGTCGAGATCAGCCGTGGACCTGCTGCGCTTAGGGTCATTTGCATCCACCCCCTCAGCAACCTTCTCCATCATCTTTCCCTTTGCATCCTCCAGCGCAAACCCCACTGTGCGACTGAACTGCACAACCTCAGCATTGATCAAGACCTTCTCCTCAACAAGCTGCAGGACCGTAGTCTCGGTATCGCGTATCCTGGC